CAAATACACTCAGCCAGATCAGTGCCAACAGAAAACAGATTAAATTACGCTGATGTTATCCACCTGTAAAAGCTCCTTCCTCTCCTGTCCTCTAATCAAACAGTACTCTGACTCCTAACTGAAACTGAACTGACGCAGAGCTCGTCAAGAGGAATATTTCACTCCTCTCTGCAAGTTTGATCATAATTACACCAACAGTATTAGGACTACCTATCTGATCCTGAACCACACTATTAACGGCTTAGAGATGCACCATCAACCGTTCTTTCATCTGCCTTCACTTCAATGAAGTGGATAAAATACTTAAAGCAGGGGGGGAAAAATCAACCAGGATCCCAGCTTTCATCTGGATTCAGCCTGTTTGGTGGAGAGAGGAGGAGAGTGCATGCAGTTTTGTGCTGTCGGGGTTCGTCTAGACGCCGTGCTCAGCAGCTCCAGCAGCCTTGCAGGCAGACAGACGATCCATTATTCAGCTGCTGGCAGACTTCTGCCTGCTCAACAGCCAATATTACTATTTCTGTTGGTACTGTGTGTGAGTGTCAACACTGCAAAGAAAAATATCCATCTTAATGAGAAGTGTAGTTCTTTATTGATTGCAGAAAGTGAATAGATGCCCTCGATAACTGCAGCTAATTATGTTCCATAAATCTTTTAATAATTTGAAATAAGATGTTCTAGTGAAGTCTCATCGTCCATCTCCTGGGGTTTCCTGAAGTGCTCCCACTCGGCTCCCTCTTCACCACAACAGACCGTAAAATACAACCAACACTGCTGACTCCACCAGTCCGCTAGTTAAAGGAATAGTTTGTAGGAAATGCTCTTTTGCAGAGGGTTAAATAAAAAGACTGATACCACTCTCCCGTCTGTACGGTATGAATATGAAGCTACTGCAACCAGTTAGCTTTGCTTAGCACAAAGATTTGAAACAGGGGGAAATAACTAGCCTGGCTCTATCCAAAGGTAACAAAATCTGCCAACCAGCACCTCTGAAGCTCATTAATAAAACACCTTTTGGTTTGGTTAGTTTACGAGCAACTAACACTTTGTGGTCAAAGCTTTGAGCAGCTGTAAACATAAAAACTGCGTGTATAAACATAAGTCATAATGATTCACATAATGATCATTTTCATGAATGAATAATTAATTGATTATTTTACATTAATCCACACATCTTTTGCCCTGCACCCCGAGGTGATGACATCAAATTGCTTGTTTTGTGTGATCAAATATGACAAAGAAACCAATCCTCACAATAAAGAATTGGTATTCCCCGCTGGGTGCACCCACCCCTCGGCCAGTAGTGTTTAAACTTCCCCTGTCCTTCGAGCTCCCAGTCCGGGTACAGACAGCTAATAGGGCTAGTGGCAACAGCTAGTACAGTTAGCATATGCAGCAGTGCACCAGAAGGAGAAAAAACACTTTCATCTCGGTGACAAGGCGCAGCTCCTGAACGGAGTTCAACGTTGTTTTCTGCGTCTATCCTTCTAATGAAAAGTGCGTCGACTAAGACTCTTCTCAGCAACCCTTGAAACTTGCATTCACCAGGTGGACAGAAACGACTGAGTGAACGAGTGAATGATGATATTGCTCTGACTACGCTGGGTGAGTGAAGAAGCAGCAGGTTTTCTAGCAGGTTAGCACTATCTGGTGATAACACTCTACATCAATGTTCCCCCAAGTGGCCACAAAATGAGTTACTGCAGGTTTGAGGCAAATAAACGTGATTTAGCATTTGTTTTTCTTGACACCGTGAGTTTTCATAAAACCACTAAAATCTGGAGTAAATACTGCAATATATAGAACTCATTCCCTCGTCATTTTCAGATTTATGGGACTGAAAATAAAATAAATGACTGAAACAACATTGGACATCGAGAGCATTGTGTCTTTCTGTGCGAGCTTGCCCCTGGCAGTAAGTAGCTCACATTGTAGGTCAGCAGGTCTAATTCACTCAGAGCCCAAACAAACTGTCTCAGGGTTAAAAATAACTTCAATGACAGGTGAGACAGAGCCCAAAGACTGGTTAAAAAAACACACACACACACACACACACACACACACACACTGTCCTCTTTCTCCTGAAGTAGCCAAGCCCAAAGCCACAGGAGCCAAATGGGTCATTAACTCCTCCCAGCCTTCCTCTCTCTTCGTCATGCTGTCGAGGTGTCAAAGCGACAACTGGGTGGCCTCCTGCTTCACATGGGGTCATAAAACACTCCTTTAGCCACGCCCAGGTCTCCATGGCAACCACTGTGCCGCCACTGCCCTTAAACCCAATCCATGGGCTCTGCCACTCAGCCAAACCAGGAAGTCCATTTGAAGACGGAAACACTTCTGGCTCAATCAGGTATTCGTGTTCAGTTATAACTGGTGTTTGATTAACAAGGAGTGTGTCAATAAATGAATTCATGTATCTGATCAGCTGTGATCAGCACTCGGCACTGTCCTTCACTGTCACTGGCTCACTTGAGGGTTTATTTCCCCGTGCTTTAACCTCTTTAATTCAGACTAGCAAGCTACGAAGACTCATGCTGTAGGTTCACACATTTTAATTCATATTAATGAATGAATGCACCCTGTGGTTGGTGGGACAGCCAGGAAGCAGCTTCAGATACAATCAAACTCAAGTCACAGTTTGATTCACTGCACTTGTTTTAATGCTGCTGCTTCTGAAACATCTTCACCCATACCACACCCACCAGTGGATCCACACTGCAAACCCATTTTAGGGCTGAAAAGCTTCACAAACGACTGACAATACAAAAATAAGACAGAATGGAGGAAAAATTAAATAAGATAGATTTTAAAATAGAATACAATGATAAAAATGACAATAAAATACAATACAATCAATTTTACAGGTATATTGATAGAATTTAATAAAAGTTATACTAAAAACTAAATAAACCAAGAAAGCAGGCAGAAATAACAAACAAATAGAATCAATAAGAGGGATAAAAGACATCTCTCTCTATATATATATTATATTATATTGATATGATTTACGTATGCAGTCATAGCAAATTTAAAGGTTTGTAACTAATAATTATTTCCATCATCAATTAAAATGATCTGATTATTTTCTAGATTAATCGTTTGACCAATAAAATGCAAAAAAAGATGGTGAAAAGGGTCCATCAAGTGACTTCTTCAAATTTTGTGTAACCAATTCTAAGATATTCAGATAACAATGAACAAACCATTTATAATAATGATAAATTAATATATATTCATTGGCTAATAGTTCAAATAAAAGTGTTCAGTTTACAGACAGTTGTGTTTGTATAGTTGCAGCTGAGGTCAGCTCCCCTCATACAGGTGGTAAAACAACATCAAGCACATGAGGGAGAAAGAAAGAATCCAGTGCTGACAGCTTGTGTGTTTAATTCTGTCGCATTTATAAATCACCAACATTTTAATCAGCTTCACCAGGGGCAGATCTACAGGGGTAAAAAATGCCTAGCCACCCCAGTTTGGAGTCAAATTTAACACATTAATTGATATTATTTTAGATTACTACAAGAGAATTGAATTATCTGTTACGGCCACATTTCTGAGCCACAAGTGATGAGCTTAAGTTCAATGAAAACAGACTATAATTTATTCATTTGTAATGCCACTTTAGATATTTCTATTTGTATGCCACTATGATGTAATGTTTTTTAGTTCATATATCTTCTTTTGGGGGGTTTTCTAAGCAAATATTGATATATGTGTGATTAGATCTGCATATATTTCTACCAGCCCTTAAAGTCTCCACGCCATCCTCTGACCACCTCATAATTATTCCTCTGGGTCCGCCCCTGAGCTTCACATACTTACAGCTTTTCATTATCCAGGAAACTGGTCAAACTTTTTATAACAGGGAGCAAAGGGCAACGTCAGCCCAACTCAGCCAGAGAAAGTCTGTACTTTATGTCATTATGCAGTAATGACAAGGGAACTAACTCCTAATGCTGATAAAAATGCCAAATCAAGAGTTAGAGCGAACCTTGTTTGCCTGTTTGTGATCAAGAAGAAGCAGCAGATACACACGCAGTCTGACCCACCAAAGACAAAGAGAAAATCCCAGATCTACTGCTGCGTAAATACCACTGAACTCTCCAGGACCAAGAGAAGTGCACTGATTTCTGCTGAGCCATGTGGAAACTGGAGCCCCAGTGCATCTCAGACACCATGCAGGTATCACAGAAAACTACAACAGTTTACAGCAATCCAAGATATCTGCAGGAAAGCACAGTGGGGTCACTGTAAAGTCACTGCAGACACCTTATAGTGACATTAAAGGGCTATTACGCAGATCATTGAGGTGGATTTCTGCTTCCAATAGCCGCTCTGACTGGCTGAAAACCTTGATTACTTGTATACTTAATACAGCAGATAAGGGCTCAGGAATAAAACTTAAAAAGAGAGAATAATGTCAGATATTTGGTTGTTCCAGTGAGAGGAGAGCCGTGTCTGTCTATTCTTGGACTACAGCAAACAGGCTCTGGGAACCGCATGGACTTTCTGATGAATCATGTCAGAGGTATCCTTTGAGGTAGATTTCATGGATGGGAAAGTGGAAACTGGCAGGATTTTATTCATTCATTCATTCATTCATTCATTCATTTGATACTCGCCCTGTCGTGTTATCAGTCCGCCACAAAAAAAAAAAAAAACTCCCCTGTTATCACAGCCAGCTGGTAAACTGGGAGGAAACCGGTGTAATAAAAAAATGATCACACCATCCACCTCCGGCTGTAATAAGCTCGTCGTGGCTGACTTCAAGTCGGCTGTGTGCGGGTAGAAGGGCCTGCGGGGTCCCGTAGCGTTAATACATGGATGCAGATAAAGAATAAGGGAATAATAGTGAGATCCCAGCCTACAGTAACCATTAACCCCTTCCTATTCACAGGCAAATGAGCCCCTAATTCACAACGCACCATGCATGCCTCACTGAGAATGGAGATGAGGGGCTAAATTTGAGCCTTAGAAATAAAGTCGAAAGTCTAACTCACCACTTGTCTGGTTGCAAATGTAAATCCCAGAATGGTGGGTGATAATTTCCGACGCCGGGACACACCGTCTCATGTATTCGGCAAACTCTGCTCTCCTCTCGGCTCCGCTCCGCTGTGTCGCCCTGCTGGTGGGTTTTTTAACAGTAAACTTGCCGATCCCAGGCTATTGTTAGTCGGGCACAGAGCAGCCTGCTGCACAGAAGCACCCGCCCCCTTCACACGCCGCTCCGGACACGCCATTGGTTTATTTCAGCTCTGCCCGCCGCTGATTGGCTGGTGCAGATGTCCGGGGCGGGTCGCAGCCCGTCCGTAGACAGCGAGCGGTGGTGCGTTCACTGCCACTGGTGAAAGGTCCAATGTTCCAGCTCCCTTTAAGCCCTAGTCAAGGGCGTTGCATTCACGTATATCTCTGCCAGTGGATCAAAAACAAGAAAGCAGTGGGAATTCAGAAAATATGTAATTAATCAACAAGACACATTAGGATAATAATAATAATAATAATAATAATAATAATAATAATAATAATAATAATAATAATAATAATACATCTACATTTATTGAACAAAGTATATATATAACATTCCCAAATATCCCAAATAATAATATGTTTAGCTTTATTCTGTTAAAATGTGCCTAATTATTTGAGGCACAGTTTAACATCAGACACAGGATTGTAATAATCTAAACTTTAAAAATAACATGTCTTACACCCCTTAAAATCAAAAAGGCCACATGACCCCCAGGGAAAGCGTTGGCGACCTCTTGTGGGGACCCCAACCTCCAGATTCAGCAGTCAGGGTTTGATTCCAACCTTTCCTGTCAATCTTCATCTTTCCTATCGAATAAGGGCATAAAAGTCCCCCAAAATTGGAATTGGAACATCCTGCAGTCCATCAAAGTAAAACCACAATGTCACCACAGATGTCTTTAATTTCACTATCTGCACAAAGTGGTTGTGTTTGAGCTGCAACTATAGAAAATGGGATTTTTGGAAGAGATTCACAGCCTTTTTTTCTATAAAAAAAAAAAATAATGTCATACTCAAATTATTTAACAACATTTAACATAATGTAATATAAATGTAGAAAAGTAAAAAAATATATATTGTGAAGAGGTTATTACTTGTAGGATTAAACACTGACTTACTTTAACTTGTTTCCCCCTTCCAGTGACTCCCTGAAAAGAGGAATAAAAACACAAAGGTGAAAACTAATTTAAATCAGACACAACAAAGATATAACAAACAATCCACCCTTTGTGGAGTTTAACAGCCTTTGGTAAACTTGTTCAGATTAAATATTGATTACCATTCCAACCAAACAATAATACGTTTGATAATCATTATTAAATCCTTGAAGACCTAATGTATTGTTTCCTCAGAGCACACTGTTCAACACACCAGAAAACCATCTATTTTCATTAAGATGACAGACAGTACTAAATAAGGTGAAGAATAACGAGACAGTGACATCTAGTGGTGAAAGTGAAGAACTCCATTGATCTCAACTGTAGGCCGAGCTGCTTAACACTGGAAGACAAAACTAAAAAACAAACATAAACATTTCAGCTCATCTTCAAGATGATCTTTAAAATCTTTCACCAACAGTGAGTGTTCAGCAACATGTGCACCACAGGTCCGGTAAGATAGGTGTGTTCAGAGGGGTCTTACCTAAAGCCCCCCTCCACTCAAAAATCTTTTTTAGAAGTAATCAGCCAGACGTATGTAATTACTTACATAGTGGTTAAATGATGATTCATAGTTGGTGATCACCGAATAAGGCAAACAACCTTCAGTCTATCTGAGACCTACTAATTACAGTTACTTAAGACACTGAGAATGGACTTTACAGTGAAATAGGAGACATCTTGTGTACAGCAGGAAAACTTTAGAAATGAACTAAATTAGTGTATTCATAGATTGTAGTAGACATATTTTTGTGAAAAACATACATTATTGTTCCAAGACATGTACTAATACATTTGGAGGAGATCGTTAAGGTTCACATTTCTTCAAGTCTGTTTGTACATTGAAGTGTCACTGGTGGTCGCTGTAATCCTCTCCACACCAAACGCAAAAAAATCCCCTATTTAAGCAGTTTCAGTGTGGGTATAGGGAGCACAGTTCATCGACTTTGTTTAATGCAAAAATGAAGCTACAAGGAACTTTTATTTTGTATTGATTCTGGCGGAGCGGTCAAGCCAGCCGTGACTCCAATCTCCGTGGTAAAACAGCCGCACTTAAATTCGAGTGTAGAACAGTAAGCTATAATTCGAACCTACAAATAAAATAAAATATGTTACATTAAAGTGTTTCATGCGCCCCTGGTGAATAAAAAAAACTTTATATCCAGTATCTTTACTGCACCAATGTGGAGAAATCCCCAAATAAAAGTCTCATATTTATGCCTCCAGAGATTGCATATTTGACCATATTTGAGGTACTGTAAAAACATATTGCTCAGTGTTTCCTGGCTACTGACGTTTACACATATGAGACTACAAGCATACTTAATATCAAGCATTTTTACTGTACCAATGTGGAGAAATTAGACAATAAAAGTCGTCCATATTTGTACCTCCAAGTGGCATATTTGACCATATTTGAGGTACTGTAAAAACACTTTGCTCAATATTTCCAGGCTTTGGATGGTATATTTGACTTCTGCACATCTAAGACTACAAGAATACTTAATATCAAGCATTTTTACTGTACCAATTTGGAGAAATTTAAGAATAAAAGTCCCATATTTATACCTCCAGATTCCATATTTTCTTATATTTGAGCGACTGTAAAAACACTTTGCTCAATGCAACAGCTGTCACACTGAATCTGCAAAAGGGAAAAATAATTAGTTTTAACTTCAAAAAACCATTGTACCTACTGTCTCTTCCTCATATATTATTTTTCCCTTTTACAGATTCAGTGACAGCTGTTGCAGGTGGTTCCACATACAGTGCCTACAAATGGACAAAGCAGAGCTGCAAAATAAGAAGAATGTGGACTGGACTTGCATTTTGTGTAAACAAATTAGAATTGTGTAGGATTTTGTGTTTAGTCTTTATATTTTTTAAATAAGATGTTATTAAACATTTGTGTGAAATTTTGTCATGATTACTGCATCATTATTGAAGTATAATGAAAATGCTTCACCCATAGCCTGGAAATATTGAGCAATATGTTTTTACAGTAGCTCAAATATAAGAAAATGTGGAATCTGGAGGTATAAATATGGGACTTTTATTCTTAAATTTCTCCAAATTGGTGCAGTAAAAATGCTTGATATTAATGCTTGTAGTCTCATATGTGTAAAAGTCAAATATACCATCAGTAGCCAGGAAACACTGAGCAATATGTTTTCACAGTACCTGCCACAGCGGAGCAAGGTGACAGAGTCAGCGGAAGCAAAAGAGAATTTCATACTAAAAAAGATTCTACTGCACTAGGCAAAGCTCAGTAACTACAATCCCTCCCTCCTCCCTCAGCTTCTGTACTTATACAAATACAAAGACAGAGTGAAGTATCTGCATTTTGGGGGTCATGGATCAAATAATTGGTCATGATTTCTAAGCCATGAAAATTAGAGAATTATGTAATAAGCACATAACTAACGCATTTGGCTGGCCAGTCAAAAAACTCTGAGGCCATTTTTCTCAGTTTGATTGATGGCGTTGTTACTGAGGTTTGCCTTTGTAGGGCAGAATAACTTGATATGGTCAGAGTTCAGACTGCTCAGATTGCTGACGTATCATATTAGCTTTTATTCTACTTTGTTTAAGAATGCTTGATTCTGATTGGCTGGGAGGAGGGCATTAACCCGGCAGGTTGCCCGCTGACTTTTCGGTTGTACTTGCTGCTGACTGAGCACAGCGTCATCAAATAGTAGATCAATACGCCGCTTGTATTTTTTTTCCTATCACATAAATTTCAAACATGAGGTCCATTGTAAAAATAACTTGTAAAAAAAACCTTGTTTAAAAAAGTTTCTAAAATGTGTCGGAAACCTATCGGACGGTCAGTCGATACAATGTAGCAACTAATTACATTATTAAACTAGTGATGGATGCAGCCTTGTGTGGTTGCAATAGAAACTAATTAGCTACAGCTGAGCTAACGTTATTCACCGTCGTTGAACTCAAACAGAGTATACATTTAATAAGCATGCATTATTATGAATAATAATACGTTTTATTATTATTAATAAATTATTGAAGTATTCGTGGTCCACGAGCCGGGCATATCAAACAGTTTATTGCCCTGCCTCTTGTGATTATCCCTTACATGTTGAACTTTGGAATGTAATTTTGCACAGAACAAAGATTTGGGATTTGGTCTCTTGTCACCAGTCTATTAACCAAAACAAAAATACATACACATTCACAAAACTACATACAGATCATACAATCAAACACACATTCACATATATTAAAGGGTTGTCAGCTTGGGCTGCTCGTGTTTCCTTCTACAAGTTTTTAATGTTGTTGACATTTTTGATCATGAAGACAACATGAAGCAAGTTGAGGAAATACATAACGTTTTTTAAGTCCTTTTCAGTAGCACACATCAAGCCAAACATTGTCTACTTCACACATTCTGCTCACTGCAGCTGTGGCTCAGATGGTAGAGCGGGTCATCAAGTAATCAGAGGGTTGCTGGGCCGATTCCCAGCCCCACAAGTTGAAGCGTCCCTGTGCAAGAACCACAAATTTTCCCTCAATGCCTTCACCATCATTGTGTTCGCTGCATTCATTATGGTAGGGATTATGGTAGACTGCAAACTGGATGTCATGTTAGTGGATTGTAAAATTAGGCAGAGCATACTGGAAACGGTAGATGGCATTGTCACCCAGAGTTTAACAAATATAACTTTTCGTTGTCCTCTGTGACAGAATTAAAACCCAGATGTTACATAGCTCCCTCACACAAGGAGAAAAAGGGCAATCTGCCCGAGACACTACAGTGCTGCTGTCTACCTTATGCCTGAATCCATGTATGCAGCCATGTGAACACTTATTATTTATTTTACTGACATTTTAGATTTGTTTCCAGTGAGATATCACAGTTTATATACTGACTTTGCTGTGTAAACTTTGCCATTGCTGCTCTAAAAACAATATTTTGTTGTATATAAAATATAAGCAAAGACAGTATAGGACAAATAAATATTGTAATGATAATAGTCTAAAATTATCACAGATACTGTCAACTTTCTGAGGGTAGGAGCTCCAACCCCCCACAACAGCCATGCAGCCAGAAGAAGTGAATTTTTGTCAGCAGTATTAGGCTGAGCTTCTGCCAGTGAGGATGTCAGTCAGAGGGCAACGTGAGAGTTGAGCTTGTTAACATGAGGAAAATGTACTGAAATACACTTAATTTCAGTATATCATTAATAAACTGTAGCAGTGTCACGGTGTGTTGTTAATATCCCTTCATCCCTTCGTGTCACAAAAGTAGTCATCCCATATATATGTAATTATTTACTTTTATGAATTTGGGCTCCTGGCCTACTAAACATCCTCTGCTGAAACCCTAATAGTCCGCAACTCTTAAGGCTTCTTTTCCCGGTAATATACACACTCCCTGGAGTAGGGCATTTTTTGGACTACTGGGATGATGGAATAATGTGTCATTTGAACAATGGTATGTCTGTATACCATCTTTAAAACATACTGTGTATGAGATGAAGTTAAAACTCTTTCGGTAAAGCTCTATGTTGCTATTGTTATATTGATGGATTATTTAAGCAAAGAAGCAAGAAAACACATGTCAGACGTATCTATTTAGTTAAATCCCTCCCTGTGCAGCAAACTCAACTTAACACTGTTAACGTGTTTAAAAACTACACCACAATATGAATCTAAACTTTTGACCTAGAAGAAGGACATTATTTTATACAGATCCGAATGCTTCGAAAATTTCCCATGATGATGAGATAAAGTGCTTGCATTTCTCCAACCACAGATAGGAAGCTGCTGATGAAGGTTGATATAGAGGTTATGAGGCGAGTGGTGTCAGTGTTTGCACAACCTCAGAGCAGAATGGCTGCAGTAACAGAACTCTCCTTCCTGCTGTTTGCTCTCATCAACAACATTCATGCAGAAGAACGTATCACCATCCGATATGAAGGGGGCTCTTACACCTTCAACCCCCCCAAGGAGGCCAACTTCTGCCTGATCTCCAGATTTGTTGGTGAAAAGAAGCTCCTCCTGTGGAATACCTCTGCCCTCTGGTCCGAGAACTCCACGGTACCTGAAGACTTGAAGCGACGACTTTCAGTTGGCAGCGTTAATAATATTTCTTCTTACACGATCCAGAACCTGACCCATTCCGACTCCAGCCAGTACCAAGAGGAGTGTTGGACCGAAGGCAAAGTGACATCTGAGAAAAACACCAGTATCACTGTTTGTAAGACAAAGGATGAGCTCAAAGTGATTGATGTGAGATTTGGAGGAACAGTGGACGTGTCATGTGAGGGAGCGGCTGACAATCTGAATATCCAGTGGCTCAAGTATGACCATGGATATAAGACATGGACAAAAGTATTTGAGGACGATACAACATCGTTGATGGACAATGTTAAAGTGGTGAAAACCACATCAGCACTTCGTCTCTCCAACTTCACATTTACAACGTTTCAATGGTACATGTGTCTGGTGATGAACCAGCAGCAGTGTGTGAGCAGTCACCCTGTACAAGTTAGTGTGCCACCAGAGATAATCTACCACTCAGTGGAAGAGACGGCTGTGCTGCAGTGCAATGTGACTGATTTCAGTGACGACCAGCCCCCAGTTTGGATGAAGAGGAATTTTCCAAAATCTTCCGACACTGGCCAAGGACAACTAAACAAGACTGTGTCTAATGTGGAAGAAGAGGTGGGTAGAAACTACTCACTGGTGATTTCATCTCTGACGTTAAATCACTCAGGTCGGTACTACTGTAAAACGTTTGTCACTTTACAAATGCATGTGCTGGTGGTTTGCCCTAAATTTGGCCCCCCTGCTGTAGAGCTCTTCTCAGAGGGAGATGATGTCACTCTCAGATGCAGAAATTGGGAAGAGGGTATGGTACCCCTTTGGTTCATGAAGTCGAATAAAACAGAGGGCAGAATCTTTAATACTTATAATATAAGATCTGATCTGAGAAGAGTGAAGACATTCTCCCTTAATGGCTCCTTGGTTATATCTAATGTCTCACTGGAAGACACAGGAGAGTATTGGTGTGCAGTTCTTGACCCAGATCAGCAGTGTGTGTCAACAACCAAAACTCTTGTAAAGTACAGAGAGCCCTTTGGGATTCACTTCACGTTGTACACAGTGAGGAACTCACTGCTCAGTGGTCTGCTGGTGATCCTCTGTGTTGTTGTAGTCACTGTGATCCAGAGGAGCAGGAGAGGAGAGCAGCGTTCAGCTGAGACAGAGAGTTAATATACATATGTTCATACTTACTCATCAGTAGCTTTATCACCTTCTTTCACTGTAGGTCCTCATTTCTCTTTAACACACAATCTTAAAGGCACAGTTCACTCCAAAATATATATTTGTGCTGTTTATCCATCTGGATTGTCTTTGTGTGAGTTGGAGTTATCCAATATAAACATCTCATATAAAAAAACTATGTGAATATTATTATTATTATTATTATTATTATTATTATTATTATTATGCTCAGTAGAAAAATGTAGTAAGTCCAACAGGTGATAAAAGAGGTAGTGGTCAAAAATAAAAGTCAGTGTAATAATGTAATATTGATGATATTGTGACTTTTCTTTTTCTTTGTTGTGAATAGATGTGAATATATGATCACTGCTTTGTGCTGCACCCAGACCCATAAGAGAGTCTGTAAGGGTTATTATCATTATTTTAGATTTTTTAACAATTCAGTAATTAATTAACATTTTAACATTGCTTTCACCTAAGATGTCTTAAACCCATTTTAAAAAATCTTGTTTTATATTTCTGGTGTTTTGTTTGTAATCTAGTGATTATGTGATTTCTTTTTCATTTACATGTGAAGGAATGTGAGTTGGCTTTTATGCAGATATAATTGTTGTATCATCCAGTGTTGTTAGTGTTATATAACTGTTATTATACTTTGGTCTATATCAGTCAATGAGCAGTCGTCTCTACAATAAAGGTTAAAAATAAACCATAAAACTTGGTACCCAGTTTTTACTGATTTGATTGTGATTTGGGTGTAAAATGTATCTTATATTGTATTTAAGATCTGATTAATTCTAACATCCACAAATATATAGTTTTATCTGCCTGAAATACATCATATTTTTGTTTATACACTTTATTTACATTTTTCAAGTCTCTGTTTGCTCAGAAATTAGAAATATCATAGCCAACAGTATTTCTGGTTAAGTGATGTTATCTGATATATATTTGGTACAAACACTTGACTTTTTGTAATTCTGGATTATATAACAAAATCAAATAAAAATAGCTATATTTGACTGCATTTCATTACTTTGTGTTAAATTAGCCTAAAAGGGGAGTAAAATATAACTGTGTGCATTGAGCAAAAACCCAACTGTGGTCTGCCTGCAGAAAACCTTCTTTGGGGTATTGTTTCATTAACACATGAATTAAGCTCAGCAAAGACATGTCGTACGTAACTGATTACATGTTGCAATAGAATAATGAATGCCTACAAGAAAGATTCAAAACTTGTTTATAACTTGTTTGGGGACTTATTCAACCCAATCTATTTAGATAAATCCCTCCCTGTGCAGGAAACGCAACATAACACCTTGAATGTTTCTACGAAACCTTCTGACGTGGAGAAAGTACATAAATAACTTGATACAGAGTCAAATGATTCAAAGTTTCCTATGATGATGATGAAATAAAGTGGTCGTGTTGCTCCAATAACAATTAAGAAGCTGCTGATGAAGGTTGATATAGAGGTTTTGAGGCGAGTGCTGTCAGTGGTTGCACAACCTCAGAGCAGAATGGCTGCAGTCACAGAGCTCTCCTTCCTGCTGTTTGCTCTCATCAACAACATTCATGCAAAAGAACTTATCACCATCCGATATGAAGGGGACTCTTACACCTTCAACCCCCCCAAGGAGGCCAACTTCTGCCTGTTCTCCAGATTTGTTGGTGAAGAGAAGCTCCTCCTGTGGAATACCTCTGCCCTCTGGTCCGAGAACTCCACGGTACCTGAAGACTTGAAGCAACGACTTTCAGTTGGCAGCGTTAATAATATTTCTTCTTACACGATCCAGAACCTGACCCATTCCGACTCCAGCCAGTACCAAGAGGAGTGTTGGACCGAAGGCAAAGTGACATCTGAGAAAGACATCAGTCTCACTGTTTGTAAGACAGAGGATGAAGACAAAGTGATTCCAGTGAGACTTGGAGGAACAGTGGACCTGCCATGTGAGGGAGCGGCTGACAATCTGGATATCCAGTGGCTCAAGCAAGACCTTAGATATGAGGAAGAAATATGGACAAAAGTGTTTGAGGACGATACAACATCAGTGATGGACAATATTAAAATGGTGAAAACCACTTCAGCACTTCGTCTCTCCAACTTCACATTTACAACGTTTCAACGGTACATCTGTCTGGTGATGAACCAGCAGCAGTGTGTTAGCAGTCACCCTGTACAAATTAGTCTGCAAGCAGAGGTAATGTACCACTCAGTGGAAGAGACGGCTGTGCTGCAGTGCAATGTTCCTGATTTCAGTGACAAACAGCCCCCAGTTTGGAAGACGTGGAATAGGAAAAGATCCTCCGACACTGACCCAGGACAACAAAACCACATTGTGTCTAATGTGGATGAACGGGTGGGTCAAAACAACTCACTGGTGATTTCATCCCTGACTTTAAATCACACAGGTCGGTACAACTGTGAAACGTTTGTCAATGTACAAACATATTGGCTGGTGGTTTGCCCCAAATTTGCCCCCCCTGCTGTAGAGCTCTTCTCAGAGGGAGATAATATCACTCTCAGATGCAGAAATTGGGAAGAGGGTACGTTACCCATTTGGTTTATGAAGTCGAACCAAACAGAGGGCAGAATCTTTAATGAATTTAATATAAGATCTGATCTAAGAAGAATGAACATATTCCTCCTTAATGGCTCCTTGGTTATATCAAATGTCTCACTGGAAGACACAGGAGAGTATTGGTGTGCAGTTCTTGACTCAGATCTACAGTGTGTGTCAACAACCAAAATTCTTGTAAAGTACAGAGAGCCCTTTGGGATTCACTTCACGTTGTACACAGTGAGGAACTCACTGCTCAGTGGTCTGCTGGTGATCCTCTGTGTTGTTGTAGTCGCTGTGATCCAGAGGAGCAGGAGAGGAGAGCAGCGTTCAGCTGAGACAGAGAGTTAATATACATATGTTCATACTTACTCATCAGTAGCTTTATCACCTTCTTTCACTGTAGGTCCTCATTTCTCTTTAACACACAATGTTTGACACAATGTTAAAGGCACAGTTCACTCCAAAATATATATTTGTGCTGCTGTTTATCCATCTGGATTGTCTTTGTTTGAGTTGGAGTTATCGAATATAAACATCACACTTAAAAAAAACTATGTGATTATTATTATTATTATTATTATTATTATTATGCTCAGTAGAAAAATGTAGTAAGTCCAACAGGTGATAAAAGAGGTAGTGGTCAAAAATAAAAGTCAGTGTAATAATTTAATATTGATGATATTGTGACTTTTCTTTTTTCTTTGTTGTGAATAGATGTGAATATATGATCACTGCTTTGTGCTGCACCCAGACCCATAAGAGAGTCTGTAAGGGTTATTATCATTATTTTAGATCTTTTTAATATTTCAGTAATTAATTAACATTTTAACATTGTTCTCACCTAAGATGTCTTAAACCCATTTTAAAAAATCTTGTTTTATATTACTGGTGTTTTGTTTGTAATCTAGTGATTATGTGATTTCTTTTTCATTGACATGTGAAGGAATGTGAGTTGGCTTTTATGCAGATATAATTGTTGTATCATCCAGTGTTGTTAGTGTTATATAACTGTTATTATACTTTGGTCTATATCAGTCAATGAGCAGTCGTCTCTACAATAAAGGTTAAAAATAAACCATAAAACTTGGTACCCAGTTTTTACTGATTTGATTGTGATTTGGGTGTAAAATGTATCTTATATTGTATTTAGGATCTGATTAATTCTAACATCCACAAATATATAGTTTTATCTGCCTGAAATAAATCATATTTTTGTTTATACACTTTATTTACATTTTTCAAGTCTCTTTTTTCATCTGGAACAATTACTCAGAAATTAGAAATATCATAGCCAACAGTATTTCTGGTTAAGTGATGTTATCTGATATATATTTGGTACAAACACTTGACTTTTTGTAATTTTGGATTATATAACAAAATCAAATAAAAATAGCTATATTTGACTGCATTTCATTACTTTGTGTTAAATTAACCTAAAAGGGGAGTAAAATATAACTGTGTGCATTGAGCAAAAACCCAACTGTGGTCTGCCTGCAGAAAACCTTCTTTGGGGTATTGTTTCATTAACACATGAATTAAGCTCAGCAAAGACATGTCGTACGTAACTGATTACATGTTGCAATAAAATAATGAATGCCTACAAGAAAGATTCAAAACTTGTTTATAACTTGTTTGGGGACTTATTCAACCCAATCTATTTAGATAAATCCCTCCCTGTGCAGGAAACACAACATAACACCTTGAATGTTTCTACGAAACCTTCTGACGTGGAGAAAGTACATAAATAACTTGATACAGAGTCAAATGATTCAAAGTTTCCTATGATGATGATGAAATAAAGTGGTCGTGTTGCTCCAATAACAATTAAGAAGCTGCTGATGAAGGTTGATATAGAGGTTTTGAGGCGGAGTCAGTGGTTGCACAACCTCAGAGCAGAATGGCTGCAGTCACAGAGCTCTCCTTCCTGCTGTTTGCTCTCATCAACAACATTCATGCAAAAGAACTTTTCATCATCCTATATGAAGGGGGCTCTTACACCTTCAACCCCCCCAAGGAGGCCAACTTCTGCCTGATCTCCAGATTTGTTGGTGAAGAGAAGCTCCTCCTGTGGAATACCTCTGCCCTCTGGTCCGAGAACTCCACTGTACCTGAAGACTTGAAGCAACGACTTTCAGTTGGCAGCGTTAATAATATTTCTTCTTACATGATCCAGAACCTGACCCATTCCGACTCCAGCCAGAACCAAGAGGAGTGTTGGACTGAAGGCAAAGTGACATCTGAGAAAGACATCAGTCTCACTGTTTGTAAGACAGAGGATGAAGACAAAGTGATTCCAGTGAGACTTGGAGGAACAGTGGACCTGCCATGTGAGGGAGCGGCTGACAATCTGGATATCCAGTGGCTCATGATTGACTCTAGATATCAAGAAGAAATATGGACAAAAGTATTTGAGGACAGTACACCATCAGTGATGGACAATATTAAAGGGGTGAAAACCATATCAGCACTTCATCTCTCCAACTTCATGCCAACAACGTTTCAACAGTACATCTGTCTGGTGATGAACCAGCAGCAGTGTGTTAGCAGTCACCCTGTACAAGTTAGACTGCAAGAAGAGTTAATGTACCACTCAGTGGAAGAGACGGCTGTGCTGCAGTGCAATGTGACTGATTTCGGTGACGACCAGCCCCCAGTTTGGAAGAAGTGGAATTTGAAAAGATCCTCCGACACTGACCCAGGACAACAATATTTGGGCCAAAACAACTCACTGGTGTTTTCATCTCTGACCTTAAATCACTCAGGTGTGTTCTACTGTAGTAAAACCCTTGTCACTGTAAGAGCATATTGGCTGGTGGTTTGCCCCAAATTTGCCCCCCCTGCTGTAGAGCTCTTCTCAGAGGGAGATGATGTCACTCTCAGATGCAGAAATTGGGAAGAGGGTATGTGGTACCTTTGGTTCATGAAGTCGAATAAAACAGGGGGCAGAATCTTTAATACTTATAATATAAGATCTGATCTGAGAAGAATGAACATATTCTCCCTTAATGGCTCCTTGGTTATATCTAATGTCTCACTGGAAGACACAGGAGAGTATTGGTGTGCAGTTCTTGACTCAGATCTACAGTGTGTGTCAACAACCAAAATCCTTTTAAAGTACAGAGAGCCCTTTGGGATTCACTTCACGTTGTACACAGTGAGGAACTCACTGCTCAGTGGTCTGCTGGTGATCCTCTGTGTTGTTGTAGTCGCTGTGATCCAGAGGAGCAGGAGAGGAGAGCAGCGTTCAGCTGAGACAGAGAGTTAATATACATATGTTCATACTTACTCATCAGTAGCTTTATCACCTTCTTTCACTGTAGGTCCTCATTTCTCTTTAACACACAATGTTAAAGGCACAGTTCACTCCAAAATATATATTTGTGCGGTTTATCCATCTGGATTGTCTTTGTGTTGGATGAAGTTATCGAATATAAACATCTCACATAAAATAACTATGTGAATATTATCATTATTATTATTATTATTATTATGCTCAGTAGAAAGATTTAGTAAGTCCAACAGGTGATAAAAGAGGTAGTGGTCAAAAATAAAAGATGTGAATATATGATCACTGCTTTGTGCTGCACCCAGACCCATAAGAGAGTCTGTAAGGGTTATTATCATTATTTTAGATTTTTTAACATTTCAGTAATTAATTAACATTTTAACATTGCTTTCACCTAAGATGTGTTAAACCCATTTTAAAAAATCTTGTTTTATATTACTGGTGTTTTGTTTGTAATCTAGTGATTATGTGATTTCTCTTTCATTTACATGTGAAGGAATGTGAGTTGGTTTTTATGCAGATATAATTGTTGTATCATCCAGTGTTGTTAGTGTTATATAACTGTTATTATACTTTGGTCTATATCAGTCAATGAGCCGTCGTCTCTACAATAAAGGTTAAAAATAAACCATAAAACTTGGTACCCAGTTTTTATTGATTTGATTGTGATTTGGGTGTAAAATGTATCCGTTGTATTTAAGATCTGATTAATTCCAACATCCACAAATATATATTTGTATCTGCCAGCAGTGCTTAGAAAATTGCAAATAATTCATATTTTTATAGAAATGAGAAATATAATTGAATCAGTTTTTTTCAGGTTACGTTATACCAATATATGCTTGTTACACACATTTTACTCTTTTGATTGTGATTTCTATATATATATATATTTGTATCATTTCTGTAATCTTAAATTGTGTAAAATGGCTGTATTTTATTTTACTGGATTTCCTTACTGTGTTAATGTTAAAGAGTTCGGTCTAGACCTGCTCTATTTGAAAAGTGTCCTGAGATAACTTCTGTTATGAATTGGCGCTATACAAATAAAATTGAATTGAATTGAATTGAATTGTTACTTCATGCGGCCTTTTAGAAAACAGGGCACACGCCTATAAGAGATGTAGTTTTCTAATAGCACTAAATAATAGTTACAGGTGTGTGCACAAAATTAGATGCATCTCTTATCAATCATCTACAAAAATCTTAAAACTCATGGGGGTGGGGTCTTATTGTGAGTGTACCACAGTAAACCCACAGAGGGCCCCAGCAAGGTAAAAAAAATAAAAAATAAAAGGCAGGAAAGAGAGAAAGAAAAGGGACCAAGAGGAGACAGCAGAGGAGAAAGAGGAGGAGGGAAACTGTGGAGCTCAGTCACTTCCGCACCATGTGAGATACCGGGACTGAAGCTCATTTGCTGCCGGCTGGACCCCGCATCCTCCGGGATAATGCAGCAGCAGAGAGGGCTTCCATCCACCAGAGGAGGCGAGGTCCAACGGTAGAGAGACAGAGAGAGAGACCGGAGGCCGGGGAGGAGACATCGGCTGCTCCGTGCACACAGCGGAGTCTCCCAGCGGCTCTAGGCGCAGACAATCCCCGGCGAAGAGCGCAAACCAGCCGCCAACATGACTGCAGACGTGGCGGTGTCTCTGTCGGTGCTCGCGGGGATTGTCGCAGTGAGCAACGCGACCCGCAGGGTGTTGACCAGGGCCCTCGCGGACACCGGGCTCTCTGTGTACGCGGTTGAACTCGTGTCCACCTTCCAGCTGTGCTGCTGCACGCACGAGCTAAAGCTGCTGTCTGAGGTGGGCGGGATCGAGCGTGGACTGGCGCTCACCTTGACGTACCTGGCCGCCGTCATCCACGGGCTCACCTTCAGCGGGGCCATCGGCAACCCCTCCAGTGCGCTGGAGCACGCATACCACGCGAGGCTCTCGGGCGGGTGCGCCCTGCGGCGGATCGCGTGTCAGTTCGCTGCGGCCGCCGCTGCGCGAGCCGCGGTGCCGGTGATCTGGGGTATCGGGTTGTCGGGACTGCACGTGCGGCATAAGCTGCTCGGGTACCGGTGCATCAGCGCCATTCACGCGCCGCTGCCAAAGGCCGCCGCGGTGGAGCTCGCGTGCGCCTTTGCGGTTCAGACTGCTGTTACGCACACGCGCTCGGTGGAGGAGAAATACCGGGTGCACGCGGTGGCTGCAGTCATCGCTACGGTGGTCTATGCAGGTATGACACACAATAATGACCACGACTCTGTTTGGTTGTTTCTTGGGGAGATTTGTGTTTTCATACGTCAGACTCCAGTGTTAATTAGACTGATAATGAGAGGTCAGGGGTCAGCCTAGTGAGTGACAGATTAGTGTCTCTCATTGGCAGTTTAAACAAACAGCTTCTCCTTTAGTGTGAGATCAGCAGTGTTTTCTGTTTGAGGTAAAGATAAAGATACCTATTATAACAGAAGCCAAGTTACAGTAGTGTTGAGCTGTATGACCAAAAATGTATATCATCGTTTTTTTTATGAGACGAACATAACTGGGTCATATAGGTTTATAGTGGCTTATTGTGCTGCCAGGTTTAGTGTCATCGTGTATAAAGTGAAGGCTTTGATTTCTATAGGGTTTTATTCGCCCTATAGACAATCTTTATTGTACAAACTGCAATGTAGTAAAAACAGGACCTGAGAGACAGGATCAGAGGATATGGTTTCTAAGTTACCTTTTGTACATAGCAGTAAATATAAAATACATCTTCCTTCTCAGAACTCAATATTTGAAGACAGTGAGAACTGATTACAGATGTGACACAATTTCCTTAACTGTTCAACCACAATTTTAAAAAAAGAATCTAACATTTTAATATCTTCAAGCTACTAATAGCAGATCTTTTAACTGCTGTCAGAAGTCTGTCACAATAAATCAACACTGAAAATTTGTGCAAACTCTACCCTGTTTTTCGGGGCGTTTTGGGGGAGGTAGACTGACTTTGACGCACAATATGCTGACTACAAAGTAGAGAAAGGACTGCTGAGGAGTAAAGTTTATTTTACGTATATTTTCTGCTCCTCCTGGCTCCCCTGTAGTTCACAGTTTATAAGTGAATTCAGCAACTGATTAAAACAGCTCTCTCATCTTTTCTTTAAAGTAGAGCAGATTAAACTTCATTGTCCCTGAGGCAAAATGTGTCACACAGTGCTACAATCAAAACCAACACGAAACATCTTAAAACATGAGAGAGACATTTGACTATATACTGTCACTAACACTGGCACTACGACTTACTCTGTGCACCATATAATGCACACCAATCTTCATACCATCTTTGCAGAAAATATAAGGTCTGATCTAAGAGGAACAAAAACAAAACATTGTCAGAAATGTACGCGTGACACAAGCTTGGTCAACACCATTATCATATCATATGATATCATATCATATGCAATCTAAGGCTAAAACATGTATTCAGGATTCAGATACATACAGAGCCATGGTCCAGTGGAATTCATTGACAGTGCATGTTGTTCAAGAGAACTTTAAGATATTTAGATATTTAAAGAACTGTAGGATGTGTGTTTGTGTGTGTAAAACTGTGCGAAAGTAAAAATCCCCCTAGAAGAGTATGAGGTATTTTAATACTCTCTTTTCTTGGAATTAAATGTATGAGTGTAAATTTTCATTATGACAACAATTTATTAAGTTTACTATTACACACATTTTTTTAAAATTAATGTCTGTTAATGTCTTAATGTCTGTTGAAAACGATGACAGTTTGTTTTTATGCCGTTTGTACTTGTTCATTTAATGAGACGAGCTGTTTGGGTGTGTAGGTGAGTATGAACACAGGAAGAATAGTCAATGCTTACGCTGTCCTAATGGGGATCCAAGTAAACAAATAATTAGAGTTTAGAATATCTAGTTGTGTGACTTTTTAAGTGTGGACATGTCATAAACAATATCTTTATAGTCTCCTCTTATTACATGTTTCACAGCTGTTTGAACTCAGTGAACATAAAACGAACATTCATCATCATCTCATTCATCTTTGTACCAGAAAAGACTTATTTTTTTCGTTTTTTAATTTAAGAGCACATTCAACTTGTTTGTTTAGGATTTGTAAAGGACTGAAAAGTGGCTGAAGTTGTTCATTCATTAACGTGTGTGTGTGTGTGTGTGTGTGTGTGTGTGTGTGTGTGTGTGTGTGTGTGTGTGTGTGTGTGTGTGCAGGTGGCAGTGCTACAGGAGCAGTGTTTAACCCCGCGTTGGCCTTCTCCACACAGTTCCCCTGCAGTGGAAATTCCTTCCTGGAGTACTGCCTGGTCTACTGGCTTGGCCCGCTGCTCGGTAAGACCCACTGATGTACACCGGCATCAGGGTATCTACAGGTTTTGAAAAGTCTTAAAAAGCAAATGCATGTGGTGTGTTGAATGGTGAATGATGAAATAAAGTGTTCCTCCAACCACAGATAGGAAGCTGCTGTAAAAAGAAGCCTACTGACTATGTATGAAAAAATAAAAACAAACATGATACAGAGAATTGTATAAAAAGCTGTTAAAATATCAGAAAAAATGTATCTTTGATAAATATTAACAGGAAATAATCTGCTCAAAATGTTCTCATTTTACTTAAACTTCCTTCAGTTATTGTGTTCTCTGTATGGGTTGATTGTACAGTTTATTGGTTGTTCTGTTCGGTTATTGTTATGCACTGAATATAACATGAAATATCCATAAAATATATCAGGGATCGTTAGTTTACTGAGTGATAGAAAATGGGTAAAGGAAAGTGTTTGGAAACATTTCTACAGCTTATTAGTAAAGATTGAACAAATGTTTTCTGATATTACACCATTGTGGTTAAGGTTTGGTTAGATTTAGGCACAAAAACATCTTGGTTTGTGTATGTTAATAAATTATCACACAAATTATATAGGTAATCTGTTACACATCAACAGACAAACTGAAACAGTTGAAATGTTATAAACTATCCAAATAAAGTGTTCCCCTAACATGTATTTGTTGCTCTTCTTCATCTCTTCTTCTACCTTCTGGCTGTTCCAGGTATGATGAGCTCAGTGCTGCTGTTTGATAAACTCGTCCCTCTGCTGTCGAGGAACTCATCTTCTCTCCATCTTCCCCTGGAGACCAAGAAGAGGACATGAGCATCGCCGGGCGGGCAGCAGTTCAAACACAGAGCACATGTCTTTCACAAGACTGTTAAATTGCTGCTGCACTTAGGAAAACACTGATATGCACTTTTTTAATCCTAAAAGGTTTTTTTTTTTTAATACAGTGGACCATGATTATTCGGACAACAGGTCTTTTGGATGATTTCACATCTCGAGCACATCTTAGAAACTAAACAGAAAACTAATTTAGTGATAGAGAAATTTACGAGGGAGAACTCATAAATAGAGCATCCGGAAAATAGTTTTATTTTATGAGGTGGTTGGTCGAAAACAAAAAACCAGTTTCAGTTTACACTCATCAGATTTAAAGGTCCAGTGTGTAGGATTTAGCTGCATCTAGCGGTGTAGTTGCAGGTCGTAACTCTCTTGTGTCACCCTCCCCTTCCAAGAGCAAAAGAGAAGCTACAGTGGCTGTGAAAGGTTTCCCTTCCACTATGAACAACTACATGGCCACGTGCCAGTAATTTGGTTTCCCCCTGCTGTAAGCCTCTTGTTTATATTTGTTTGAGCTCTGACACGGCATGGTAGACTCTGTAGAAGAGGACCCGCTCCCTCTGTAGATAAAAACAGCTCATTCTAAGGTACAGAAAACACAACAGTTGTTATTTCCATGTGATTATACACTGATGAAAAGGTACCTATGAATATTATATTGTAGAGCCTCCTAAATGTTTCACACTGGACCTTTTCAAACCTTTAGACACTTTGTTAATGGACTTGCATTTATGTAGCACAGGTGTTTCACACTACATGTCACATTCACACATTGATCATCAGAAAGTAACTGATTCACAGCCTTCGGGATCAATTCAGGGTTCAGTGGCAAAGGACACTTCAACATGTGGACAGGGGAATCGAACCGCTAATCCTCGATTAGTGGATGACTCGCTCTACATCTGACCCACAGCCGGTGGATTACCGCCCCAGAGCCAGTATCACCACAACAACTGTTCAAACAAGAATGCTAAGTATCTGTCACTGGAATATCAACGATTATAACTCACAAAAGAAAAGTTTGTTTCTTGTACTTCGATTGTTAGGCAGATTACAGCATGGGTAGATCCACACAGCCATAAACATACACAACATTTATCTGCTTGTTTTCTAGTGATGTCAAGCACAAATATTGTTGTTACAATTCATTGAACCAAGTGTTGTTTTTGTGTAATAGTAATAATAATGAATCACTGATTAATAATTTGTAATGGAAGGTTGAGAATTTTATGTTCTGAGTATGATAATATTATTAAAATAATAATACAATTTTAAAACTGTTTCTCAAGGCTATTTCTAATTCCTTTTTTTTTCTTGTGAAAATTTTGCTCTTTATTTCTAGCTTTGTCAGTACAGCATGAAACACATAAACACAGATGCATACAAATACTTACATCCCTGACAAATATAGTTCTTATTTATTTATAAAAAACAGAAGGTTTACACAGTCAAAGTACCAAGGGGAATCAAACACAGCAATACGCCAACAGCTCATCAGGACCTAGGAATGCACCCTGAAACCTCAGTCCATGCCAGGCCACAGAGACCACTCCGGAGAGCCCGGGCCCCATCGTCTCCAATATATTTTTTCAAATTCCACTTCATCCAAACTGGGGGCTGGTCGTCACTGAAATCAGTCACATTGCACTGCAGCACAGCCGTCTCTTCCACTGAGTGGTAGATGAACTCTGTGTGTAGGTCTAACTCTACAGGGTGACTGCTAACACACTGCTGCTGGTTCATCACCAGACAGATGTACCATTGAAACGTTGTTAATGTGAAGTTGGAGAGACGAAGTGCTGATGTGGTTTTCACCACTTTAACATTGTCCATCAACGATGTTGTATCGTCCTCAAATACTTTTGTCCATATTTCTTCCTCATATCTAAGGTCTTGCTTGAGCCACTGGATATCCTGATTGTCAGCCGCTCCCTCACATGGCAGGTCCACTGTTTCTCCAAGTCTCACTGGAATCACTTTGTCTTTATCCTTTGTCTTACAAACAGTGATACTGATGTCAGATGTCACTTTGCCTTCGGTCCAACACTCCTCTTGGTTCTGGCTGGAGTCGGAATGGGTCAGGTTCTGGATCGTGTAAGAAGAAATATTATTAACGCTGCCAACTGAAAGTCGTCGCTTCAAGTCTTCAGGTACCGTGGAGTTCTCGGACCAGATGGCAGAGGTATTCCACAGGAGGAGCTTCTCTTCACCAACAAATCTGGAGATCAGGCAGAAGTTGGCCTCCTTGGGGGGGTTGAAGGTGTAAGAGTCCCCTTCATATCGGATGGTGATAAGTTCTTTTGCATGAATGTTGTTGATGAGAGCAAACAGCAGGAAGGAGAGCTCTGTGACTGCAGCCATTCTGCTCTGAGGTTGTCCAACCACTGACAGCACTCGCCTCATAACCTCTATATCAACCCTCATCGTTACGTTAGCTTTCGTCTTAGAGCAGAACAGAAAACTATATTTTTGTGCAAAGATGGTATGAAGATCAGTGTGTATTATATACTGCACAATGTAAAGAAAAGATGAGAAACCAGTTTTAATCAGTTGATAACATTTGCTGAGTTCACTTATAAGTTCTTATTATCTGGGGGGGCTTTGGTGGCACTGTGAAGTCTGATTGGCCACCCCATTATCCTAAAGTATGAGCCTGGCTATCTGCCCTGTGAGAGGCAGGACCTTAGTTCCAACCAACTGTTTGATGAGTATTTTGGAATGTGCATTGTTTTCATTTGGATGTAAATAAACAAATAAACAGCTTACACACTGCAGGACTCTAATGTGCAGTTATTTATTGCACTCTTTAAGTGGACATTGGAGCCCTGCAGTGTGTGAGCTGTTTGTCTATTTCTGTGTTTGCTTACTGTCGGCTCAGCCTCTTTTAGTTTGGATGTGCGTGCATACTCCTTCTTTCTGTTGTATATAGCCTACTTTTGGAGGTAGGATTTCTTTTTGAGGACTTACTCAACAGTTCGCTCAGATTATAGATGAGGAAGATAAAATGTGGGTGAACAGTTGAGGAAATGGTGTGACAGCTGTAATCAGTTAGTCTTCAGATATTGAGTTCTGAGAAAGAAGATATCTTTAAGATTCATGTACAAACAGTGTAGTGCTTTACATGGGCGCCTAGTTATAGTTCAAGTGTGGGTGCAGGATTAGTGACAGGCATAAGGGGAGGTATGGAAGGAAGATTTCATTCATTCACAGCTGAAAGTGCCATTTCCTGCAATATAGAGCCTTCAGTCATGAACCATAAAGCTGCTCTTTCACTATAAAGCTCAGTTTTTATTGCACTATTCTATATAAAAATATTAGTTTTTCATTGTGTTCTGTACTTTCAGCAGTAATTGACAGATAAAATGTCTCAGAGTGAACATAATGCATATATTTCAGAGCAACAAACTTGAGAATACACTGAGTTGAGTTGCATTCCCATTACCTGTAACTCTCTGGTGTCTTTCTGTCACTTCATTTGAGAGGAGAGCAACCAGAGCCAGTCCGCCCTACACGCTCACTACACAAGCTGCGTAGAGCCCCGCCTCCCCCTCATGTCAAAGCAACTGACAATGTTTACAACTTTGATGAGAGGATGAACAAACTATCTGTCAGAATAAGAGGAAGAAAATGTGCAGCTTGCAGTGAATTTCTCTCCACTTTGTCTATCTGTCCGTCTGTCTGTCTCACTAACAGTTGACAGTGCAGCTTTCTGCAGGGTTAGGGTTCTAGTGCTTTTCTAACTATTCTACTTAACAGGTTTTTTTTTTCAGGGTATTTTAGTGATTGATGGCTTTAAGTGTGTTGTCCTCTTGCTCCGACAGTTAAAGTGTGTTGGCCTATACGGTGTGTTTTTGGATCCCTGTCCTGAAAGGTGGATATTAATGTTGAAATGTTGACTGTTTAGTGAACTGATATTCTCTGGTTTTTACTCTACTGAATCTGCTATCCTGCACCTGGCCTGAATATTAGGATTGTGTGTGCACACGCCTTTCTGTAACTTTTATTTAGTACAATTAAAAAAACTACATTTCTTATACGTATGTGCAGCGGTGCCGCCAGGAATTTTCGGCCCCATGACAAAAAAATCTAATTGGGCCCCCTCTGCGCAGCTGTTGTCACCACAGCTCTAGGACCTAACTGTCCCATCAAAAGCTTTACATAACTCTAATTAAAAGCTTGCAACTGTCTTGCTTCTTGTAGTTCAATACTAGTACTAGCACAATATTTACTCCTGGTGATTTGCACATGCATGCAAGTCTTCATACAGTATGCAGTTCACTATTTGATGCAAGATTAAAAGCAACCATAAAAAATGTGCTAAAGGCCATCTTTTACAGTCTCAATGTATTTTTATTGTAAAATTTAAAAATGGAAAATCCTCTTAACGAAATTAATTATTCATTATTATTATTATTATTATTATAAATTATTATTGTCATTATAATTTTATTGTCAATATGTCATTCCATAATTCAATCTAAATGAACGTATCAAACTGGATTATTTTAATATTGTCTGTATCTTACATGCAGGCTCAGGTAAACTACTCACTGTTTCCAACTGTCCAGCATCCAGTACAGACAGTTGGTTGTTGTTTTTTAATTTTATTTCATAATGATCATATTGTGAGAAAACAATTGTTATTAATGTGTTTGAATTTCTGTCATTAATAAATATTTAATTTTCTTTTTTGTAATGGTAAAAAGAGCAAGAGAGAAATCCCCACAGACTCCCTGCAATGATGCTAACTGGCCTGTCATTGAACACAACGTTGCTCAGCTTCTTCACTGGGACAGGGAGGGGTACAGTGATGGGGAGACTGGGAGGGGTACAGTGATGGGGAGACTGGGAGGGGTACAGTGATGAGGGAGACAGGGAGAGGTACAGTGATGGGGAGACTGGGAGGGGTACAGTGATGGGGAGACTGGGAGGGTACAGTGATGGGGAGACTGGGAGGGGTACAGTGATGGGGGGACAGGAGGGGTACAGTGATGGGGAGACAGGGAGGGGTACAGTGATGGGGGGGACAGGAGGGGTACAGTGATGGGGAGACTGGGAGGGGTACAGTGATGGGGAGACTGGGGGGGTACAGTGATGGGGGGGACGGGAGGGGTACAGTGATGGGGGGACAGGGAGGGGTACAGTGATGGGGAGACTGGGAGGGGTACAGTGATGGGGGGGACTGGGAGGGGTACAGTGATGGGGAGACTGGGGTGCTGCTGACTCATCTGTTGTTAAGTCTGCTAAAAGGGGCAGGGACAATGATTTAATATGAATATGTTGCTAAACGTTTCCCTGAACGGATTAAATGGTGATTAAATGTAGGCTGACACTAGTCTGTAGCTGGCTATCTTATTTCACTATGGACATTAAGCCAACAGGTTAATAGCACTCACAGACTATAGGCTCCTTTCTTGGTGAAACACTGGGTTACAGATTGACATCCTTTCCTTTGTCTTTCCTCTCTCTCTTTTCTCTCTTTCCTTTTTTGAAAACCAGATTTTGATTGACTAGTTAACATTGTGATCACTGTAGTTCTGGCTCATCTACTGACTGCAATAAACACCATCACTGATGCTGAGGCAGGACCAAACCATTTCATGCAGATACAGGGTGGTGTTCGGTCAATATGGATGTTTACTTTTTGGTCAATGTGGATTTTTAACTTTTACTGCCAAAAACAAGTGAAAACAAAGAGATCATTCATTGTATTATTATATTAGAAATATATATACTGAATGATGATGGTTTCATAATTTTATATTAGCTTTTATGTATTTGTTGCGGCCCCTGTCAGTCATGGGCCCTTGGAATTGTCCTGTCTTTTCCACCCTATACAGTGCCCCTGCATGTGCCCTGTTTTATAAAAAGCAGCATGGCGTAACAGAGTAATGAAATAGAGTTAAATACAGCCATTTTTATTTGATTTTGTTATACAATCCAAAATTATACAAATTATACAAAAAATCTAATATAAAAATTCTAACCAAAAGAGTAAAGTGTGTGTATATATCAGATAAAAGCACGTAACCAGAAAAACTGTCACAGTGATATTTCTGATTTGAGTATATATAAAGATATGAATTATTTGCAAAAATCTAATCTCTACAGGCAGGTAAAACTATATATTTGTGGATGTTGAAATTAATCAGATCTTAAATACAGCATAAGAAACATTTTACAGCCAAATCACAATCAAATCAGTAAAAACTGGGCACCAAGTTTTATGGTTTATTTTTAACCTTTATTGTAGAGACGACTGCTCATTGACTGATATAGACCAAAGTATAATAACAGTTATATAAAACTAACAACACTGGATGATACAACAATTATATCTGCATAAAAGCAAACTCACATTTCTTTACTTTATAATGAAAAAGAAATCACTAGATTACAAACAAAATACCAGTAATATAAAACAAGATTTTTTTAAAATGGGTTAAAAATATCTTAGGTGAAAACAATTTTAAAATGTTAATTACTGAAATGTTAAAAAATCTGAAATAATGATAATAACTGTTACAGACCATCTTATGGGTCTGGGTGCAGCACAAAGCAGTGATCATATATTCACATCTGTTCACAACAAAGAAAATAAAAAAGGCAATATTATTATTGTATTAATGTTATATAATTGTTAAATTTTTTTTGTGCTTTCTACAATATTCTACTGAGCATAATAATAATAATATAATAATATTCACATGTTTTGTATGTGAGATATTTCTCTGTTTCTTTCATTTGATTTCTCAAACTCACACAAAGAAGATGGATAAACAGCAGCACAAATATATATTTTGGAGTGAACTGTGCCTTTAACATTGTGTGTTAAAGAGAAATGAGGACCTACAGTGAAAGAAGGTGATAAAGCTACTGATGAGTAAGTATGAACATATGTATATTAACTCTCTGTCTCAGCAGAACGCTGCTCTCCTCTCCTGCTCCTCTGGATCACAGCGACTACAACAACACAGAGGATCACCAGCAGACCACTGAGCAGTGAGTTCCTCACTGTGTACAACGTGAAGTGAATCCCAAAGGGCTCTCTGTACTTTACAAGAGTTTTGGTTGTTGACACACACTGCTGATCTGGGTCAAGAACTGCACACCAATACTCTCCTGTGTCTTCCAGTGAGACATTAGATATAACCAAGGAGCCATTAAGGGAGAATATGTTCATTCTTCTCAGATCAGATCTCATATTATAAGTATTAAAGATTCTGCCCCCTGTTTGATTCGACTTCATGAACCAAAGGGGTACCATACCCTTTTCCCAATTTCTGCATCTGAGAGTGACATCATCTCCCTCTGAGAAGAGCTCTACAGCAGGGGGGCCAAATTTGGGGCAAACCAGCAGCCAATGCATTTGCCAAATGACATAGATTTCACAGTAGTACAGACCTGTGTGATTTAACGTCAGAGATGAAATCACCAGTGAGTCATTTTGGCCGAATTCTTGGTCCACTAAAGGCACAGTCTGGTTTTGTTGTCCTGGGTCAGTGTCGGAGGATCTTTTCCTATTCCACTTCTTCCAAACTGGGGGCTGGTCGTCACTGAAATCAGGAATATTGCACTGCAGCACAGCCGTCTCTTCCACTGAGTAGTAGATTATCTCTGCTTGTAGTTTTAACAGTACAGGGTGACTTCTAACACACTGCTGCTGGTTCATCACCAGACAGATGTACCGTTGAAACGTTGTTAATGTGAAGTTGGAGAGACGAAGTGCTGATGTGGTTTTCACCACTTTAACATTGTCCATCACTGATGTCATTTTGTCCTCAAACACTTTTGTCCATATTTCTTCCTCATATCTAACGTCATGCTTGAGCCACTGGATATCCAGATTGTCAGCGGCTCCCTCACATGGCAGGTCCACTGTTCCTCCAAGTCTCACTGGAATCACTTTGTCTTCATCCTCTGTCTTACAAACAGTGATACTGATGTTTTTCTCAGATGTCACCTTACCTTCGGTCCAACACTCCTCTTGGTACTGGCTGGAGTCAGAATGGGTCAGGTTCTGGATCGTGTAAGAAGAAATATTATTAACTCTGCCAACTGAAAGTCGTTGCTTCAAGTCTTCAGGTACCGTGGAGTTCTCGGACCAGAGGGCAGAGGTATTCCACAGGAGGAGCTTCTCTTCACCAACAAATCTGGAGATCAGGCAGAGGTTGTCCTCCCTGGGGGGGTTGAAGGTGTAAGAGTCCCCTTCATATAGGATGGTGATAAGTTCTTTTGCATGAATGTTGTTGATGAGAGCAAACAGCAGGAAGGAGAGCTCTGCGACTGCAGCCATTCTGCTCTGAGGTTGTCCAACCACTGACAGCACTCGCCTCAAAACCTCTATATCAACCTTCATCAGCAGCTTCCTATCTGTGGTTGGAGGAACACGACCACTTTATCTCATCATTCACCACTCATGAACATTAATATGCACCGTTCAAGTTACAAAAGGTGTGAGGACCTTTCCTGAAATACTTTAAGAATCTTCAGTCAAACCCTCACTCTCTTTGTCTTTCTGTTACTTTCTGTTAATAATACAGTCTGTATACGTTTAACAGTTTATAAACCCACTTCTTTTATGTATTTATTTTTTTCCTTTTATTCTTTTCTGAATACAAATCCGCCTTCCAGTAACTTCCTGTATTACTGCAGGGATCAAACAGTGTTTTATATCTGGAATTCCAGCTTGTAAATGGGACAAATGGGGGCGAGGGATGATTGAGACAAGATTGCATAATGTGCTCCTTTATTATAGATGTGCTCTGTAAATTATAGCAACCTGTTGCACATTCTACATATGTGTGTATAATATATAAACATAATTTGTGAAATTTGTACATCTGTTTGAGTTGTGATGGACTCCTGCCATAGTACCGACATTATCAACGCCTTGCTGAGCCAGGCTGTTGTCCCCACGTGCCTCAAAGCCACCACCATCATCCCGGTCCATCCCCATGAAGTGCTTCGAGCAGCTAGTGTCAGCTGCCCCCCCCGGACCCTTTCCAGTTTGCATATCGGTCTAACCGCTCAACCGATGACGCCATCTCTGCTGCCCTCCACTCAGCCCTCACCCACCTGGAGACTAAAGACTCACACATCAGAATGCTGTTCGTCGACTTCAGCTTCAACACATCAACACAATCGTCCCCCAGCAGCTCATCCACAAACTGGACCAGCTGGCGCTCAACACCTCCCTGGCAGTTCGGGTCGGCAGCAACACCTCCAGCGCCATCACACTGAACACAGGGGACCCCCCAAGGATGTGTGCTGAGCCCCCTCTTCTTCACTCTGCTGACCCACGACTGCACACCATCATTCAGCTCCAACCTCTTCATTAAGTTTGTGGACGACACAACTGTGGTGGGTCCCATCAACAACGGCAATGAGACAACCTACAGGAGTGAGGTGAGCAGGCTGGCCACGTGGGACAAGGACAACAATCTCCACCTGAATGTGGAGAAGACGAAGGAGATTGTTGTGGACTTCAGGAGAGTGCACACCCAGCATACTCCACTAACCATCGACGGTGCTGCAGTGGAGAGGGTGAGCAGCACCAAGTTCCTGGGTGTGCACATCTCTGAAGACCTGTCTTGGAGCCACAACACTGCATCACTGGCCAAAAAAGCCCAACAGCGCCTGTACTTCCTCTGCAAACTGAGAAGAGCAGGAGCCCCGACCCCCATCATGCACACCTTGTGCAGAGGCACCATCGAGAGCATCCTGACAAGCTGCATCACTGCGTGGTACGGCGCCTGCACCGTGTCCTGCCGCAAGACTCTGCAGCGCATCGTGAGAGCAGCTGAGAGGATCATTGGTGTCTCCCCCCCCTCCTGGACATTTACAAGACCCGCCTCACCGGCAAAGACATCAGGATTGCAGGTGACCCCACCCACCCATCTCACAGCCTCTTCAGCCTGCTGCCGTCAGGGAGGAGACCACGGAGTTTCCGGGCCAAAACCAACAGGCTCAAGAACAGTTTCTTCCACCAGGTGGTCAGGAGACTCAACTCCCTCCCTGCTCTTCCCCCACTCCCCCCTCTGTCCCCTGCAACAGACTCCGACCGCACACCCCCCGCCTCTCCTTCAGCATCTGACATCATGTCGTCCTTAGTTCCAACCAACTGTTTGATGAGTATTTTTGAATGTGCATTGTTTTCTTTTGGATGTAAATAAACAAATAAACAGCTTACACACTGCAGGACTCTAATGTGCAGTTATTTATTGCACTCTTTAAGTGGACATTGGAGCCCTGCAGTGTGTGAGCTGTTTGTCTATTTCTGTGTTTGCTTACTGTCGGCTCAGCCTCTTTTGGTTTGGATGTGCGTGCATACTCCTTCCTTCTGTTGTATATAGCCTACTTTTGGAGGGAGGATTTCTTTTTGAGAACTTAAAGAATAAAGCATGAAAGCGTTTTTATTATATTTGTAGTTACTCAACAGATCGCTCAGATTATAGATGAGGAAGATAAAATGTGGGTGAACAGTTGAGGAAATGGTGTGACAGCTGTAATCAGTTAGTCTTCAGATATTGAGTTCTGAGAAAGAAGATATCTTTAAGATTCATGTACAAACAGTGTAGTGCTTTACATGGGCGCCTAGTTATAGTTCAAGTGTGGGTGCAGGATTAGTGACAGGCATAAGGGGAGGTATGGAAGGAAGATTTCATTCATTCACAGCTGAAAGTGCCATTTCCTGCAATATAGAGCCTTCAGTCATGAACCATAAAGCTGCTCTTTCACTATAAAGCTCAGTTTTTATTGCACTATTCTATATAAAAATATTAGTTTTTCATTGTGTTCTGTACTTTCAGCAGTAAGTGACAGATAAAATGTCTCAGAGTGAACATAATGCATATATTTCAGAGCAACAAACTTGAGAATACACTGAGTTGAGTTGCATTCCCATTACCTGTAACTCTCTGGTGTCTTTCTGTCACTTCATTTGAGAGGAGAGCAACCAGAGCCAGTCCGCCCTACACGCTCACTACACAAGCTGCGTAGAGCCCCGCCTCCCCCTCATGTCAAAGCAACTGACAATGTTTACAACTTTGATGAGAGGATGAACAAACTATCTGTCAGAATAAGAGGAAGAAAATGTGCAGCTTGCAGTGAATTTCTCTCCACTTTGTCTATCTGTCCGTCTGTCTGTCTCACTAACAGTTGACAGTGCAGCTTTCTGTCTGTCTTTGTATTACAGGGCTGTTCTGTGACTTTGCTCCTGAAAAAAATGAGAGTGAGATACAAGTATTTATTACGTTTGGTAAACACCAACAGGCCGCAGTGATTATAGACCACAGGGAAAGATAACCGCTTTCCAGCATCAGTTAGGTCTCTGGGCACCAGTCCAGATCATGTGTGGGCTGATGGCACTCCTCACACATACAGATTATTGTAAAACAACACAATGATGACCGAGTCTGTCAGTCAAAGTTTGTTACAACTCTGTAATGTGAGATGCAATGGACTGACATTGACTATTGATTAAATATTGAATTTAAATTTTGATTAGCTCTTAGGTATACTGGGCAATATGGATACACATCTCTCAGTAAATAGAAACCATCAAATATTCAGTCAAACCATTGTAAAAATAGCATTTTATATTTGAAAAGGAAAATCTGGGGGAGTCAGTTTGAAGGGACCTGATGCAGATATTGTGAGTATTAAAGCTGCAGCCAGAGCCTGTAAGCTTATGTTCACATTATATAGGCAAAGCTAATTATAGAATATTGTGAGGACTGGACTAATTACCAGGACGCAGAACAAAATATCAGTTTTTATTATTTTCCACATTTTATTTTTTTCTACAATGTTAATATTCACTTAATATTTGATATAACATATTCTATTTAATATATATTGTTTGTTTATCCCTCATTCTGTTTTGTATAGATCTACTAATTCTTAGACAGACAGAGCAAACTGTTTTAAATGAGGAAGGATTGTAGTGGGAGCGCTGGGTGTCAGGTGTGACTGTGTGGTGAATAGTTTACATGGCTCATGGATCAGGAAGGAGGGGCTCCTAGCAGAATTCTGCTCACGGCCCCAGGGAGGTCAGGTACCCTGAGAGCGCCACACGGTGAATACACTGAACTGGTCTAAATAAATAAGTCACAGCTTTAACTCTTCCAACTGGCCTGAAATTGTATGAAAACCAGTAAATACACTGCAGACACAGAGCAGCTGACAGAAAGAGGAGGTCATATTATACAGAATAAATGTTAATATGAAAGGGAAGCAAAGAGACAGTGAGAATAATGAGCTTTCAACTTACATCAGGAGTCATCAAGCACATTGTGTAATCTGTAATACAGGCAAAATATGAGCCTTTTAGCTTTCCATCATTGTGTTCCAATAAGTGGATAAATAGTGTAAAAGTAGTGTAAAAATACAGAACAAAGTCATTGTTGAGCTCAGCTGAAACCTGAAGCACTTTCTGCTCTGTGGATGCTGTCATGGAATAAAATCATTGAAGTAAAATATCTTTGTAAATGATTGATAAGAGATGCATGTCATGTGTCTGACTCTGTTCTTAGTAATGTGTGTCCCCATCAAATCCACGAACCTCAGTTCATTACAACTCCAATGTAAACACAAGATGCATCCAGATAAATGAGGAAAAAATGAACACTCATCCAGGCAGTTCCTTCAGAAATATCATGATATATTCTGTTATATAGTGCTTTTCTAACTATTCTACTCAACAGGTTGTTTTTTTTCAGGGTATTTTAGTGATTGATCGCTTTAAGTGTGTTGTCCTCTTGCTCCGACAGTTAAAGTGTGTTGGCCTACGGTGTGTTTTTGGATCCCTGTCCTGACAAGATGGGTATTAATGTTGAAATGTTGACTGTTTAGTGAACTGATATTCTCTGGTTTTTACTCTACTGAATCTGCTATCCTGCACCTGGCCTGAATATTAGGATTGTGTGTGCACAACACTTTTACAGTCTCAATGTATTATTATTGTAAAATTTCAAAATGGAAAATTCTTTTAACAAAATTAATTATTAATGATTATTATTATAATTATTATAAATTATTATTGTCATTATAATATTATTGTCAATATGTAATTCCATAATTCAATCTAAATGAACGTATCAAACTGGATTATTTTAATATTGTCTGTATCTTACATGCAGGCTCAGGTAAACTACTCACTGTTTCCAACTGTCCAGCATCCAGTACAGACAGTAGGTTGTTTTTTTTTTTCATTTTATTTCATAATGATCATTATGTGAGAAAATAATTGTTATTAATGTGTTTGAATTTCTGTCATTAATAAATATTTAATTTTCTTTTTTGTAATGGTAAAAAGAGCAAGAGAGAAATCCCCACAGACTCCCTGCAATGATGCTAACTGGCCTGTCATTGAACACAACGTTGCTCAGCTTCTTCACTGAGACAGGAGGGGTACAGTGATGGGGGGACAGGAGGGGTACAGTGATGGGGAGACTGGGAGGGTACAGTGATGGGGAGACTGGGAGGCGTACAGTGATGGGGAGACTGGGAGGGTGTACAGTGATGGGGAGACTGGGAGGGGTACAGTGATGGGGAGACTGGGAGGGGATGGGGGACAGGAGGGGTACAGTGATGGGGAGACAGGGAGGGGTACAGTGATGGGGGGGAGGGGTACAGTGATGGGGGACAGTGATGGGGGACAGGAGGGGTACAGTGATGGGGAGACAGGGAGGGGTACAGTGATGAGGGGACAGGGAGGGGTACAGTGATGGGGGGACTGGGGTGCTGCTGACTCATCTGTTGTTAAGTCTGCTAAAAGGGGCAGGGACAATGATTTAATATGAATATGTTGCTAAACGTTTCCCTGAACTGATTAAATGGTGATTAAATGTAGGCTGACACTAGTCTGTAGCTGGCTATCTTATTTCACTATGGACATTAAGCCAACAGGTTAATAGCACTCACAGACTATAGGCTCCTTTCTTGGTGAAACACTGGGTTACAGATTGACATCCTTTCCTTTGTCTTTCCTCTCTCTCTTTTCTCTCTTTCCTTTTTTGAAAACCAGATTTTGATTGACTAGTTAACATTGTGATCACTGTAGTTCTGGCTCATCTACTGACTGCAATAAACACCATCACTGATGCTGAGGCAGGACCAAACCATTTCATGCAGATACAGGGTGGTGTTCGGTCAATATGGATGTTTACTTTTTGGTCAATGTGGATTTTTAACTTTTACTGCCAAAAACAAGTGAAAACAAAGAGATCATTCATTGTATTATTATATTAGAAATATATATACTGAATGATGATGGTTTCATAATTAGTTTTTACCTATTTGTTGGGGCCCCTGTCAGTCATGGGCCCTTGGAATTGTCCTGTCTTTTCCCCCCTATACAGCGCCCCTGCATGTGCCCTGTTTTATAAAAAGCAGCATGGCCTAACAGAGTAATGAAATAGAGTTAAATACAGACATTTTTATTTGATTTTGTTATACAATCCAAAATTACACAAATTATACTTTACAAAAAATGTAATATAAAAATCACAACCAAAAGAGTAAAGTGTGTGTATATATCAGATAAAAGCACTTAACCAGAAAAACTGTAAGCAGTATATATAAAAAACTGATTATTTGCAAAAATGTAATCTCTACAGGCAGATAAAACTATATATTTGTGGATGTTGAAATTAATCAGATCTTAAATACAATATAAGAAACATTTTACAGCCAAATCACAATCAAATCAGTAAAAACTGGGTACCAAGTTTTATGGTTTATTTTTAACCTTTATTGTAGAGACGACTGCTCATTGACTGATATAGACCAAAGTATAATAACAGTTATATAACACTAACAACACTGGATGATACAACAATTATATCTGCATAAAAGCCAACTCACATTCCTTCACATGTAAATGAAAAAGAAATCACATAATCACTAGATTACAAACAAAATACCAGTAATATAAAACAAGATTTTTTAAAATGGGTTAAAAATATCTTAGGTGAAAACTATGTTAAAATGTTAATTAATTACTGAAATGTTAAAAAATCTGAAATAATGATAATAACTGTTACAGACCATCTCATGGGTCAGAGTGCAGCACAAAGCAGTGATCATATATTCACATCTATTCACAACAAAGAAAATAAAAAAGGCAATATTATTATTGTATTAATGTTATATAATTATTACATTTTTTTATCACCTCTTGTGCTTTCTACAATATTCTACTGAGCATAATAATAATAATATAATAATATTCACATGTTTTTGTATGTGAGATATTTCTCTGTTTCTTCCATTTGATTTCTCAAACTCACACAAAGAAGATGGATAAACAGCACAAATATATATTTTGGAGTGAACTGTGCCTTTAACATTGTGTGTTAAAGAGAAATGAGGACCTACAGTGAAAGAAGGTGATAAAGCTACTGATGAGTAAGTATGAACATATGTATATTAACTCTCTGTCTCAGCTGAACGCTGCTCTCCTCTCCTGCTCCTCTGGATCACAGTGACTACAACAACACAGAGGATCACCAGCAGACCACTGAGCAGTGAGTTCCTCACTGTGTACAACGTGAAGTGAATCCCAAAGGGCTCTCTGTACTTTACAAGAATTTTGGTTGTTGACACACAAAGCTCATCTGGGTCAAGAACTGCACACCAATACTCTCCTGTGTCTTCCAGTGAGACATTTGATATAACCAAGGAGCCATTAAGGGAGAATGTGTTCACTCTTCTCAGATCAGGTCTTATATTATAAGTATTAAAGATTCTGCCCTCTGTTTTATTCGACTTCATGAACCAAAGGGGTACCATACCCTCTTCCCAATTTCTGCATCTGAGAGTGACATCATCTCCCTCTGAGAAGAGCTCTACAGCAGGGGGGGCAAATTTAGGGCAAACCACCAGCACATGCATTTGTAAAGTGACAAACGTTTTACAGTAGTACCGACCTGAGTGATTTAACGTCAGAGATGAAATCACCAGTGAGTAGTTTCTACCCACCTCTTCATCCACATAAGACACAGTCTTGTTTAGTTGTCCTTGGCCAGTGTCGGAAGATTTTGTAAAATTCCTCTTCATCCAAACTGGGGGCTGGTCGTCACTGAAATCAGTCACATTGCACTGCAGCACAGCCGTCTCTTCCACTGAGTGGTAGATTATCTCTGGTGGCACACTAACTTGTACAGGGTGACTGCTCACACACTGCTGCTGGTTCATCACCAGACACATGTACCATTGAAACGTTGTAAATGTGAAGTTGGAGAGACGAAGTGCTGATGTGGTTTTCACCACTTTAACATTGTCCATCAACGATGTTGTATCGTCCTCAAACACTTTTGTCCATGTCTTATATCCATGGTCATACTTGAGCCACTGGATATCCAGATTGTCAGCCGCTCCCTCACATGGCAGGTCCACTGTTCCTCCAAAACTCACATCAATCACTTTGAGCTCATCCTTTGTCTTACAAACAGTGATACTGGTGTTTTTCTCAGATGTCACTTTGCCTTCGGTCCAACACTCCTCTTGGTACTGGCTGGAGTCGGAATGGGTCAGGTTCTGGATCGTGTAAGAAGAAATATTATTAACGCTGCCAACTGAAAGTCGTCGCTTCAAGTCTTCAGGTACCGTGGAGTTCTCGGACCAGAGGGCAGAGGTATTCCACAGGAGGAGCTTCTCTTCACCAACAAATCTGGAGATCAGGCAGAGGTTGTCCTCCTTGGGGGGGTTGAAGGTGTAAGAGTCCCCTTCATATCGGATGGTGATATGTTCTTCTGCATGAACGTTGTTGATGAGAGCAAACAGCAGGAAGGAGAGCTCTGTGACTGCAGCCATTCTGCTCTGAGGTTGTGCAACCACTGACACCACTCGCCTCATAACCTCTATATCAACCCTCATTAGCAGCTTCCTATCTGTGGTTGGAGGAACACGACCACTTTATCTCATCATTCACCACTCATGAACATTAATATGCACTGTTCAAGTTTCCTGAAATACTTTAAGAATCTTTAGTCAAACTAAAGACTTATTCCCTCACTCTCTTTGTGTCTTTCTGTTAGTAATACAGTCTTTTAAGGATTCAAACTGCAGCCACTGTTCATTCGTTCACAAGTTATTCTAAAATAAGTCAGTATGCATCGTACGTTAGCTTTCGTCTTAGAGCAGAACAGAAAACTATATTTTTGTGCAAAGATGGTATGAAGATCAGTGTGTATTATATACTGCACAATGTAAAGAAAAGATGAGAAACCAGTTTTAATCAGTTGATAACATTTGCTGAGTTCACTTATAAGTTCTTATTATCTGGGGGGGCTTTGGTGGCACTGTGAAGTCTGATTGGCCACCCCATTATCCTAAAGTATGAGCCTGGCTATCTGCCCTGTGAGAGGCAGGACCTTAGTTCCAACCGTTTGATGAGTATTTTGGAATGTGCATTGTTTTCATTTGGATGTAAATAAACAAATAAACAGCTTACACACTGCAGGACTCTAATGTGCAGTTATTTATTGCACTCTTTAAGTGGACATTGGAGCCCTGCAGTGTGTGAGCTGTTTGTCTATTTCTGTGTTTGCTTACTGTCGGCTCAGCCTCTTTTAGTTTGGATGTGCGTGCATACTCCTTCTTTCTGTTGTATATAGCCTACTCTTGGAGGTAGGATTTCTTTTTGAGGACTTAAAGAATAAAGTATGGAAGCGTTTTTATTATATTTGTAGTTACTCAACAGTTCGCTCAGATTATAGATGAGGAAGATAAAATGTTCAGGAAATGGTGTGACAGCTGTAATCAGTTAGTCTTCAGATATTGAGCTCTGAGAAAGAAGATGTCTTTAATATCCATGTACAAACAGTGTAGTGCTTTACATGGGCGCCTAGTTATAGTTAAAGTGGGGGTGCAGGATTAGTGACAAGCATAAGGGGACTCCCCCCTTAGGGGAGGTATGGCAGGAAGATTTCATTCATTCACAGCTGAAAGTGCCATTTCCTGCAATATAGAGCCTTCAGTCATGAAACTGGTTTTTAAGTGTTCTGTACTTTCAGCAGTGAGTGAGATAAAATGTCTTTCCATTACCTGTAACTCTGGTGTCTTTCTGTCCTCCCTGAGTAGAGTGTCTTTTCATTCTACAGGAGAGCTACACACGGTGAATACACTGAACTTGTCTGAATAAATAAGTCACAGCTTTAACTCTTCCAACTGGACTGAGCTTGTGTGTGAAAACCAGTAAATTCACTGCAGACACAGAGCAGCTGACAGAAAGAGGAGGTCATATTATACAGAGATATATTAGATTGTTCTGGTTTATATATAAATGTGTGTATGAGTTTATACTAGAGCCATAGGTGCAACATTTTGATGTGATTTGACTGAAAATTATGCATTGTCACATAATTTAGACTATACGGTACACTTCATGCCACTTTTTTCTTCACTGTCCCTTGTTCTCTTTGGGTCTCTGTAAGACTATTATCAGTACAATATTTATTTACATATTTTTAAAAACCACAAAGGTGACAGTTTTTCACATTACACTTGAACATCAGCAAGAGAACATATTTATACTATAAAACTCAAAGACATCTCAGGGGAAATACAAATTGTCAGTAAAATGATTTATATTTCAGCTAAAATCAGTTTATCAGAGCTTATTTGATGAAAACAGCAGCAGTAAATGTGCTGTTAAAGCTTTTAAACCATGGTCCAATAACAATTAATCAGGCAAATAAAAAACACTCATACAAAAACTATGCATTTATTGACAATTTCATACAAAGACAATAACTCTCCTCAGAAGGAAAAATCAGATATTAAATTGGTCGTTAGGTACAAAACATAAACATAAACTCCGTGTTTTGTTTTTACAGTCAACAACAGGATCTGGGGCTGCATCTCAATAGTCTACAGTAGCTGAGCTGGCTGAACGCAGCATGTTCAAAAGATGAAGGACGAGCAGAAAACCTACAAAGCAACGCACAAAGAGAAAACGCAGGAAGCTACAAAAGACTACCGAGATGACTGTAAGTACATTGGCAAAGGTTTGTGTGAGAACAGGAAGAGAGTACGAGTAAGAGCTGAGAGCCTTAAAGAAGTGCTGATGTCCTCTTCTCCATCCCCACGATGCAACACTGGAGCTTTGATTGGCTGCTGAAATGACTTCCATCTACAGAAAGAGTCACATTACACACGAGTGAACAAGACCGCATGCAACAATGACCTCCCCCATTCTTCTAGTAATAATAATAATTATAATAATAAACATAACACAGGAAACAAACATAATACATAGCAGTATGTGCCAAAAAGAAAGATTATAAAAGTGTGTTTTTCAGGGAGATTTAAAAGGTGATTTAGCTAGCCTAATCTAAGCTCTACTGGCAAAAATGGAATATAATATTCATAGGTATGTTTTCATTAGTGCATAATCACCTGAAAATGAGAACTACACCAGCAATATTGCCTAAAATAATCCAATTTAATTATTTTCTAACAATTTAATGCTGTTTAAAATATACGCTGTCTTTTGTTTTCAGTGGGGACCTTTCTTCTCGTATCAAATACAATGGGAAAATAATTCTACACATTTTCAATAGATGAGCAGACTGGGGCTTCCAAGTCCTCAGCAGCTGTGTATTCCTTCATTGTAACATTCATTTTAGGATTCAGCTGTTTTTTCTACACACTGGTCCTTTAAGTTTCACTGTTGTTGTTACCAGTGGTCGACGTCTGCATCCTCAAACTGACCGGCCTCCATCGCTGCTGCATCCACCTCCATACCATCTGTCAACAACATCAAACACACTCAGTCCAACTCAGACCTAAAGTCTCAACAGCAGCCCAGAAATAAAATCTAGTCAAAGGAGGATTTTCACTGCAGGTTTGTTTAACAGAGCATATAGATATATATCTATATCTATATATAGATATAGAAAAATAATATGGATGAGGGAACATTTCATTTTGGTTTTGTCCCGTGCTTCAAATATATAAAACACAATATTAGTCCTGATCCAGGGTTTGCTCCACTTTGAACTGACATCTGGTTTAACAGCAACAAAGCTGCCTAAAGTTTTTAATGTGTGGCAGCAGTGCGTGTGTGTGCGTGTGCGTGTGTGTGTGTGTGTGTGTGTGTGTGTGTGTGTGTGTGTGTGGCTCAAACCTTCAAATTCGGCGTTGGTTTCTCCGGTTCGGACCCCGGCCATGTGGTACTGTTGAGCGACGGACTGGGCTAACATCCCCTCCAGCCTCTCCAGCGTGGCCTGGCCCTCCTGCGTGAGCGCCGACAGACCTTCATCGCAGGTGTAGAAGGATGGGATGTCAGCGTGGCCGTGCTCTGGGTGGTGGAAGAGAGACATGGTGACTTTAACAATGTTTAGCATTTAGAAGTAGCATATTAACCAAGTAACGAGTTGAATCTCGGCACTTTTGTTTTTTAGGTGCAGTACACCAGTACAAGGTGTTTAGGTCTTACCTGCCTCTGCAGCCAACCAGGGAGAGCGATGGACCAACAGAGACAGAAGGAGAAAATAAAAGAAAGTCAATGATTTATATCTCAGATCTCTCCTTTTCCCTATAATAATGGTAGGCAAAATAAGGCCTTCTTTGAGCTGCTATATACTATCCAGTCCCTATTGATTTTTTCCCAGTCAGATCAGTCTCTGATCCATCCTGCTGTGACCTCTCTCTTTTCTCTCTCACCGGTAGACTGACTCTGTCCCTCCGTTGCGGGGCAGCGGGCCCCTCCCGCAACACTTTCTCCGTCACCTGCCTGCAGCTGGATCTCTCTCCTCTCTGTCTCATCCTCTCTGACGGAGCTACCAAACTCAACTGTTTCTGTCGGAGATAACGTGTTGTGTCAGTCTTTAAGCTGATGGACGTTAACATTAGAGCTGGTCTGTTTCTTACCTTGCTCTACGTTGACTTTACCAGTTCCAGCTTCACCGTCGCCACCTTTTTTTAAATATTTGTTTAGAAAATCTCTAATGCCTCTATTTCCTTCTTCTCTTTTCTTTCCTTTTCTGAGCACCGGACTTGTGCTGACCGGATCATTTCAAATCAACGACAATGCATCAAATTTTGATTGATCAGTGGCTTTTATGTAACTCAAATATTACAATTTTTCAACAAATAGGCCTATTTATTTTTTTTTAATTATTCCAAAATTTAATGAGGGCCCAGCTCTAGTTCCAGGACAACAGACCCGTTTGTCCCCCCCTATCGGCGGGCGTGCATGCTGGCAAAAAAGTATGAAGGAAAATCATTTTGCAGTTATTTCAGAAGCGTTGATCAATTCCTAAAAACTATTTTAAAAGCGGGACTAAAAATGCAACTTTATACAGTAACTTTAAATTCATTCATCCAATAGATTTTTATGACTCATGAAAATAATATTTAAGTTATTTTAAGGTCTAAAATTCTGATAATTGGATTTCAGACTCTTATTTATCCGTCTTATTCCCACTTTTCTACTTTTGGTGGTGTTTTTTATATTGAACATTTATTTTGGACCAACAAGCTGTTTATGTCAAAGTTGAGAGCTCCTTGATACCAGAACTGTATTGTACACACTGGAAAATTGTGTGTGTGTGTGTGTGTGTGTGTGTGTGTGTGTGTGTGTGTTGTGTGTGTGTGTGTGTGTGTGTGTGTGTGCACCCTCACCGGCCTCCTCCACGTCGTACTCTTCTCCTTCGAAGTCGTTGTCTGAGTCATCGTCCTCTGGGTCGGGGTGCAGCGCCTGGCACTCACACATCGCTGAGAACATGGTCTCCACTACATTACACACCAAACACACACACACACACACACACACACACACACACACACACACACACACACACACACACACACACACACAGTTGTAAGAGAAACACTGCAGATATTTCATATTAAAAAAAAAGGAAACACTAAGCTCTACAGCACAGTCTCCGGTTCTAGTTGCTGAACAACAAACTGTTTAGACATTAACTTTAACACTGATCTTGGTTTGTACCTTAGGACCAGTGGTTTTTACAATGTGGTTAATGGGATTTAAGATCTGTCTGATCACTAATGGTCATTTAACTGACAGTAAAAAATTTTTAAAAAACAACATACTTCAGTCAGATATATAATAAAGTCAATGCATGAGCCTGCCCTTCGTCCTCAGTGTGGTCACTCACATGCCGCCTTGTCGCTGGGCACAAATCGAATCTCTGTGATCGCTCCTTCTTCATCATCATCATCACCGCTGCTGCTGTTACTGCTGGCATCGTCTTCATCATCAGCTCCTTTCTCTGCCATTTCTGCCTCATTCTCACCTGAAAAAATACCACACACACAACCACACACAGAGACTTAGAAACGTTGCAGCTTCCCTCCAGGTTTTACGTAAATCATTATGCCACACCTTGGATCATGTAACAGTGTCCAGTGTGTCCCATGTTGTCGCAGTTGACACTTCGAATAACAATCTGAGTCTTTTAGTGGACGTGCATTCACGGTTGTATCTGTCTCCAAGGACTAGCTAATGTTACACGCCAGCCACTGCAGCCCATTTGGCAGATCCTTTCATGTCTAACTCCAAACCTATTTTAACCAAACCAGCGTTGGTGATTGTTGGAACAGTGGAAAGACTAACAAAGACTGTTTCTGTGAGTTTTATTTCATTTCTGTCCACTTTAGAGTGTGTTTTACGATTATCTGCTTTCTAAAATTATGGGTTTTGTCAATGGAGTCTGGTCAGCCGTAGCGCACATTGTGTTGGTCTGAGTTACTGGTGCTGTGGTGCGACCTTTAGTGGCAGTGAATATATATATATATAATCTTTAAAAACAAATACATTTATGCTCTGCGTCACTCACCCCCCAGTTTGCCGTTGACCATGACGTACAGGTGTTCCTGCGGGTAAGCACTGACGTCTCTGGAGATGGCGTGCAGGCCGATGGTGGGATACTCCAGAGAGAAACCCATCCCCGAGCCATCGAACCACGACAGGCGCCTGAGGACGAGAAAACACACAAAGCAACAGTTGTTGGTTCGGTGGAAGGGGCCCTGACATGAATGTAAACCTTTGGCATTTCTTACTTTGTAAACAACACTGAAACAAGAGCTATTGTGATTATTGTGGCAGATATTGTGATTGTGATACGATTCAGGATTAGTGTGGGAATCATTTTTGAATCTGAATTTTATTTTTTTATTTAATCACAAAAAAAACATAAAAATTATGATTATGTGTATTTTTTGGTGGGGTCTGTGTCAAACAGATGTGTGTTAAACTTGGAGGACTGTTTGTAGGCCGGAGTATCTCTGCAGCACTACAATACTTCACTGTCACACAATTTATCTTTATTTAAAAAAAATATCTGCTTCTGTGATTGTGCATATTGTTATTGGCCATATTGCAATTTTGATATATAATATATAATTCATTGTGAAGCCCAAACTGAAACCACCAATCAACCGTCAAAAATCTGTTAAATTTTCTAACAATTGATTAATAGGATAATTGATTAATAGTTTCCGTTTTAACTGACTAACTCTATTTACATTATAAAAACCAACTAATATCTCTAAAGGCACACGGACCAGGAAAGTCACGACTACATTTATGTGACAGTTAAAATACTGACTCTAATTTGACTTTCTCGGTAATAAATTATTTTATTATTATTATTATTTTATTATTATTATTATTATTATTATTATTTTGAAAGGGACTACTCCGGAAGTGGTCCGCACGCGGAGTGGCAGTTTTATGTAGCATGTCGTTTATAACATTTATATACAATAAATCTTCATAATTTAACAGAATATCTGTAATAAACGCCAATAAAACACTAACCTGTACCTGAGGCGGTGGTTTAAAGAGAAAAACAAGCGCCATGTTCATCACTTACGTTTCCGCGACGTACAGCGTGCCGCAGCCCACCTTCTGGCCGTCCATCACCGCCGTGGTCTCGGCTTGCTCATGTCGCACTCCCTCGGTGGGAGGACGGAGGTTTTTCAGTAAAACCATCGTCCGTGTAACCGTTAAAGTCTGCGGACCCGCTGGATGAGGCGGCGGGAGAGGAAAGACACCAGACTCGGCTGTCAACAAGAAGCTGCGTGACCTATTGCGTGCCACGAAGCTAGCTAATTTAACCCGGGATAACTTCTCGGTGGATGAACGCTCGACAGCTGGAGGCGGATAAACAGCTATAAACTGTCGCGCTTCTTCTCCGGGATGAACAGAACCGGGTGGAGCCGCTCCGAGAGTTGAAACCGGCGGTGCGGAGTGAAAACGCACCGATTATTTACGGTGTTGTTGAAGCTAGTGACGCTGACCAACGGTACTCCTCATTGTCGACTCTTCGAAGATGAAATATCGCGGCAAGATAACTCCCACCAAAAGAAACCAACGACGTGAGCGTCACTTCCGTTTGTGCGTAAACGTCCGTGTTGACGTAACGTGAAGCCACAATGCGTCTCAACAGCCCTGCGTAATTTGAGCATTTTATTTTGAATGTTATCACCGGAAAGGATTCTATATTATTATTATTATTATTATTATTATTATTATTAATAATAATAATAATACATTTGATTAAGGTTTAAGCTTCGGCAATGAACTGATCTGAAAACAGCCCACAAATTGGACTATACAAGCTTTATGTCATTTCTTTAATGTAGTACAGATTTTTAATAGAAATAAATACTATATACATCTGATTAAATTAAATGTTTTTCCCTTAAAATATTAAATTACCTCATTATTTTGTATGTTTTAAGTTCTGGTTTTCGTATTTTAAAGTTTCACTAAAGCAAAACAAAAAACGGATTTAAAAGCTGCTTCGAGTCGTGTTTACGTTTGTAGTTTGAAACTTTTATTTTGAATGGCATTATACTTATACTGTAGAACAATGTGTACACTGCCCTCCGGTGGATGAAACCTGTAACTGCACCTCTGTCTGTTATTAAAAATCACAATCACAGAAATACTTTATTGATCCCGGGGGGGATAAAAAAACATGTATCATGTCAAGACCTACAAAAAAGCCTCTTATACCTGAAATGTTATGATACATACATATCTATACAAAAGAAAAGAATAAAAGGCTGCTGCTGTAAAAATAAATAAAATAAAATAAAACTACAACAAAACAAACATACATATACACATAACTGGGGAGACTTAAACAACATCCTCCCACAACAATGCGAACCCCTGAACCCTTCCTCCTTCATCTCCCTCCAACTGTAACTCTTGTAGGACTTAACGCTGATCCACATAACTGAGGAGCAGCTTCACCAGTAAACCACAAAGGATGTCCACAAACAATGCAGTCAAACAGATCACATAACAACACCCCCAACTGAATGGTTACTGCAACTAAACATGTCAAACAAAAAGAGCAGAGTAGCTTAATAATGATGATAATAATAGAAGCCAAAAAGGTTCTTTCTTAGTTCAGTAGTTAAAAGAAATAAACTAAAACTTTTCCCTTTTCCTTAGAAAAAAATTAAAAAATTAAAAATAAAGTAAAATAAAATGATGGTTTTTACAACGCAGAGAATTTAATTAAAACGTGCCGAAAACGTTATAAGTTGTCACCTATTTGTTGAAAGATAAGCCTCAAACAAGTACATAAAACTTCTGGGCCTTTTATACAATATTTAAGGTAACATTAGTCAGAAAATACAGTCCAAACTTCTCTAGTCCTTTTCTCCAATATTTACGGTAATGACCTGTCAAAAGGCATCAGCTGATTAACACCAAGGAGTCTCCCATTGGCAGACAGTCTGTTTCCAGGTGGTATAAAAGTTATTTTCAGCCTGGTGTATCTGAATATTTCTGCATGGATCAATAATCAATACTGGAATTGTGTTTATTATTATGTTGTTATGTTGTTATTCAGGTTCAAGTTATCCCTAACTTGAACTGAAATTTCAGAATGCACCTAAAATGCACTTTAACCTTTACAGGTGAACTTAATGTCCACTTGTTCAATTACCCCTCTAGAACACTACGTTCTCTGAATGCTGGGCTACTTGTGGTTCCTATAGTCTCTAAAAGTAGAACAGGAGCCAGAGCCTTCAGTTACCAAGCTCCTCTCCTGTGGAACCAGCTTCCAGTTGTGGTTCTGGAGGCAGACACCCTCACCACATTCAAGAGTAGGCTTAAGACATTCCTCTTTGATAAAGCTTATAGTTAGGGCTGGATCAGACCATGGTCCTGCTTGACTGCCATTGCTAATATCACTGATATCATTGTTATTATTATTATTATTATTATTATTATTATAAGTATTATTATAGCTACGGTTACTGTTGTTGCTGTTGTCACTGCTCATCAGGGGCGGTCCTAGACCATTTGGGGCCCTAGGCGAGCTTTACTGATGGCGCCCCATCCCCACGAGAAAATAACTCATGTCCAAAGAATTGCACATTTATTTAAACAATGATAATACAAACAATATAACAATATGTGCAAAAGAATAAACCTGTTCAATAATAAATATATAAAAAATAACTTTTAAACATATTTTTAACAGTAGTGCAACATCTGAGAGCAGAAAGTGCACACTAAAGAACCAAAACAAAAAATTAAACTAACAATAAAACATTGTGTGCATTAGATAATGTAAAATGTGATGTGAGGTTGGCAGGAAGAGCAGCATGCTGTTGTTGTGTCTCTTCTGGTGGCTCTAGGTCCATAAACATAGAGAGAACACACAGGAGCAAATACATTGACTGGATGAGACATGGCACAACATATTGGCATTAAGTAAGTCAATACATTTTTATCTTCACAAACATTCACTGACACATTAAACTCACCTGAGGAAACCGGAGCAGCTGAGGTGCATGGCTGTTCCTGGTCTGATGATTCAGCTGCAGGTGGTCCCAAATATTTTAATAGTGAATCTAAAATGATAAAACAAACAAGAGTATTATCAACATGGAGAAAATAATTTCCATTGTTTCAAATGATATTATTATTAAGTTGCTAAGCATTTTAATTTTGACCTTTTAATATAAATTCACTTAGGCTGTGTCTGAAATCACTCACTCATTCCCTACTAGTCACTACATAGAGTCCCACACAGTGGACTATATAGGGAGTAGTGAGTGATACAGGACACAGCCTCAGTCCCATCTGCTCACAGCTCTATGTGCACACCTCTCTGCATAAACATACTCTACCTGTATATATCATTTATTATTATTATTATGCTCAACTTGTTTGATACAATATTCCATCAGTATGTAACTTATACTTATCTCTGTTCATCAGTATATAACATATGCTCATCTTTATCACCTCTGTCTATAAAGTCCACATGTTGATATCCTCATCTGCACATGAGGCACTGACTCACTCAGCACTTTACTAGTTTGCACTCTGGTTGGATGTAAAACTGTATTTCACGGGACTTGAACTTGACAGTAAAGTAAAAACTAATCCAAAACTGAATCTAATCTAATGTTGCTATATGGACAGTAATAATAGACTCTTCACATCCACTCAGTTTTAATTTCATAGCACACAAAGTGCTATATACTGTAGCAAGCATCAACTTGTACTGTGTTTTTCTCCAACCCAGGCCAACCCAGACCAACCCAGGCCAACCCAGGCCAACCCAGGCCAACCCAGGCCAACCCAGGCCAAGGCCAACCCAGGCCAACCCAGGCCAACCAAGGCCAACCCAGGCCAACCCAGGCCAACCAAGGCCAACCAAGGCCAACCCAGGCCAACCCAGGCCAAATATCCTGAATGTTTCGGTGAATTTAATAAATATATAATAAATAAATATATAATCAACATTAGGAACCTTCCTCTTTTACACCTTTCTCCTGCTCTTCTTTTCTGCGCTTTCCAAAGATGGACTGTAGCTGTAACCATAGTAACCATAGTAACTACAGTAACCATAGTAACCCGTCGACACACCGGTCACGTCACAGTCAATTCTTTTACTTGAGTTTAATTTATGTTTTATGTCTGTTGAAAAAATTATTAAGACATTATAATTTTATGTATGTCGCCTGTAGGAAGGACCGTCACTGCTGCTCATTGTCCCCATCGTTGCTGTTGTCATGTTCATCATCATCAGTCACTACTATTAGTGGAGTTGTTGCTGTGCACCTGTCTGTCTGTCTGTCTGTCTGTTTGTCTGTCTCTCTGTCTCTCTCTCTCCCTCTCTCTTCCGCTCGTCCACTCCCTCTCTGTCTGCTCGTCCTCGTCCTGTCTCCTTCTCTATCTGTCTCTTCCTCTCTCTCCCTCCCTCTCTCTCTGCTCTTCCTCTTTCTCTCTGTCTGCTCGTCCTCGTCCTCGTCCTCGATGTTGCATTCAGGTGCAATCGGGTTAAAGTACATTAAGTGTTGTCCGTTACGGTATTTCAAACCAGATGTTACGTAGCGAAAAAACGTAAACAATCTGGACGACGAGACGCCAATTAGTAATAGATTACACAAAATAATGTTCACTAAGTAATTAATATATATTTATTTCAGTCTTTGTCAACAATAGCAACAGTCCTACGATTCCAGCGGACGGTGTGTTTCTCCTGTCCGTTTGTCTGATGGTACTTAAACGCAACTGAAGGCACTTTCAAGAGAGTTGACAGTGACAGATACACTTTCATTGTCTCACATTGTCCTGTTTATGAACTATACTGATCCGACAGTGGACATGATGACACCTGTGACACTTTGTGTTCTGCTGTTTGTGGGAACTGTTACCGGTGAGTTTATTCTGTTATAAGTTCTTCTGATTTTAATAAGATGTAAGATTAATGTACCTTTATTGATCCATTATTTTAATCTTTACCTGGAGAGAGTTTGGGACTAGAATGAAATGTGACGGACATTTATTGGTTTGAAACATTGGACGAGACAGACTGAAGTGTAAACTTTAATATGTGTGGGATTATTATATTATTACAGTTGGAAAGAAAGAGAAATATTATTATTAATATTCGGTCAGGTGCAGTTACAACATTAACGATGTAACTGCATTTATATGGACAAAACACAAACGTGTTTAATTATCGTGATAATTAGTTATAGGTTGACAGATATTGATTAGTGTGAAAGTATTTATAAAAATGTTAAAGTGTTAAATATTGAATTATATTGGCTGCAGACAAGAAACAAGATTCACTGTAGGAATGGGTGAAAGGCTCTGTGCAGTGAGAGAAGGGGAGGGGTTATAGATGTCAAAGCACAGTGAGCCCGTGAACAGGAGGGAGGGAGGGGGGAGGGAGACGTGAGAGAGCAAGAGAAGACAGAGACTACACACTGGAAAGGAAGAAGTGACAGGAAACATTGTAAAGTTTGGACACATTTGAATTTACTGATAGTTCAAAGACAGAGTGTAACATTTCATATGGAGCAGCTTTTTGTCTAATTGAGTTGGGTCTTTGTTTTTATATTTTATCATTTATTTGGTGATAAATTAATTTAAGCAACAAAAAACCTGAGGAGCCACTTTGGAGTCGAAAGAGCCAGCTCTTTTTTTATATATTTTAAATTTTATATCCTTACTCTTCTACTTGTGTGTTGCCTCAGGGAGTCGAGCAAAGTACGATTTTCATTGTACGTAGAAACCACTGTGTTTCTTACTGTACATATGATAATAAACCTCTTGAATCTTGAATTAGCTCTCTGTCCCTTAGCATACAGTCAGGTCTCTGTGTCTTAGAATACATAAGAGAATTGGAAATACTGAAAACAGAGTGACCTGTAACAGAGCAGATGGAGCACTGGGGTAGATATACTGTGGGGTAGATACAGTAGCTAGACCTTTAGCTCTCTGTCTCATGCATTTTACTGTTTGTTGCTGTTGACAGGCTCCATTCTGGCTCCATCCTGCAGTATCATTTTTATTACACTTCACTGATAAACCGTTGTACAGAGTTACAATCATGATGTATCTGAATTTAAACAACTGGACTGAACGATGACAAACATTTTAAGGGGACGATCCTACAGCACAGATGGATCGATACAGAGACAGGACGACTCTCAACCATGAAGAGCTGAGCAGAGGAATCGTGACCCTGCTGATCTCCTCAGTACAACTGTCTGACAGCGGGCTGTACAAATGCTACATCCCAAAGCTGAAGGTTGGTTGTACCATCAAACTCACTGTCGGTAAGAGTTTAATACTTTAATTCCACATTTATTGAATGAAACTGCAGATAATGAAGAACTTTGATGTTTCTGTCATTTGAAAATGTGCCTCAAGAGTTTGTGTATCTCATTTGAAACAGTAGAAGAAGACCAACAGACCACAACTGGACCTCCAGAGGAAGACGTGACTGAGCCAAACAATGCCAGTAAATACATTCACTTTATTCTCTCTGAGATCTTCTGACTGTGTGAAAATGTGCTGCATTGATCTGAACATTCAATCTGAGCCTTTTTACACAATGAACACATTTAATTCTGTTAATATTTGTCAGATATTCTGACCTCTTTGGGCCTCAACCTGTTTTTGTCCACAGGCTGAAGCTCACTGCCCTCACTGTTATACAGAGCTTTCTACTTTCTTACTGTTTGTAGTAACACAGACATTTTAAAGCTGCTTTTATTTTATTCAACGTCTTCATTTTAACATCTTCTCTGATATTCTTTCAGATGTTGGGAACAGGTTTGCGGCTCGTGCTTGTATCATTACTGCTGCTGTTGTTACTCTCTACGTTCTCGTTGTTCTGGTTCTGTGAAAGTTGGGAAAGATCCGTAAGTGAAAGTGCAAACTCAGCTTTTTATGATCAAAATATAAAGTTTTATTTTCAGGAAAGTGATGAAGGATGAAACACTCGTCTGTTGTCGTTGTTCTTTTTTTGCTTTTAAGAAAAGAAAACTTCTTTTTGTTTTCTCTCAGAGAATTGTATGAAGAGGCTCAGAGGGAGGACGGAGCAAAGTCTGGAGACGGTTTCTGACGGATGTGAAAGGAGAATAATGTCAGTGTGATGTTTTTACCGGATGGTGCAGCTCTAGTGTTAGAGCCATGGAGAACATGAGGCTTATGTTTGCATTTTGTGCCTAATTAGTTAATATCTATTTTGCTTTAACTTATAAGGATGAATCATAACTGATATTTTGTTTAATCTTAATGTAATTAATGTCTATTCAGTAGATAAGGCTTTGTTATGCTCTTATTTTGTCCTGCTACTACAAACCGATACTGCCTTAAAGCCATGTGGGCACCTGTCGGCATTGTGACTTTGATACCCAGGATTTTGCTTAGCATTTTTTTTTTTACATCGGCCTCGTTTCCTTCTTGGATTTGCTTTGGAGTTTATTGCCTTACGACAAGCACGAGTACAGAAACTTTATGTCCTGCAAGAGTGGCGAATAGGTTGCCACTTCGTCTAGTTTTTGGTTCACTGAACTAACTTTTGTCCTTTTTATAAACAACAAAAAACAGCTTCTCTGTATAACGCCAGTTCCAACATTCACCACAAACATCCTCCAATATGATCACACAGCTGAATCAGTTTCAAAGGGAACCCTTTGACCTCTGACCTCAAGATGAATGAATGTAAACGGGTTCTACGGGTACCAACGAGTCTCCCATTGGCAGACGCTGTATGAGTCTGTTTCCAGGTGGTATAAAAGTTATTTTCAGCCTGGTGTATCTGAATATTTCTGCATACTGGGATCAATAATCAATACTGGAATTGTGTTTATTGTGAGTGACTGAGAGCTGAGTCAGCGTCTCTGATTCAACTTCAACAACTCTTCAATGTATTTTATATTTTATACTGTATTTACTTCCTGTTGCACTCGTACTGACTTCAGATCCATTAAACATCCGAACATATTTCTATTTTCTTCTCTTTTTTTTAACATTATGTTTATTGAGTTTTTCCATATTCATACATAACATAATGTACATTGTAAACATCTCTTTTCTTTTATATTGCTTTAATATAAAAGTACTGTTGTTGTTCTGTGTATGAAATCTGAGTCACAGCTGTCTGATAAATGCAGTAAACACACAAAAAAAATGCTTTTAAAAAGTATTTACTGCCCTGGAACATGTAGTGTGGCCCTTTAATGTCTCAGTGAAAACATCTTTAGATTTATATAAAATACACGGTGCAATAAGTATTCACACACTTTATCAGAACTAAATAATCAGTTGGTTTTATAGGTCAGATCAATAAATGGAAATAGGGTTTCAGTTGATTGTGGTATAAACACACCTGAACCTGGAGGCTCATTTTCTGTCAAAAACACATTAAATAAGATTCAATGTTGTTAAACAATAAAACTTACAAAGGAAGGAAAACTTCTCATTATGTTTTACATTAATATTTTATTTCAACTTTTATTTTAATAATAAACTCACATAATAGACAGAAATGAGGGTTTTAATCTGCAGTTGTTGAGATAAAAACTATCATTTAAAACCTGTTACAGACGCCAAATATTCAGATTATTTCTACTATAAAAGAACCTTTACAACTAAAACTAATCACAACTATTTCTAACTGTTCAGTTTTATAAGACTGGAGGTTTAATCTGCTGTTACAGTGAGTTATGGTGGCCCTGGAGGGACAAAAAGGAAGCAGAGAACACAGACTTTATGTTTATATAAAGATTTATTTAATATAGATTTATTCATATAAAGCTTTAGGGAAAGTGTTTCATAGTGCTGACATTGTACAAAAGATCACACACAAACAACAATACAACAAAATTCAATTCAATTCAATTCAATTCAATTTTATTTGTATAGCGCCAATTCATAACAGAAGTTATCTGAGGACACTTTTCAAATAGAGCAGGTCTAGACCGAACAACAAAAACATCCATCAATTGATTCCAACATAAACAAACAAACAATTATATGAAAATTAATGTGAAATATTGTTGATTTTGACTCACAATCTGCAGATTAACAGTGAAGACTGAACAGAAAAATTCATTATTAAGCATCGTCTCACTTCCAGTCAATTAAATAATAGTGACATTTAAATATAAATATATCAAAATAATTAATTCTGGGACCTGAGAAATGTTTACAATGTGCATATTGATGGACATACAAACAACGTGTGCACGTTCCAGTCGGGCTCATATTGTGAGAACAGGAGTAAAGAAAGAGCGTTTTATACAAGAGCGCTGGAATAAGTTGGTAACAGAGAGACAGAAGCATTAAGACTAATGTCAGACAGTGAATTAAACACTGGCAGAGATTTACTTTCTGTTTACTTTTGATAGAAGTGCCTCTAAACAATAAGAGCTGGAATTAAGGGAAGATTTGAGCTGAAGCTCTTTTCTCAACAAGGCACTTCTGGACCAAATTAACTCAGAGTTTAAGATCCGCAACGACTTCACTCGCCAATATCGACCACCGACTCTCTCTGAACCTTTCCTGCAACGTTGGGTTGGTCTGTTGTTGTTGTTGTTGTTGTTGTTGTTTGAGGCATCAGGTGGTTCCTTTCAGAGTGCTGTTTATACGGTGCATTATTAGACAGTAGATCAGCTCAGTGTATGTGAAATATTAAGGTTAAAATGCCCTCTGCTCCACACTCTCAACCCAAACTCCATTCACGGTCTACCACTCTCTTGTTTCCACTCTGTGCTGCTGTTGGGGATATTCCTTAAACTCATGTACTTCTGCAAAAGCCACAAATTTACAACTAACCCTCTTCGGACTGACGTGACCACTGTGAAGTCAGTTTCAGTTTCCACTAGAAATGGATGATACATAAGTGCAGTTTCAGTATTTTGTATCAAATAAAGAATTAAAAAACACAAAACTATCAAATTGTTTACAGAATTAAAACTAATAAACAGAATTACATTAGAAAGTGGAGCTAATTTGAATTGCTTTGTGTTCTGTTGGGTAGCTGGTCTGGGAATCATCGGATAATCTGTGATTCATTTGTCATTTTAAAAGAAAAAAACAGACCGTTTTTGATTTATTTTTATTTTTACCAATTTATCATTATTACTTTTTCCATTAAAAATAAAAAAAACGTCACGTTGTTTCTGAACTTTAAACCAAAAACAAAATCAATCAAAATGTCTCATTTTGGAAAGAACGAAGGACAGACAGGAAGTTTAGTAGTAGACATTTAAAAATAAAAATAAAAGCACAATATCTATCACCTACGGCTTAATGGATCTGAAGTCAGTACGAGTGCAACAGGAAGTAAATACAGTATAAAATATAAAATACATTGAAGAGTTGTTGAAGTTGAATCAGAGGCGCTGACTCAGCTCTCAGTCACTCCCAATAAACACAATTCCAGTATTGATTATTGATCCCAGTATGCAGAAATATTCAGATACACCAGGCTGAAAATAACTTTTATACCACCTGGAAACAGACTCATACAGCGTCTGCCAATGGGAGACTCGTTGGTACCCGTAGAACCCGTTTACATTCATTCATCTTGAGGTCAGAGGTCAAAGGGTTCCCTTTGAAACTGATTCAGCTGTGTGATCATATTGGAGGATGTTTGTGGTGAATGTTGGAACTGGCGTTATACGGAGAAGCTGTTTTTTGTTGTTTATAAAAAGGACAAAAGTTAGTTCATTGTACCAAAAACTAGATGAAGTGGCAACATATTCGCCACTCTTGCAGGACATAAAGTTTCTGTACTCGTGCTTGTCGTAAGGCAATAAACTCCAAAGCAAATCCAAGAAGGAAACGAGGCCAATGTCAAAAAAAAAAATGCTAAGCAAAATCCTGGGTATCAAAGCCACAATGCCGACAGGTGCCCACATGGCTAGTTTACTACAGTTCACTACAATAAGCTGCGCTTTAAGGCAGTATCGGTTTGTAGTAGCAGGACAAAATAAGAGCATAACAAAGCCTTATCTACTGAATAGACATTAATTACATTAAGATTAAACAAAATATCAGTTATGATTCATCCTTATAAGTTAAAGCAAAATAGATATTAACTAAATTAGGCATAAAATGCAAACATAAGCCTCTTGTTCTCCATGGCTCTAACACTAGAGCTGCACCATCCGGTAAAAACATCACACTGACATTATTCTCCTTTCACATCCGTCAGAAACCGTCTCCAGACTTTGCTCCGTCCTCCCTCTGAGCCTCTTCATACAATTCTCTGAGAGAAAACAAAAGAAGTTTTCTTTTCTTAAAAGCAAAAAAAGAACAACCACAACAGACGAGTGTTTCATCCTTCATCACTTTCCTGAAAATAAAACTTTATATTTTGATAATAAAAAGCTGAGTTTGCACTTTCACTTACGGATCTTTCCCAACTTTCACAGAACCAGAACAACGAGAACGTAGAGAGTAACAACAGCAGCAGTAACAATATGAGCACGAGCCACAAACCTGTTCCCAACATCTGAAAGAATATCAGAGAAGATGTTAAAATGAAGACGTTGAATAAAATAAAAGCAGCTTTAAAATGTCTGTGTTACTACAAACAGTAAGAAAGTAGAAAGCTCTGTATAACAGTGAGGGCAGTGAGCTTCAGCCTGTGGACAAAAACAGGTTGAGGCCCCAAGAGGTCAAAATATCTGACAAATATTAACAGAATTAAATGTGTTCATTGTGTAAAAGGCTCAGATTGAATGTTCAGATCAATGCAGCACATTTTCACACCAGAAGATCTCAGAGAGAATAAAGTGAATGTATTTACTGGCATTGTTTGGCTCAGCCACATCTTCCTCTGGAGGTCCAGTTGTGCTCTGTTGGTCTTCTTCTACTGTTTCAAATGAGATACACAAACTCTTGAGGCACATTTTCAAATGACAGAAACATCAAAGTTCTTCATTATCTGCAGTTTCATTCAATAAATGTGGAATTAAAGTATTAAACTCTTACCGACAGTGAGTTTGATGGTACAACCAACCTTCAGCTTTGGGATGTAGCATTTGTACAGCCCGCTGTCAGACAGTTGTACTGAGGAGATCAGCAGGGTCACGATTCCTCTGCTCAGCTCTTCATGGTTGAGAGTCGTCCTGTCTCTGTATCGATCCATCTGTGCTGTAGGATCGTCCCCTTTACTTCGATATACGTGGACTTCACGGGGCTCCTTGAGGTCGACTCTGCTCCAATCCAATGTGTAAGCAGACAAGTTGACTGGAGGATGCAGACGACACTGAAGCGTCACATCATCTCCTTCTGCTGCACTGACTGACTGACTCCTGCAGGTGACGCTGTACTTTCCTGTGGAAACATTAAACTGTTGAAAGCCTCTGAGGGACAGACGTCTTTTCAGCATTTAAAATGTTTGTCATCGTTCAGTCCAGTTGTTTAAATTCAGATACATCTGATTGTAACTCTGTACAACGGTTTATCAGTGAAGTGTAATAAAAATGATACTGCAGGATGGAGCCAGAATGGAGCCTGTCAACAGCAACAAACAGTAAAATGCATGAGACAGAGAGCTAAAGGTCTAGCTACTGTATCTACCCCACAGTATATCTACCCCAGTGCTCCATCTGCTCTGTTACAGGTCTCTCTGTTTTCAGTATTTCTAAGTCTCTTATGTATTCTAAGACACAGAGACCTGACTGTATGCTAAGGGACAGAGAGCTAATTCAAGATTCAAGAGGTTTATTATCATATGTACAGTAAGAAACACAGTGGTTTCTACGTACAATGAAAATCTAGTTTGCTCGACTCCCTGAGGCAACACACAAGTAGAAGAGTAAGGATATAAAAGTTAAAAATATATATATATAAAAAAAGAGCTGGCTCTTTCGACTCCAAAGTGGCTCCTCAGGTTTTTTGTTGCTTAAATTAATTTATCACCAAATAAATGATAAAATACAAAAACAAAGACCCAACTCAATTAGACAGGAAGCTGCTCCATATGAAATGTTACACTCTGTCTTTGAACTATCAGTAAATTCAAATGTGTCCAAACTTTACTATGTTTCCTGTCACTTCTTCCTTTCCAGTGTGTAGTCTCTGTCTATGTAGTAGTTCTCTTGCTCTCTCACGTCTCCCTCTCTCTCTCCCTCCCTCCTAATCACGTGCTCACTGTGCTGTGTGTGTCTATAACCAATCCCCCTCTCTCCCCGCTCAGAGCGCTCCCCCCCAAGTTACTGCAGAGCGACCAATCCCTACAGTGACTCTTGTCCTGTTAGTTTCTTGTCTTGTCTTCTTGTTTCTTGTATAATTCAATATTTAACACTTTAACATTTTTATAAATACTTTCACACTAATCAATATCTGTCAACCTATAACTAATTATCACGATAATTAAACACGTTTGTGTTTTGTCCATATAAATGCAGTTACATCGTTAATGTTGTTACTGCATCTGACCGAATATTAATAATAATATTTCTCTTTCTTTCCAACTGTAATAATATAATAATCCCACACATATTAAAGTTTACACTTCAGTCTGTCTCGTCCAATGTTTCAAACCAATAAATGTCCGTCACATTTCATTCTAGTCCCAAACTCTCTCCAGGTAAAGATTAAAATAATGGATCAATAAAGGTACATTAATCTTACATCTTATTAAAATAAGAAGAACTTATAACAGAATAAACTCACCGGTAACAGTTCCCACAAACAGCAGAACACAAAGTGTCACAGGTGTCATCATGTCCACTGTCGGATCAGTATAGTTCATAAACAGGACAATGTGAGACAATGAAAGTGTATCTGTCAGTCTCAACTATCCTGAAAGGGGCGTTCAGCTGCTGAAAGTTTTGTTTTGATGCGTTTATGTACCATCAGACAAACGGACATCACCTTCCTCACAGGAGAAACACACCGTCCGCTGGAATCGTAGGACTGTTGCTATTGTTGACAAAGACTGAAATAAATATATATTAATTACTTAGTGAACATTATTTTGTGTAATCTATTACTAATTGGCGTCTCGTCGTCCAGATTGTTTATGTTTTTTCGCTACGTAACATCTGGTTTGAAATACCGTAACGGAGTACCCGATTGCACCTGAATGCAACATAAACCTACAGTCCATCACTGAAAGGCGGAGAGGAGGAGGAGGAGACACGGAAAGAGGAAGAGAGAGAGGAGCAGACAAAGATGGAGTGGACGAGCAGACAGAGAGGCAGATAGATAGGGAGACAGGAAGTGGTTACTATGTAGTTACTATGGTTACAGCTACAGTCCATCTTTGGAAAGCGCAGAAAAGAAGAGCAGGAGAAAGGTGTGAAAGAGGAAGGTTCCTAATGTTGATTATATATTTATTTATTATATATTTATTAAATTCACCGAAACATTCAGGATATTATCAGCATTATCAGCAGTAGCATCTTCTTACTAGTAAGCTGACGTTAAGCAGCAGTGAGGGCCAGGTTTGGTTATTAACATGCAGTCATAATAAGACTGGTTCAGACTGCTGGCCTGGGTTGGCCTGGGTTGACCTGGGTTGGCCTGGGTTGGCCTGGACTGGAGAAAAACACTGTACAAGTTGATGCTACCTACAGTATATAGCACTTTGTGTGCTATGAAATTAAAACTGAGTGGATGTGAAGAGTCTATTATTACTGTCCATATAGCAACATTAGATTAGATTCAGTTTTGGATTAGTTTTAACTTTACTGTCAAGTTCAAGTCCCGTGAAATACAGTTTTACATCCAACCAGAGTGCAAACTAGTAAAGTGCTGAGTGAGTCAGTGCCTCATGTGCAGATGAGGATATCAACATGTGGACTTTATAGACAGAGGTGATAAAGATGAGCATATGTTATATACTGATGAACAGAGATAAGTATAAGTTACATACTGATGGAATATTGTATCAAACAAGTTGAGCATAATAATAATAATAAATGATATATACAGGTAGAGTATGTTTATGCAGAGAGGTGTGCACATAGAGCTGTGAGCAGATGGGACTGAGGCTGTGTCCTGTATCACTCACTACTCCCTCTATAGTCCACTGTGTGGGACTCTATGTAGTGACTAGAAGGGAATGAGTGAGTGATTTCAGACACAGCCTAAGTGAATTTATATTAAAAGTCAAAATTAAAATGCTTAGCAACTTAATAATAATATCATTTGAAACAATGGAAATGATTTACTCCATGTTGATAATACTCTTGTTTGTTTTATCATTTTAGATTCACTATTAAAATATTTGGGACCACCTGCAGCTGAATCATCAGACCAGGAACAGCCATGCACCTCAGCTGCTCCGGTTTCCTCAGGTGAGTTTAATGTGTCAGTGAATGTTTGTGAAGATAAAAATGTATTGACTTACTTAATGCCAATATGTTGTGCCATGTCTCATCCAGTCAATGTATTTGCTCCTGTGTGTTCTCTCTATGTTTATGGACCTAGAGCCACCAGAAGAGACACAACAACAGCATGCTGCTCTTCCTGCCAACCTCACATCACATTTTACATTATCTAATGCACACAATGTTTTATTGTTAGTTTAATTTTTTGTTTTGATTCTTTAGTGTGCACTTTCTGCTCTCAGATGTTGCACTATTGTTAAAAATATGTTTAAAAGTTATTTTTTTGTATATTTATTATTGAACAGGTTTATTCTTTTGCACATATTGTTATATTGTTTGTATTATCATTGTTTAAATAAATGTGCAATTCTTTGGACATGAGTTCTTTTCTGGTGGGGATGGGGCGCCATCAGTAAAGCTCGCCTAGGGCACCAAATGGTCTAGGACCGCCCCTGATGAGCAGTGACAACAGCAACAACAGTAACCGTAGCTATAATAATACTTATAATAATAATAATAATAATAATAATAATAATAATGATATCAGTGATATTAGCAATCGCAGTCAAGCAGGACCATGGTCTGATCCAGCCCTAACTATAAGCTTTATCAAAGAGGAATGTCTTAAGCCTACTCTTGAATGTGGTGAGGGTGTCTGCCTCCAGAACCACAACTGGAAGCTGGTTCCACAGGAGAGGAGCTTGGTAACTGAAGGCTCTGGCTCCTGTTCTACTTTTAGAGACTATAGGAACCACAAGTAGCCCAGCATTCAGAGAACGTAGTGTTCTAGAGGGGTAATTGAACAAGTGGACATTAAGTTCACCTGTAAAGGTTAAAGTGCATTTTAGGTGCATTCTGAAATTTCAGTTCAAGTTAGGGATAACTTGAACCTGAATAACAACATAATAATAAACACAATTCCAGTATTGATTATTGATCCATGCAGAAATATTCAGATACACCAGGCTGAAAATAACTTTTATACCACCTGGAAACAGACTGTCTGCCAATGGGAGACTCCTTGGTACCCGTTAATCAGCTGATGCCTTTTGACAGGTCATTACCGTAAATATTGGAGAAAAGGACTAGAGAAGTTTGGACTGTATTTTCTGACTAATGTTACCTTAAATATTGTATAAAAGGCCCAGAAGTTTTATGTACTTGTTTGAGGCTTATCTTTCAACAAATAGGTGACAACTTATAACGTTTTGGGCACGTTTTGATTAAATTCTCTGCGTTTTAAAAACCATCATTTTATTTTACTTTATTTTTAATTTTTTAATTTTTTTTAATTAAAAGGGAAAAGTTTTAGTTTATTTCTTTTAACTACAGAACTAAGAAAGAACCTTTTTGGCTTCTATTATTATCATTATTAAGCTACTCTGCTCTTTTTGTTTGACATGTTTAGTTGCAGTAACCATTCAGTTGGGGGTGTTGTTATGTGATCTGTTTGACTGCATTGTTTGTGGACATCCTTTGTGGTTTACTGGTGAAGCTGCTCCTCAGTTATGTGGATCAGCGTTAAGTCCTACAAGAGTTACAGTTGGAGGGAGATGAAGGAGGAAGGGTTCAGGGGTTCGCATTGTTGTGGGAGGATGTTGTTTAAGTCTCCCCAGTTATGTGTATATGTATGTTTGTTTTGTTGTAGTTTTATTTTATTTTATTTATTTTTACAGCAGCAGCCTTTTATTCTTTTCTTTTGTATAGATATGTATGTATCATAACTGTAACTCCTCTAACATATAAATCTGGAGCTGGAATGTCAGGGGTCTCCGGAGAATTACAAAAGTAAAACAAGCTATGAGTAGGATTAGACATCTCGAATCTAAAATCATATTTTTTTTTTTTTAACCCACCTGACAATTGAAGACAGAGGAATATCTTTAGGAATATCTTTCCTGACTTTGTCTACCATGAACGGATTTTTTATTTTAGGAGGGGACTTCAATTGTGCTTTAAATCCAACAATAGAGCGTTCAACGGGCTGTGACACCAGTGGCGGAACTAGACTTTTGTACAAGGGGTGGCCAGAGGGTGGTCAAGGCTTTATGAGGGGGGCCATATACTAGGCCTAATAAAGGAAAATCCTGGTTCCATTTCAGGTGTAAGAGGCTTTTTTGTAGGTCTTGACATGATACATGTTTTTTTTAAAGATCTCATTATTATTTATATTTCGTATAATGTGTTTTTTACTAACTTGAGCAACTGTAACGCAACCAATCCCCCCCCCCCCCATCAATAAAGTATTTCTGTGATTGTGATTTTTAATAACAGACAGAGGTGCAGTTACATGTTTCATCCACCAGAGGGCAGTGTACACATTGTTCTACAGTATAAGTATAATGCCATTCAAAATAAAAGTTTCAAACTACAAACGTAAACACGACTCGAAGCAGCTTTTAAATCCGTTTTTTGTTTTGCTTTAGTGAAACTTTAAAATACGAAAACCAGAACTTAAATCAAACAAAATAAAAATATGAATTATATTTGTGATAGTAATAACAATAATGAATAAAGATATTTGAGGTAATTTAATATTTTAAGGGAAAGACATTTAATTTAATCAGATGTATATAATATTTATTTATATTAAAAATCTGTACAACATTAAAGAAATGACATAAAGCTTGTATAGTCCAATTTGTGGGCTGTTTTCAGATCAGTTCATTGCCGAAGCTTAAACCTTAAACCTTAATCAAATATATTAATAATAATAATAATAATAATAATAATAATAATATATATTGTATATATATATATATATATATATATATATATATATATATATATATATATATAATATAAATACTTTATTGATCCCTGGGGGGGATTGGTTGCGTTACAGTTGCTCGTTAGTAAACAACACATTATACGAAATATAAATAATAATAATAACTTTAGAATATGTGCATTAAATTACAATATATATAGAAAATACAAAATAAGACATTCAGAATATCTATAGCACAGTATAAAACAGAAGTGTAATGGATAAATACTGACTAATATTAATAATGTTTGAGAACTGGATCCTGAATAATTAAAGAGCAGTATACAGTATAATAGTGTAAATGTTCACCAAACGTTAGAGGATCGATTTAGAGCGGAATTAAAGTGTTAAAGATGAGGCGTACAGCATTAGGCATTAGGTGGCGCACCTTTATTCAGTTCAATTCAATTCAAATGGGCTTTATTGGCAAAAAAACAAAAGTAATTTGTTACTATCAAACCCTCCTTAAGGCGAGATAAACCAGACCCACCTGCAGTAAAGTGAGATCAATTAAATAATGAAGAATTATTCCACTGAACCTGCTGATGTGAGTCAGTGTTCGCCTGTATTGTTTTTTATCTTTTTCGTATTTTAAAGTTTCACTAAAGCAAAACAAAAAGATTTAAAAGCTGCTTAGTCGTGTTTACGTTTGTAGTTTGAAACTTTTATTTTGAATGGCCTTACCGGAAGTAAGCCATGTACTATGAGATTGTGTGTAACTTTACGGTTTGTTACCGGCCGTTATACTGTAGAACGATGTGTACACTGCCCTCTGGTGGATGAAACCTGTAACTGCACCTCTGTCTGTTATTAAAAATCACAATCACAGAAATACTTTATTGATCCCGGGGGGGGATTGGTTGCGTTACAGTTGCTCAAGTTAGTAAACAACACATAATAATAATAATAAGATCTTTAAAATATGTGGACTAAATTACAATATATATATAAATATAAATATATATCTATTGTATTCCACAATGATATAACAATATACAGTAAATACAAAATAAGACATTCAAAATATGCTGAGTACAGTATAAAACGTGTAGTAAATCAGAGTATTGCACATTTCAGAGGCAATTTTGAGGGGATTTAATCAAATTGTATTATTATAATTATTATTATTATAAAATTTGATTAAATTTCCCCTGAAATGTTAAAAACTGCACTATACATATTTTAAATAATTATTTTCTATATATTGTTATATAGTGGACTATAATTAACCTATTGTTATACACATTTTTCGGTTTGCTATATATGTTGTTGTTATATGTTGTAATTTAATGCACATACTTTAAGGTTCCTATTATTATTTCTAATTCTTATAATGTGTTGTTTACTTACTTGAGCAACTGTAACCGCAACCAATCCCCCCCCGAAAACCAGAACTTAAATCAGACAAAATAAAAATATGAATACTATTTGTGAAAGTAAAAATAATAATGTATATAGTTAGAGATATTTTAAAGGAAAGACCTTTAATTTAATCAGATTTATCTGTGATAACATTAAATGTCTCTGTGGCATCATCACTACAGTCTGTGTTTTCCTCCCCAGTGATCGTGGTTCAGATGCATTGTTTAAAAACCCATCTGTACAACATTAAAGAAATGACATAAAGCTTGTATAATCCAGTTTGTGGGCTGTTTTCAGATCAGTTAATATGCTCCTCAGTCGGTTAATTGCAATATCCTTAATTTAAGTGATACCCTGTTATACTTACCGAAGCTCAAACCTTGTAAACCTTGTAGTGAATGTGAGAACTCTGTAGTTTGCATTCTGCACAGAGAACTGAAGTTGTGGGTCAACTGAGATGCACAATGATTACACTGAATTTAAACTTGTCACATACAGATAAACGTCTGAAAACCTTCACAGAAACTTCTCAAACAGGATCACCCGCTTCTCCTATTAATCATTCCAGGAATTTTATTTCTAAAAAAAGGCACAGACACGGTGTGTTTTTGAGGAGATGCCTGGGATGTTGGTTTTAATAACTTAGAAAACATTTATGTTACAGCGATACTACAGTAACAGTACAACAGAGAAATGGAAGGAGCTGCACTCACATCCAGTGGTGCCTGTTTGAAGCCAGATTTGTTGGACTGAACATTTTAAAACCAACAGATTCAGCCACAGAGGCGAACACAGGCGCACATCAGCAGGTTCAGTGGAATGATTCTGGACTCATTAATCTCCCTTTTACTGCAGGTGGGGTGGTTCATCTCGCCTTAAAGAGGGCTGCACCATCCTGATGAGAGAAAACTACACATTGGATTTGACTCAAGTGAAAATCCTCTGAGAGTCCAGGTGAGATGATATAAAATCAATGCTGTGATGATCAACATGCTGCCATTAAGGGGATTTTCCAGCTAACGAGGCCCTGTCCAAAGAGCATTTCATCTTATTCCTATCTAACGGGTGTTTTTTTTTATCCACAGTGGAGTCCCACAACACCTGAACGACGGCAGGAAAGTACCTGAAAGAACATTTAAACTCCAGCCTTTTTTTTTAACTTTTTTATAGTCAATGCCACAAACCCACATTTATCTGAGAGAGAGAGCAGGGCCAGTACGTAGCAGTAATCCCAACGATCAATACAACAATTAAATCTCATTTGATGCTTTTGGCAAACTGAGAGGTTCTTCTGCACAAACAAACAAACAAACAAAAGTAGTGATTCTTCTAAGGCTGACATTTTATGCACAAATCAACTGGTTTTGAACATTTTCAGATTTTTAAACCACTAATATAATCTGAGGTTTGACTGGTAGAAACTTGATTTTCTTGTCTTTTAATCATTAAAGTATGTTCTTCAAAATGATCATAAAGGATACAGTCGAACAACATTTGTCATGAACAAAGTTTCAGACCATGATCAAAAAAAAAAAACCAAGATCACTGGTGAACAACATGGCTACACAAACGTCTCTATGACCTTTTACAGATTATGATAAGATCGGCACATACAGGCAACAGTAAAAGTGCCCGACTCACTAAAAAGTTCAATTTTAAAATGGAATGAAAGTAGAAAAAATAAACCTCCTTCTCTTTACGTGCATCTTCAGTTCGCAGTTACGTGTCGACCTTTAAGGATCATTTTATATTCTCTAACAGGCAATTTTCCACAGATGAAAAGTGAAGAAAATGCACTTTTAATTGAGCAGTTTGGCCCTAAAACACGTCACAGAAAACACTTTTAAAAGGGAATTCGACCAGTTTGTTACTGTGGAAAAAAAAAAAAACATTGCTGAAATGAAAACTGCATTTTGTTTTCTTAAAACAAAACTTATTTCTTGCACCTGAAAAGCTTCAGAGTCGATCACATTGAAGAGTTTGTAACTTGAATGAGGGCCAATTTAAATATAATCGTAGTGTAAATGAGTGTAAATGTTCTTGAATCGTTAAAAGATGCTCTCATGCCGTGTGAGACTCATCAGATCACAACCGGAGCTGCAGACTGATCCGGGCCCGTATTTATCAAACCACTCAACAAACAGGAAGATAAAAGCTATTAATCACATTTATTGTGATTTGGATTTAAGAGAAAACTTGGTTTAGAGCTGATCCTCCGTGATCAGAGAGCACTTCTTCTGAGCAGGGCTGCAACTAACCATCATCATCATCGATTAATCTGTCGATCGTTGAACATTTGACGGGTTGTTACACGACTTTTTATTCTTTTATATTTACCAGAGGTTCAAACAAACAAGAGTAAATCTCATATTGATTTTGTTTCCATGATTTCTTCCCTATCTGTGTATTTATATATTCTAAAAAATATAGTATATTGTTGTTAATTGCTATTGCAGATGTTCAGGATTATAATATTTGTAGAAAAAGACAGCAGTGAGTAAAATGTGGAGGATTGTTTTAAGACAGTATGGCAGTATATCTAAGCAGCTGCTCTGAGCTTATTCTTACGCTCTGCTGTAAGTACGACTAAGTTGCATTATAAATCTGTGTCACTGCTCACTATCAGTGAAGATCTTTTTACTAAAACGTGTAATTCTCTGAAGTTTGACAAATACAGGCTCAGAGTTCGGACATCAGCTCAAAATCCTGCTCGTTACTGACACGAAGAAATAAAAAAAAGAAAGATCTGTAAGTAACTTTTGGGGGAATCAGTAGGAATCCAAAGACATGGGGAGTAACACCTCCTCCCACTAACAGCTCGGTTCGTGTGAACAGCAGGACGAAACTCATTTAAAGCCTGAACAGTGATCTGACTGGATGAAGTTAAAGGAATTCTTCCTTTCTGCCCGACAAAAACTTTTCTTTTCCACCAGATGAAACCGTTTGAGACCAGTGTAAACCCCTACAGTGACGGTTGGTAGAGAGAAAATAAAACAAAGTTGGTTTGACTGGTGACCGGCGTTAGTTTACTTCACCTGAGCCTCAATCAAAAAATAAAATAAATCTGTTCCTTCTTAAAAACTCCTGTTGTCTCCCTCAGGGATACGAAATGTTAAAAACCTTTAAAGATGTGCGACTCGGTGGCTGAGAGCGAGCCTTGAATCAGCTCCGGTGAACGGGCTCCATGCTGGTCTTGTTTCACACAGAATCTCAAACAAAAACAAGCGCGCCGTTGATGTTGAAACCTTATCGATCCACACATCGCTCACAGCAGCATCTCTCCTCCTCTCCTTCATATAGAAAATATAACACTATATTTTACAAGAGGACTAAGAGAACAGAACATCTATTATCTTACAAGGAACAGCGTACAGGCAAAGTATGTACAGCAAACCAGGTCCCAACAAGTCAAGGCTTTGTGGAACAAAATGAGTGAGCAGCCTGAAACCGAACACTTTGGATGCCGGAGAGAAAGTCCCGAATGTTACCCGGATCCAAAATGGTCCACAGAGACCTCCTGATCAGTTTAAGATCAAGATACTACAAGATGCAACCGGTTCAGGGGACTGTTGCACCAGCTGTGTGTAAGTTCAAACTTCGCCCAGTTATAACGTAAAATCCCACAGTTGTGATTTATGCATTAATAAAATAAAAGCAGTTGCACCACAGAGACAAGTTAAAAGAGAACTAAAGAGTAAAAATAGAAGCAAAAAGCATCAACATATAAAAATGGACGACATGACATAATATCTCTATCGCCCCCTGGTGGCTGGTTGCAGTACAGGTCATAAACCCCGCCCCCTCCATGTTAGCAGATGGGTTGGTAAACGTACAAAGCACACGTCAAATAAAGATGGTTTCTGTCATTTTAGATGGTTCTTATCACGCCGAGTACCAGTGTACGATGGCAGCGGCCGTATCCGGATATTTCAGCTTCATTTTCGTACATTGGAAGGAAGTCCATCTTTTATATGTCAATGGTAAAAACTTAATAGTTACACAAGAAGATAGGAACTAGTTTAGTTACCAGGCCTCTCGTGTCGACTTTAGGAAACCCAGTGCAGGAAAACAGTGTTTAGATGTTAAAATTTACTGTTTTAGGACACAAGTGGTGAATCCTTTTTGAATATCCCATAATAAACTGCATGGTGGTCAGTTTTTAAATATTTTCCACATTGTTCAGGCGGTCCTCATGTCCTCACTGCAGTTTATAACGGTTAGCAGCAATCAGTGCTGGCAGTTATATGAATATATTAACCAGGAATGCAGCTAATTCTTCTCATTATTCTTTCATCTGCTGATTATATTCTTAAATAATGAATTAACTGTTCTATAAAATGTCAGAAAATAGTAAAAAAAAAAAGCCCGTCAGAAATATCCTAAATCTCAAAAATGGTGTCATCAAATTAGTTTTTTGAGGGACCAACACTTTAAAACCTAAAAATATTCAGATTATTATCACATTAGACAAAGAAAAGCAGCGAACCCTCACCACTGAGAAGCTGTAACCAGAGAATATTTGGAGTTCTTTATTGAAAAAAGGACCTAAACGACGTCACTACGGAAGAGGGGTCAGGGCATTAAAGTCAGAAGTCAAATAAAGTTTGCACAATGTACATCACAACTGGTGTAAACTCTAGTATTCGTTAACTACTCAGACGGATGTCTCCAAACCAGAACTATCTGCATGGGTCGATACCATTACAGGTACTTGAGAAACTGCTGTTTTTGTTTTTGGGATCAGGTCTGGTCTCTCTAACCATCAGGTCACATGATCCAAAGTGTTCGGTCTGACACTGACACTCGCCTTGGTGGCGGGTTATTAAGTGCTATGAGAATGACGATGTGCTTTAGCATGAGGTACACTACAAACAGATTCCTGTGTCCAAAAATGAAGATGAATGTACGATCCTCTCAACGTCCGTAACTCAAGAGCTCAGAGAAATGGTCGTGATAACCTCCGGCTGTGTGTGTGTGAGTGCGTCCACTGAAAACACGGAGTGCCGCCGGTCCCAGCTGCGAGGTCGCGTTCGGTCCGGCTCCTTCTGCCAGAGGGTGACGATGAGTGTGAATGAGTACTCGTGAGTTTGTGTTGTGACGTACAGCACGTGATGGTGGATAGCACTCTACCACAATTACAACAGCGAGGAGGAAGAGCAAGACAGGAGAGTAAGAAGGGGGGAGAGAAAGAGGTGGAGGGAGAGAGATATCCAGTTTCAGTGGTGGTTTGTGGGTAAAAAGGCCTGACAGTTAAAAGAAAAAAAACTGAAACAAAGAAGCGAGCGTTACTCACACAAACACAGCCATCATGACTGCGGACTGTTCTGGACAGAGTTTAATGAGTCTGTCTGGCCCTCCTCCTCTTCCTCCTCCTCCTCCTCCTCCTCCTCATCTTCCTCCTCCCCTGGATGTAAGGGGCCATTGTGCCTGCCCTGTCTGCCTGATCCTGCACTGTCCCTGGGCACAGTGGGACCTCCAGCCCCGGGCTTCGCCGGGCCTCTGGAGGTCCGATGTCCGTTTGACGGAGACAGGCTACGGCCCCTCCCCTTTTCCTGAGCGTCGCTGTCGTTCTTGCTGTCGGCCCTCCTCTCTCCCGCTGAAGACTTTTTGGTCGTCATCTTCTGTCTTCCCTCCTCTTCCTCCTCCTCTTCCTCCTCATCATCGTCGGAGTCGATGCGGTTGAGTCTTTTGCGGATCGGACGATCCTCTTCCGACGACGATTCCGATTCATCCGACTCATCGTCATCGTCTTCGTCCGTCGAAGGCCGCCGTTTCTTCAGCATCTGGGCGAGTCGTTTGCGCCGCTGCTGTGACAGAATCTCTCTCCTCTTCCCCCTGCCCATCTTCTCCAGGTCCTCCTCCTCTTCTCTGTCTGTCCTCCTTAATCTCCTCCGCTTGTCTCTGTCCTTCTCCTTCTCCAACAGCTTCCTTTTCAGCCGCCGGCCTCTCTCTCTGTCATCCTCTTCGTTGTCTTCGTATCTTCTCCGCTTGTCTCTCGTCCGGTTTCTCCGGAGGTCTTCCTCCTCTCTTCTCCTCCTGTTCACTCTCCTCCTCTGCTCATCGTCCTCTTCGTCTTCATAATCATCCTCATCCGTGTCTCTGGAAGAGGCCGACACTAAAGGGGAAAAGAAAAGGAAAGGATTTGTTGGGTGGAATAAATCTTTGCTGAGGTGCATTTAATAAACTCCTGACAACAGTTTGATAAACTACATTACAGATCCCATTTCCAGTATTTACAAATGTATTCTTTGCTAGAGCCCCTTCCTAAACAGTGTGAGGACAGTATAACTTGTATTAGGCTCACAGTGCAAAAAAGTAATCCCCAGAAAGTAAAAAAAAAGCCTCGTTTCTGGGAAAGGACACTTATTTTTGGTCTAAAAAGAATATTAATCTTGTTAAATCTGTTTTGCATTAGAAACGTAATCTGGTTTTAAGAAACTATATCGAACTTTGTCAGTTTGCATAATTAAACTTAAACAAGGGCACCTGGTAAACAGCGAGTAGGTCTTTTTTTATAGCACTTCTATTGTGTCAAAACATTTAAATACATTACTGATATGTTTTTATTAATTAGTATATGGAGACCAGCCTTTATAACATTCTGAGTTGCTCCCTATTCTGCCTTTCTGTATTTGCCTAAACCCCTAAACTTCTCTGAGTTGCAGTCACTCACTTAAATCATGATCTACCGACTAACTGGTTTACTTTGATCAGGCAAGCTGAGTAAAGTTCACATAGTTCACATCAGTAGATTTCTCATAAGATCCTTCAGTGTTAAAACCACAACAAGAGAAAAAATAACTTCCACACCCAAATCAGTTCAACCCTGTATATAAAAATGACTAAAGGTGAAGCACCAATTTGACATGGATGCTGCTGAATGTGCTGAATAGGTTGTGAAGCCCTTTGAAATGATGCTGCAGATGCCAGCGGCCACTGACCATCGCTGTAGTCACTGGAGAAGCGCTCCTTGCGTGGTCTGCCGCGGGGTTTAACCTTGTTCCTTTTGGTGGAGGTCCGGGAGTTGTCCGATGACTCAGACGTTTCGCGGTAGTTGACCTGCTGGCGCTGGCCCCGCCTCAGGCCCCGCCTTTTTTTGTCAGCGTCGCTGTCAGTCATGTCGCTGAACTGATCGGAGTCTGGAGAAGGAAATGGAGATAGACGGTGAAAATGTACAGATATCAATGTTTATTATCGATTAACTCTTTATTTATTAAGCAATAATGCTAAATATTCTCTGGTTCCAGGTTCTCAAATGTGATGTTTGGCTCTTTTCTGTAAGATCTTTGGGTTCTGGGCTGTCGGTCGGACCAAACTACACATCTGAAGACGTCACTCTAAACTTTTGTCAGGTTTTTAAAAATACATTTTACATTTTACGGTAATTTATTCATTAGTTGCATTAATTGATTGTTTTTTTTCAATAAATCTTCTCATTTGAGGAGCTGGCTCCAGAGAAGGTCTGGTAGTTATTTACTTTAAAAGTGCCAAAAACAAAAACCCATTTATCAAAATAGTTGAACTCCACTTTGTATTTTTAAATATTTATTATCATATATTATATAATACACAATCAATTCTGCAACTGTAATACAAAAACAATCTGTCTAACATTGAGGCTCACCCATTTCCTCTTCAGTGTCTTCCTCCTCTTCCTCAGAGGAGCGTCTCCGCCGCCGTCTCAGCCGCTTCCTACCCCTGCGTTGGGTCTTGCTGGGTCGGTGTTTAGGTACCCCTCTCGGTGCCCGTCTGGGGCGGGTCCCACTGTCCAAGCTGCCCACGTCGCTGCCCGCTTCTTCATCTTCCTCCTCCTCATCCTCTGCCCCTGATGCAGCAAAATCCTCATCCTCTGAGCTTTGGGGGGAGAGGATGAAGAAAATAAGCCAAATGGAAGAAAATACTTTTTTAAAAGAGAGACTGAGGACACGGAGAGTGAAGAGCGTGTGTTACCTGTTGCTGAGCATGAACTCGTCTTCGCTCTCTGCTGCCGTGCTGTCACTCTCCAGGTCGTTCAGTCTCCGCTTCTTCCTGTTTCTGGCAGAACGGGGCTGGCTTCTGATTGGCCGCTGGCTCTCCTTCCCGTCCTCTGACAGGATGGCGGTGATTTCTTTGCCTTGGCCCGCGCCTACGTCAGAACAGTCCAAGTTATAAAAGGTCTACTCTTTTTCTCCTGGGGTTAAACTTTATGATGAAGACATATATACAAATAATAGGCTTGGAACCATAATGTGAGTCTGATTTTTTCCCACATTAAAATCCATACTCAGTGTATGTTCACTGGTGGCTTTAAGTTTCCTGGAGCTTTGTGGAATAACTAATTAAGCCATCATTAATGTTGTTTTATTCTGCCAGATGTCCGGGACCAGATCTTACAAGTAGGGGATCTCTTGAATCCCTTATTATTTAATCTGAAGTTCAAATAAAAACACTATAAACAGAAGTTCACACGTTCAGCTCTTGCAAATATTGATGTATTCGCCGATACTGAACTGCAAAACCGCTCTGAATACCTGCTGTCTAAAGGAAGAAATACATAAAATAAATAGTTTTTTAACCATCACATCATCCACTCACCACCACAGAGGTCTCCGATGTCCTCCTCTATGGCCTCATCGATGGCATCGTCAAAGTCATCAAACCTGCAACACAAACAAACAAATCAGATGTTGATTTGCCTGTCTGGGATTTTATGTTTTTATTGCTTTGGAAACATTCAAATTTGCTCGCAACCACTGAACGATTTCCCAAGTCATCACACTATAAAATTATAGTTGCAGTGCTGATGTACTGAAGTGTTTCAAGAGCCATTTTGGCTCTTCACAGGTCAAATAGGCAATAATGGGACTGAAATATAGACCCATTCACTTTTTACACAGTTGGTTGCAGAAGACGTCTGTATGTTCTGGTTTCTTTAATCCTCTGTGACAGTGAACTGAATATCTTTGAGTTGTGGTCAAAGACATTTCAGGACAGAATCTTGGGCTTTGGGAAACAGTGATCAACATTTTTCATCATTTTCTGACATTTTATTGACCAAACTAGTAACTGATTAAGCGAGAAAATAATCGACGGATTACTCGATAATGAAAAGAATCGTTAGTTGCAGCCTTAGTAAACAGGAATGTAAACAATGGAGGTTCCAAATTATTTTTAAAAAATGGAAGAAAAAACACTATACATTGAATACGTGTGTTTTGGTGACAAACACTAAATGTAACTTTGTTTGTTTACAATAAAACCCCTTTTACCCTTTAACCTTTAACACACCCACCTGTAGCTGATGTGCTTCCTGGTTCTGGTCGATCTCCTCCCCAGATTTTTGCTCTTTTTGGAATCTTTCTTCTTTGCCGACTTCTCCTCTTCTTCCTCGTCTCCTTCCTAAGACGGTCAAAACAATTTGTAATGTTGAAATATAAACAGATGGTCACGTCAAGTTTGTCTCACAAGTTCAGACTGTCTGAACTGTTGCTGCAGTCCATCTGAAGTCCAAAGCTGAAAAGTCCCACCTGAGATTTGATTTACTGACTGAATGATAATGAATGCTGCTTGTGATTTCTGCCATTAAAAACATGTCGAAACTGATAGAAAAATAAAACTCCTGCACTCAGTAATCACATTATTCCCCACGTTCAGGCTGAGTTGAGTGCAAATCTGTTTACAGTAAAACATGTTTAAACTGACGGGGATTATTATGAAGCTCTGTGTTAACTAACAGTACAATGAAAAAACTCACAGGGATGATGTTCTCCACACTGATCCCAACGTACACCAGCCGCTCCCTCCTGCAGAGACAGGGAGAGAGGAGGGTCAAAACACACATTTTTCAGGAAGTCAATCACAGTGTGTTTGTGTGTGTGTGTGTGTGTGTGTGTGTGTGTGTGTGTGTGTGTGTGTGTGTGTGTGTGTGTGTACCTCCTCTCTGCTCTCTCTCTTTTCTTCAGAGCACTGTCCAGATTCTGCAGCTGCTCCTCCAGTTTCTCACACAGCAGCTTCTGAAGGGAGGAAAACCAAACACCAAAAAAATCTGTCACTCTTGAATTAATTTAATCTCAACACTATATTAGTATCACTCAAATGTGTCCAATGCAGAGAGTGGTGAAAACGTTCAGTAACTGAATCTGTCTGGTCAGATTTGTATGCTTATTCTTTGGTCAAATAGTTCCTGATTGTTAGAAATAGATTGACTGTTATTTAGAAAAGAATATTTTCAGTATCTCTTGTTAAATATACATTTCTCCATTACTCAGTTACTTTAAGATTTTAGTGACCAAGCAGTCGGACTTTAGAGAGAATGCTCATTAATATGTTTTCAATAGTTTTACCAATAACACATGAACAGGTTAATAGTTTGATATAATGAGAGAAAAATGTGCTTTACAGTATGTGTCAGTCCTGCTCTCTGTCACACACACACACAGCTTACATGTTGGCAGGGGGGACAGAACCACTCTCCATCTGGAATCAACATGAGCGGCGGCCGCAGACAGGCAGTGTGGTATCCACTATCACAAGAGTCACACAGCAGGATCTGAGGACACACACACACACACACACACACACACACACACACACACACACACACACACACACACACACACACACACACATAAATATACAGTGAAATAACTCAAAAGAGTTCTAAGTACTCTTAGTGACAACTCTAGCTGTGACGTTAACCACACTTTCACTGTGTAAAACTACTAACTGACAACAAAGCTTTTAGATGGCTTTAATATTTTGGATTTACTTGCGTCTTCGGTATAAATATATAGTGCAATTATTACTAGATTAAACGATTCATCAATAGATAGAGATGACAGTTTTTATAACCGAATTATGGTTCAAGTCATTTATCAAGGAAAAGATAACAGATATTTGCTGGTAAAGCCTTCTTAAATGTGCATCGCTGCATTTCTCTCTCACATTGAGCTCATCTCAGTCATTCTTTATGGAGCTGGCTTTGTGCACTCATGTTGAAACAGGGGAAGGCCTTTCCAAAACTATTACCTCTCAGCTGGAAATACACTATAGTATGAAATATCACTGTATGCTATAGCACTAAAGTTTCTATTAATTTAAACCACAGCGCACCAAAACGTAGATCAAAAGTACCTAAATGTATGTAGACAGGAGTGCAAATCACTTTGTGTATATACATATCTATAGATATATATCTATAGATATCTATAGATAAATATATATATATATATTTATCTATAGATATCTATCTAATAAAATGGATAAATGGATAAATAATAGCTAATTCAATCTGTAGCTAGACCCATGACAGAAATGCTTATTTTTACTTCCTTTTTTACCTTGCAACGTGCTGTTTCTGCATGTAACGTGGGATTTGGAGAAAGACCCACAGGGAAGTGGTCAGGGATAATGAGAGATCAAAGTTGCAGGTGTATGCTGTCTGTTGCATCGCTGTATCCTTTACTGTCTGAGTCATAGTGTACTGGACTTACTCTATACTCTGCTTTTTTGATTTACCTGTATATTAATGCCCTGGTATGCCTTTATTTTATGTTACTGACAGATGTTACTTGTTGACCTATACCTGCACACTTGTGGTAAATAAAGAGTGAAACAGTCTCTCACCAGTTCAGGGTGGTTGGGCAGGCCACAGTGACTGCAGGCGTCCTCACTGGGAATTTCCTCTGATTTACATGTTTCTTCTGAGTCGCTCCCTCCTTCGCTCTCCTCCTCTCCTCGCTTCCTCCCGCTGTCCTCCACCTCCCCTCCCTCATTCAGTTTGCGTCTCTTCGAACGAATGTTGGACCATCGGGCGCGTCGATGCCTCCGTTTGCCCTTAAAACGCAACAGAAGAAGAGAAACAGTCAAACAGACATAAAATAGGGCGGAAAAATAATGTTGTGTTCATTTTCACGCACACTTATTACCCTTTGTTTTCTTATTTGACCAACAGGTTCTGTTTTTCTGTCTCTCTTTGTAGTCGAGTCCTGCTCCTCTTCATCTTCTTCCTCTTCTTCCTCCTCGTCGTCCTCCTCCTCTTCCTCCCTCGTTCTGGAGGACAGACCCTGTTTCTTTTGCGGTTTCTTTCTCTGGCTCTCAGCCGCCTTTGAGCTCGGCCTGCAGGTTGGCAAAGCAGATGATCTTCAAGAAAAGAGGTGCAGATGGGACTGAATTTATTGTCAAAATCAAACCAGCTGAACCTCAGATTACAATGGACAACGTTTATTCTCCGATCCACCAGTTTCATCCATTTTATTACACACATACCTGCAAATCCTCGCAGATCTCCTCAGTGGCTTCCCTTCCTCTTGAACCTCCTGCTCCCTCTCTTTGTCCTCCTCCTTCACTCCTTTCCCCTTTACCTTGTTTCTTCTGTGGGGAGGAATCTTGATCTTTAACCTGATTCCTTCTTTTTGGAGCTCAGAGGAGGCCTCCTCCAGGGGACCCTGCCTCTCCTCTGATCCAATCCCAGTGCCCGTCACCCTAAACGGGGCTGCCAAGCCACCGTTGACTCCGTCTCCCTGGTGGTCTTTTTTATCCTTCTGGTTCAGAGGTGGACTGGTGCTCTCTGATTCTGCATCCAACTTTCCTAAAGTGCTTTTATTCTTTTCATGGTCATCTTTACTTCCTTCTTCAGCTGCAGGGTGCCCAGACACCTCTCTTATCTTCTCCTCCCTCTCCTCCAGGTTGTCACATTTCTGTTGATGTGTTTTTGTCCCCCTGTCTACCTGCTCCTCTGTCAGTTTTTTACCCTGGTCTTCTGTCGTCTGTTTTTTGGGTTCCTCTGTGGACTGCGACAGCAAGGAAACACTAACAGAATCCACTTTTCTCTCTGATAATATTAATTTTCTGGCTGTTTGAGCCTCCATTGCTACATGAGGAAGAAGAGCGGCAGCGGCGGCTGCTGCTGCCGCGTCCCCTTCAGCAGGTCCCTTCCTTACCAGCACTGACTGCCGGCTCACTTCCCTCTCTTCCTCCACAGCTCTGGAGCCCTGGTGGTCTAAACTCGGCCCATTTTGTTCCTGTTGCTCTGCACCGGGGGCTCTGTGGCGCTCAGATGGGCTGCGGATGACCCCTACATGACCTACAACACCAACCTGACCTATGACACCTATGACTCCATTTTGTCCCTCTTTGTGCGGCAGGAGGAGAGATGCTCTCCCGTTGGTCAGCTCCTGCCTGGATGCAGTGACCACTAGCTGTTGCTGTTGCTGTTGCTGCTGCTGTTGTTGTGAGGCAGGTTGACCACCAGGGGGCGCTAAGGAGTCAGATAACTTCCCCTCTCGTCCATGACTGTCCTTGGTCTGGATCACTGAGGGGTTGCAAACAATAATACTACTGCTGTTGTTAAGGTGGTTGGTGTGGTAGCTCTCTGCAAGCTTTAGCTCCCTCTTCTTCAGTGGTATCTTGGCCTGCTGGCTGCTCCTGACAACTGCCCGCTCTGCTTCTTCTTCCTTCTTCATTTCCTGTTTTGTCACAGTCGCACCTGGTGCCATGACGACCGACACAGCATTCTTGGGGGCCTCAGCATCCCTGGATTCTGATTTGATGATGGTGGTGATCGTGCTCACGCGGTTATCAAAGGCAGGCGGTCTGTGGTCAGGCTTCTCCTCTTTCAGCTCAGCCTCAGTGTTTTCCTGCTTGACAGGCTGCGTCTGCTCCTGCTTCAGCACTGTGAAACAAAAAAGACAAAACAATTATACTCTTGCAAACAAGAGAGGAGTGCTAGGAGCAGATCAGGGTGTGTCTACCAGTCACTTGTGTCTTCTTGTATCTGGCAAGTAAAAGAGTGAAAGCTGCTGGATACTTTGGCCAGTTTCCCTCTTTTTCAGTGATAAAAACAAAATTGTGTCCTGATGCTTGAGGGGTTTAAGATGCTAACCATGTAACCAAAACTTTTCATACCCAAGCAACAGAAGTAGACCCTCTTTTAGGTAGTAGCTCCTCTAAAGTTATGTCCAAATGAAGAAAAACATTGCCGTAAAGAGTGTGATTTCCCAAAACAAAATGAACAATAGCGCATGATATGAAATGATTTTTCTATTGTCATATTGCACTGCCCTAATCGGATCTATCATATTCTAGTATCCATCACATTTCTATAGCGTAGTGATTCTCAGTTCAAGAGCACTTTTCTCAAAAATGGAATAACTAGAAGTTTCTTTGATCTACATACCTGGTCTTAGGGGTTTCTCTTTGTTTACAGCGTCAACCGTTTTACTGTCAGTGTGTTCCTCTGCGGTCTTGGAGGGTTCGGGGTTAGTGCTTCCAATGGCCTCATCCCCTAAATTGTCGTAACACACAGACACACACACACTCAGTCCCGCACAAACCAATCTTGGCCTACTGGGTATTTTAAGTTTTTAATCATTACTACTACTACTACTACTACTACTACTACTACTACTACAACTGTAGAGTGACTATTGCCACAATGTAAACCAAGCAAGAACATTATGTGTTGACAAATCTTCCCTTTAAAGACTGGAGGGTTTTTTTGGTGAACAGCTACTTTGAATATTTTCTGTGTTAAAAATGTGATATTGATACTACCATGCATTTATAAGCTCAGCAGATTTTTCCCTCCAGGATATAAACCCTACGATCCAAAGCAAAATCTACTCATTCGCCCCAACACACCTGCATCTTGCACTGTGGGGCTGGGGCTCCCGGGGCCAGCTTGGTTCGGGTCCTGGTCTTGATTAGGGTTCGGCTCAACCTGTGACTTCAGCAGCTCCAGAGCTTCAGCCAGGTCATTACGTGTCCTGAGAAGAAAAAGATGTAACAATAGAGAAGAATTTGTATAGACTTTGAGCAGAAAGTGGTTAACTGATGTGGCACTGCAGCCTTTTATCCAACAAAAATAAGTAATGAGACAGGACAAGTGTGTAAGGAGGAGGATCTATTGGCAGAAATTGAATAGAATATTTATAGGTATATTTTTGTGTTGTCGTTACCTTAGAATGAGCCATCAGATGACGATGTGACGATAGCCTGAGCAAAGTTATTATAGTTAACTAAAACTAAACTAAAAACTAAAACTAGTTGTGAAAAAACATTTTAGTAGACTGAAAACTAAAACAATATTGTGTACTTACAAAAATAAAATAAAATATAAGTATACATAGTCTTTAGTTTATGTCAAATTTGTCAACACAACAAGCATGAGGAGGCGTTGGTGCATGTTTATTGAGACTGTGAGTCAATGTGTTTGTATTGTAATAATTCTATTCTGAACTTTCCCCTGACAAACACCCCCCATATTACAATTTAAAAAACTAAAAGTAACACTAAAACTAATAAAAACTAAACTCAAACTAAACATTTTTAACTGAAACGAGCAACCCACTCTGGAAACTAACTGAAACTAAACTGAATTGAAAACAAAACTGTAATTTTAAAAAATTATGATGCTAATAATAATACAAAACTATAATAACTCTGAACCTGAGACAGTATCTACACATTGAGAGGTAAATCCACCAGGCTGAGACAACAGTACTACCTGACAATACACTTCCAGGTGGATCCGTCCAGATCGTCCTGCTCCTCCGTGTACAGCCGGATGTTCTGCTCGTGGTCCAGCTGAAGCCAGTACATCAGGCCCTGCTGGTCCCGACCTATCGGCTGCAGACGCATCTTCTCCGGGTCCTCCTCGTTTATCGCCATCTTGAACTTTAGGTTGTCATCGAACTGACATTCGCAGAGATACTGCAGGGTAAACAAGATAAATGAGTGAAAGGAAGAGGAGGGAGATGAAGGCGAAAGGTTAATGTGGTTGTTGCAGTCTTCTGGATGCACTAATTACATGAAGTAAAAACAGGGCATGTCGTACTTTAAGGATGCTCGACTTGCACTCCATGGACATTTCCTGGTAGCCCTTCTGTTCCATTTCCCATGCCCAGGTATTGTTCAACTCCTGGCAAACCTACAGGAAACAATGATTAGATTTCACTGCATACAAGCACGTTTGCACAAGTCATCCATCCCATCACTGATGTGTCTGGTTTAATGTTCACTGGTTTGTCCAGTCCTCTTTCAATATTTCTCCATCTGTTGACCACAACAGAAAAAACAGGCTCTACAGTAAGTGGGAAGTTCTCAGACGTCACTCCACTTAAAGCTCCACAAGCTCAGAGTCTTCTGTACAACAGTAAATAACATACAGGGGCTGTAACTGCATCCCGGTCCCATTAACTAACGCCATTCCTGCACAATTACTTTAAGCTGTGGGGTGTGGTCACAGGTGAGAAACTTGAGCACAAAGTTGAGGAGAAGCAGCAAAAGAGCACTCCTTCCAAAGAAAGCTGAACGTACTGATGGTTGAACCTATTCAGTAAGTCCTGTTAACTCGACAAGTGAGTGGAACCTGAAGCCAAACACACAGACGTACACAGAGCACTCACCTTAGCCAGGTATTTTTCCCAGCGGTCAGTAGACACAGACCTCCCCAGTTTTCTGAGCAGCTTCACGTGGAGCTCCACAAGGGGTTTAGGAACTGGAAAACACACAGGATGAATAAAAACATGACTGTATATCTTAGCTTTTTTTTATAAATCAATGCAAGCCCAGTGTCAATAAACATTCATCCTGCTAAAGTGCCCTTAAGCCAGCTGCCCGGTCGCTCTTCCTATAGCTGACCCTGATGTCTGTTAGGAGGCTAAAGGGGGCAGATCATTTGTCGTTTGAAGCTCAAACAAATCACAAAACACAGGAATAGGATTTTTCATTCGTGTTTTGTCAACATTTGAATTAAAATGTGTGTCATAGTGTTAGAGTGAACAGTTCTAGATTATTCTTTTAGGGGATTTCTAATGAAAACAACTTTATGACAACAGAGATGAACTCAACAGTGCGATTAGATCTTAAACTGGTTTCAAGATTCATCATAACGCTGACTTTAGAAACAAAAACAGAGGTGTTGATTAATGAAAAACAGCTTCATAACAACTGATAAACAACTTGACAGCAATGCCTTTCAATCTAAGCTCTGGCACTGTCCTTGCTTGTATCTTTATATGACATCTCTTCCAGCAGCTGTTGGAAAACAGCCAACTACTCCTGAATGAATAAAAGGAAAGGAGGATGTTGACTATGTTGGTGGTTCTCAAAATTGGTTGCCAGCGACTTCCTGGGTAGATAGTTGTGTGAATGTAAACACAGTCATACTGAGCAGCGGCTCTAAAGCTGAAACTTACGATAAAATAATAGTGTGACAGTTAAAGGTCTAAAATATTAAAATAAGATCACATGGTCATCTTCAAGAAGTTCATTACAGCCCACCAGATCCAAAACCAGCCTTATGTTATTGATTATTCTGCAGCTTTTCATAAAACCTGACTTACATTCATCCATTAGGTCGTGCACTCCAGGTTGCAGATGATCGGATCGATGCCAGTATTCTATATTTGCTGATTAATAAAATGATTTGTTGCCAGTTATCAATAATGAATGTATCTCTGTGTTGCTTAAGAATAAGGGTTACAATCCCTCGCTTTACTGAACTTTAGCTTTACTCACTGTAAATCTTTACATCTCTCTTGGGAAGTTATTTATTAATAAGATGAGAACTGTTACTGACACATAAAGCTATAAAATGCATGAATAACTTAATGATATTTTACTGGAGACTAGATTCATTTTAGACTGCATCCAAACTTTTGGTCATTCCTGTTTATCTTCTTATCTTTCTCTGTTTCACTGTTTATTGTCTTCGTTATATTTATGATTGATCTGTCCTCTTATTGTTGTCATGATGCTGTTATGTTTCTGTCTTTCCAAATAAAGAACAACAAAAGTCTGCAGTCAGTGTGAGACCTTCACGGACCCTGTTCATTTACAGGAAATTCCAGTTGTCTCTGCTGGCTGTGAACCATCAACTTATACTTTCTACATTATTTAACATCATCGACACAGACTCGGAATTCACGAACCACTGAAAACACATTAACTCACGCCTGACTCTGACATGTTGGAGGCACATTACAGCTAACTGGAGTATAAATATTAGCGGTTGTGTCTAACTTTATTCAGTATACCGTTGTGGGTGCAGGCTAAACAACTAACGGTCACCTAAAAAGCTACCAACCACCGACTGACCGAGACCGTTTACAAACCAACAAACACGAACACTTCGACTCCTAAACGTGTCTGTTTAACCCAACGATAACTCGGCACATCAACTTTAATCCTTCGTGTTGTACTTTTGACTAAAAGTTGACGGAATCCTTGATGCTAACGAGTTAGCCAGCAGCGAGAATCCCTACAGCGCATGCGCAGAACTGACAGCCACTCCACCAATGGCACACACAAATAAAAAAATAATAATAATAATAATAATAATAATAATAACAACATCCAGTGTTTATAGCGAACATCGGTGGCTCGGTGTTGACAGCCGCGTACTGTACACATCGACAGCGGGTGAATAGGAGCACCGTGAGCACACACTGGATCCATTAACACAGCGGGACGTTGGTGTCCTTCCAGCCCGGCTGCCTGTGAGGCAAGGCCGGGGAAAAATTACACCTGACACCGCTCCGGAGCTAGCGGCTGCCGGTGGGGCTGCTCCCGGCTCACACACCGAGCTCACTCATCGATATCATTATTGATGACATTATCGATGAGCTGGCACTTGACTCGAGCTGAAACCCTCCGGGGTGCCTTACTAAAAAACACCCCCCCTCGTTAGTGTCCGCCTCCCCTAACTTTAGCACTTGAGTCCGGAGTGTCTGTTAGCTGTCTGTTAGCCGTCTGTTAGCTCCGGATCAACGGCTCCTCACAAACAGAAGAGAAAACAACCGACCACTAACTAACGCTGCTGCCCCCGGGGGCCACACACACTGCATCTATCCCTCCTCATCCTCCTCCTCCTCCTCCTCATCATCATCATCGTCGTGAGGAGGAAGAGGAGGATGAGGAGGGTGATGGTGATGGTGGTGGACCCCCTTCTCCTTCGGTTTCAAGTGTCGCAGCTCTTCCACCATCTTCTTCTTCTTCTTCTTCTTCGCCCCGCCGACAGCGACCGACCAGCGGGCTCCTACCTGTCGTGGTGTCCCGCAGATACCGCTCCATCTGCGGGAGCGTCACCTCGGGCAGATCCAGCGCCGCTCCGTAGCGCTCCAGGAACGAACAGACCTCCGCGAAGCTCGGGCAGAGCGCCGGGCCGGAGCTTCTCACCACCACCACCGGAGCAGCCATCTTTCCAGGCGGAGAGAAACGGGAGGGGAGGGCTCGCTGCTCGGATGCGACTGTGCGCGAATGAAATGAATGGAAGGAGTGAAGCGGCTGCCGGGGTCAAGCTGGAGAGGGCGAGGGCGCGGCTTCCGGGTGGGGTTTTCAGAATAAAAGCGCTCGGGTTGTGGGTTTGTGTGGAAGCGCGTTTCTGCCAGTGGGACTTAAAGAATTAGATTCTGTAAGTTATTAATGATAAAGCTTTGTTTTAGATAATGATTTTATATTTTAAAATAGTGGCTGGGTACCTACAAATAATGGCTTAGTCAGTCAAAATAATGACATAGTAACACAAAATAATGACATAGTAACTCAAAATAATGACAAAGTAACACAAAATAATGATTTAGTAACTCAAAATAATGACAAAGTAACTCGATATAATGACTTAGTAACTCAAAATAATGACATAGTAACACAAAATAATGACTTAGTCACTCAAAATAATGACTTAGTAACTCAAAATAATGACTTAGTCACTCAAAATAATGACAAAGTAACACAAAATAATGACAAAGTAACTCAAAATAATGACTTAGTAACTCAAAATAATGACAAAGTAACTCAAAATAATGACTTAGTAACTCAAAATAATGACTTAGTATCTCAAGATAATGACAAAGTAACTCGAAATAATGACAAAGTAACTCAAAATAATGACATAGTAACTTAAAATAATGACTTAGTAACTCAAAATAATGACTTAGTAACTCAAAATAATGACATAGTAACTTAAAATAATGACAAAGTAACTCAAAATAATGACAAAGTAACTCGAAATAATGACAAAGTAACACAAAATAATGACTTAGTAACTCAAAATAATGACATAGTAACTTAAAATAATGACTTAGTAACTCAAAATAATGACTTAGTATCTCAAGATAATGACAAAGTATCTCAAAATAATGACATAAATATATCAAAATAATGACAAAGTAACTCGAAATAATACAAAAGAAGTACTAAGTCAAAATAATTTGAAAGTTTCTCATTATTTTTGAGATACTAAGTCACATTTCTTTCATCACATTAGAAAATGAGCTTCCAAAGGTTCAACACAACAACAATGTTGTGGTAGTTAAAGCTCCAGCGTGTAACCTTGAAGAGGATCTATTGGCAGAAATGGAATATAGCTACTATTCATAGGGATGTATTCACTTGTGTATAATCACCTGAATTTAGGAATCACTGTGTTTTCATCTACAGGTTGCTTCCATGGAGTCCGCCATGTTGAATCGCCATGTTGCTACAGTAGCCCAGAAGGGACAAACCAAACACTGGCTGCAGATAGGGGCCTTTGTAACTGTATAGTCGTGTCTAAAGCCTAAATTTCCCTTTAATCTATACTGCTGTAGGCCATTTATTTATATTATCTTTTATCTTTTACACCATGCCACTACCTCCTATTGTGACTGGTGAAATGTTCCATATCAATCACATCTGTATATAAACACCTGTTTATAGTGAACATACAAGTCTTATTCCACTTTTCTGTTTCATTTTATTTTTTATTTAATGTGTATTTGTTTTTATCTGTTGTGCTGTATCTGGAGCTGCTGCAGTAAGTGAGTTCCCCCAATGTGGGATCAATAAAGTCTATCTTTTTTAATTAAAACTAGACATTAGGGGCCAAACACTAACTGAAACAATATTGCGTTCCTACAAAACAAACTAGTAGTCTTTGTCAATTTAATATAATTTATCAACAGAACAATGACAAATACCCATGTTTTAATAAAAGGAAAAATACATATAAAACGTGTATTTAATGTTTAACAGTATAACGTTTACGTGTCTTTTTGTTATGCTTTTATTTTATACTAACAAACCTTCCTCCTCCGGTTTCATTGCGCACATTTTACAGCAACTTGACGCAGCTGCGAGAAGTTGGGAGGACCAGGGAGGGCAGAGCGAGAAATGCCCAGAATTCAGTGCGATAGACCATCAAAAACATTTCAAAATGGTTTTGGTTTTTATTCGTCCAGTGTTTCCACAATAAACTACGACACTGAACATCCTGAGATCCCTCTTCACCAGTCTCCCACAGTCTAACGTTGGTGTGAACGACGGATCCAAACTGATGTTTTATTGTATCATGATTTTTTTTTGTTTATAGACACAGTTTAAAGAGAGAAAGTATCAATAATGAGTCTCTTCTGAGCTCCGGAGCCGCTGCATGCTGCGCAGATAGTCACGCTGCCCAGGAGGATGCTGCCTTTAGGGACTGTTGGAAATAAATCACAATGAGAGAAAGAAGTCCCCCCAGTGCTCTCCAGTAAATCCCACAGGCCAGCTGTTTACTCTAAGATGAATCAATTCAATCGAGGGTTGAGAGTTGTCAACATTATCACATCAGGATTTCGACTTCACAGATAAACCAGCTTTATTTATGTGTCTTTAGCTGCCCAATGGTGGATTTCTACTGATTTCCAACATCTGAACGTTGAATTTATGCGAAGGAGACTGATGAATTAAATTCCAACACATTAATGGTGTCAACTGAAGTCATGAGCTGACAGTTGTATCAAAGGATTGTCCTGCTGTGGCTGAAAACCCATGCCTACACTCAACCAGCCTCTCACAGGAGTGGAAAGCCCGTTTTAAGCACGGCTGAGCCACTTGTGCTGACTTGCCCACAGCCGCTGCTGTAACTGACATATTTGCCACAGGGAGACAAAACAGACGTTAGTTGACACAGTTTCTTCTTAAGTTAATTGGTTTTACTGCTCACCAACACCAGTTACAAGCTCAGCCTTTGGAGCTGAAGTGGGAGGAAAAGTAGTGAACACAGTACAGCCGGGACTGATTGATAAACCATCACTCAAACAATAAGCCCTGATATGTAATATATATATATATATATATATATATAAACCACCAAGGCACTAGCAGTAGAACAGAGGCCTTTCTCATTTCTCTCCTCTGTGACACGAGGAGAGGAGGCGAGGAGGAGAGGAGACGAGGATGTACAAACTGGGAAATGAGAAAGGCCTCAGGAGCTCTTTATAGAACTATATTTCCTTAGAACATCGGTTCGCAACCTTTTAGCTTAATGATCCCTTAAAATGAAGAAATCTGAGTTTGTGAGCAGTAACGAGGGATTCTGTCTTAGGTTGTTAAATATATATACACACACATATTTATCTCAGTTCGGATACATTTTATTTTTATCTATCTATCTATCTATCTATCTATCTATCTATCTATCTATCTATCTATCTATCTATCTATCTATCTATCTACATAGACAGTATTCTTATGAAATCGTTATTTTAAATTCAACATTATTCAACATTAAAAAGCTAAACTTTAAGGAAAATATATATAGTATATATACTAAATATAATACTTTTCTTTGCATTTTTACATTGTGTTTATTTTTTGTTTCTTCCTTTACTGCTACTTTTCTATAGTTTGTCCTATTTTATTGTTTATATTCTATTCTAATTTAAATATCTGAATATTTGAATATCTGTTTGTACATCATCTATGTGTGTAACGATGCAGTTACAGTGCAATCCTGTGTTGTATAATTACAAAATAAAGTAAAAAACCTTGAATAAGTCTTTGATTGTCTTTGTATGGTCTCACTGAGACTTTTTATATGTGTTATATATGTTATATATGTTTTATTATGTACGTATGTTTTGTTGTGAGTGGACTCAGCTAATGGGAATCAAAGGATAAAGAAAGTAAAGAAAGAATAACTTAATAAGGTTGTACTTTAAACACTGGAAGTCGAGAACACAATGTGCTCGTCATTGATGTGGTTTTAATCTCAAGAGGCCTGTTTTTTTTTATTTTTTACAGCTGACAATAAACTGATGTTGCTTTCTTCAGTTTTCCTGATTTTCTGCATTTCAGCATCATGTTTAGTAATTAGTCTAAAACTAAATGAATTAACCGTCTATGTGCAGACTTGGGGAGTGACAGATTACATCTACTCTAACTGTAATCAGGATACAAAATAAAGGTCACTGTAATCCATTAGTTACAGAGAAAGAGACCTGATCAGATTACAGTTACATTTAGATTACAATATGGGGATTATTAGCTGGATTACAATTTTAAAATACGTGAATTCTTCTTAATAAAATAATCTTATCAGGTTTTATTGTTCTGTTGTCTTATATCAATGCTTCTCATCAATATTTCTCTTCTCTTGTCTTTTTTGCGTATTTGTTGTAAAATCTAAAGGTAACGGGAAGTAATCAAGTTACTTTAATACTGTGATACTTGGATTAGGTTATGACAACATCGTTTTAAAGAGGTAATTAGGCGAAAAGTACACACTCACGAGCTGCATTTGAAGGCGGCACCGATGCTGTAAAATCCGAGCTGTCGCTTTGCACCTGAAGGCATCTGTTTTTAAAGACAGGCGGAAGGAGTTTTCTCTCTTACAGGAAGAAGAATCGAAAGCTGTGTTTGTTGTTTCATCTGTTGAATGTCTGCTCTGCCACATCATTCAGCGCCGGGTCTGGAAAACACCTAAAAGTTACCTGTTTACAGCCGAAGCTGTGTAAACGCAGCCATGACACTTTCATTGTAGCAGGAGAAAGACCGGAAGGTAAGTTCAAGTTCATTATCCAGTTTTATTAGAAATTGTAATTAACTAACGTGACTATTATCTTAAAGGCGACACTTTCGGTTTCCCCCTGGAAACAACCGGTCTGTGTTTAACTGGTGAACAGCGTTAAAGTGAAGTTAATGTTAATTAAAAGTGATGGTAAAGTCTATTTTTGTTTCTTCTTCTTATATTATTCTTTGTTTTCTGATCAGTCACAAGTTAAACTAACCTCTAAAGTCTAAATAATATAAAAAATATAATGAATATATAGTATTAAGTGAAGAAAATGCTTCTATCTGACTGCAAACATCCAACAACAGCTGCACAAAGGAGCCTGTTGGTGTGGTGGGAAGAGTCACGAGTTGTTTTCAGCCTTGGTTTTTATAAATAAGCACATGTTCAACCATCTAGGAATTCCTAGAGGCACACGAGCCAGAAGTGGGGATGACTGGTTGGTGACCACAACATTAGGCAAACAACCATCAGGAAAAAACATTAAAGATTACTTAAAGTTCCCCTCCAGCCAGAAGTCAGTTTTCTTCTTGTTCGTACAGTCCGATGTTTGATCTTCACTGTGCAGAATGATGTCTGTGCAGAGTTTAACACTAGAAGGATGTTTTCACATTTATCTGCTGAGCCTGGAAAGTTTCTCTGTGCTGATCTGATTTTTAAGAGGCGGGGCCTGCGAGCATGATTTGTGACATCACAAATAGTTTGAAGGTCAATAGACTCTTTAAGAGTTTAAAGTGGACGAGCAGCAGGAGGCGGTGACAGCAGCCTTCTGACAATACACAGGAAGCCACCAAATGTTTACGTCCCGTTGGATCATCTTTAGGCTGCCTGTAGTTTGCAGACCACGTTTTGATACGTAGATAAACTTTATTACTATTATCAACCACACAGGATGTGTTTGTTAACAGATTTCACTGCACGACATGAGACTAGAAACAGCTACAGTCTGGAGTTAAATATTAAAATCACACAGAAAATTAGGAAAACGTGGTGTTTGTGATTGAAACTAAGAGCCAATCAGCGTTTCCCATCATGCCCTGGGTCTTGCAGTCGGTGGAGAGCAACTATGGCGTCCGGCTCTAAAAGCTGGGGCCGTCTCGATCTCTTGAGGTTACCGTTGACCACAAGCGCATGACGTCGGAGCAAGTCGGCATTTGGTCAGACACAAATCTAACCAGCATGCACGTCAGACGACGGACCTTGAATGACCACAGTTTGAAAACCACTGGAGGAGGAGACAGAGAGAGGGAACGACTAGATTACGTTTAAGGGTTTTAATGTGGAAAATATACTTAGGAAAAAACACCAGACACACATTAGTGATCTTTAGGCTTTGAGCTGAGGTTACATTGGGAAACATTTAAGCACTATTGGCCATTGCAGCTTGACGTTTTAGGAATAGGATGCAAGTAAGAAGCTAGGAATCGAATTAGATTATATAAACAGACTCAACCAGAGTTTCAGGAATATTATATCAATGCAAACATACCTGGTGAGAAGTTACACCACCTATCAGTTGTTCACAGTTTTTGGTTGCGTATCAAGCAATACACGTATTGTAAATGGGGAAAAATCAAATGTTAAAGGTCACAAGTATTGTGTTTTCAGGAACCATGTTTTGAAGCTAGAGTGATAATACAGAAGAGAAACGTTAAATAAGGAAATATTGTTATTGGTGAAACGTGAGAGATGGAACCAATAACAAAAAGATTTCCCATCATTGAATTTATATTATAACATGTTGATTTAAGTCTATAAACACAAGATTAAGACTGTACTCTTAATCTCATACTAACAAAGTAATGCCTCGTTCAGGCTGGATTAACTGTAAAGTTGCTGTAAGCAAGTTGCTGAAAAAACCAGCCACCAGACCGGTAAACTTTGTCTGTGTAGAACTTTTTCACAGCAGCCTTTTTGACATGAAATGGTCGGGTAAACACAGGTGTTACCAATAATACTAATTAAGGCTCCAGTTCCATTTAGTGTAGCAGCCAACATGCACAATAGCAGCAGACTGACTCTGTTTGACCTGAGTGGAACAGAACCATAAAGCCTTAATTTACTCTACTATTTCACATCAGAGAGACTGCTGTGAAAAAGGTCTATTGTCTCCTGTACTTTACCCGCCTCTTTGGCAAGTTGCCACACGCTGTTCACCTGACACCTTGCTTTGCATTCACAAATTAAATTTGCCTGGCAAAAAGGCAAAAGGCCCTTCAGACAGTGCGGAGTGTAATAATGTCGAATGAATCTAAAAGTCTCTCTTGATTTCTGCGTCCACAGGTCGGGAGTTGTTCTTTATGTGCTGCAGGTAGCAGAAGAGCGGTGAGATGGCCATCGCCCACGTGGCTACAGAGTACGTGTTCAGCGACTTTCTGCTGAAGGACCAGAGCCAGGCTCGATACCGCAGCGTCCGAACTGAGCTGGCTGTGGACAAGATAGTGACATGTGTGGCAGTGGGCCTGCCGCTGCTCCTCATCTCTCTGGCCTTCGCTCAAGAAGTTTCAGTTGGTGAGTCGGAGGAGATGGAGTCAGGGCGGGAGTCAGGGCGGGAGTCAGGGCGGGAGCCAGGGCGGGAGTCAAGACCACAGAGTCTCTTCCAAGACCAAAACAGGTCTAGTTCAGATCTAGTCCCTCGCGTCCTGGAGAACCTGGAAAACAGCTGACCAATATTCATGGACAACACATGAAAAAGTTGAATATCCAGGAAAATCTTGATTTGTGTGTCTAATTTCATTATTGGATGCACATTACAGTTTAATATAGAGGGTTATCTCAGCCAGTAACATGTTGTTTTTATCAATTAATGAAACAGAAATATAAACTGTTATGCTGTAGAATGTAACTGTTATTTAAGGGAGAGCCGGGTTCAGTATGTCAGAAGCTACACATTATTAATAATAATGTATATATATACATAATATATAACGATAGCCAGGTTTTTGGATTAGATTTGCTTTTTAGGAAAAAAGTGTCACAGTCTCATGAGCGCAGACATCAACTGATGATGATTATCTTAAAATGCCAGATGTCTATCTATGAAACGTTGAAACAAGACCAAGAAATAAATAAACAACAGTAAGAGGAGGTAGCAGTAAACGTAAGGTTGTGCCTGTGTACTGAAATGTTTCTGTAACACTTGTCCTTTAATTACAGTGACACAATGTCAGGAAGACAAAGAGATTTTTTCATGAATGTTTTCTTAAATCTGGAGAACAGGATTTGTAGACCATGACAGAACACAGCACACATTTTACTCTGAGTGGGAACCTTGTCTAGACTTATTACAGGAATGAGGAATAATAAAAGCTGCTCTTATTGTGAACAACCTGACCTTACATAACCTTAAAAGCTTCAAACTGATTATAATCCTGCCATCAGAGCAGCGTCAGTGCGAACCAGTCAACTGGCTGATCTGGTCTTTAAAATGTTAAAAATCGGTTTAATTTTTCCCTCTTTCACTTTCTGTCTCTCTGTTTCTCTCAGGTGCTCAGATCAGCTGTTTTGCGCCTTCTAACTTCTCCTGGAGGCAGGCGGCCTATGTGGACTCATACTGCTGGGCAGCCGTACATACACACACTCTACCTCTGTGGCTGCACAAGGTACACACACACACACACACGCACACACACGCACAGGGTTACAATATTCAAATACGTAATTAGACATTAGTTGATGACTGAAACTTGCCCACACACATACCAAATGGGAAAATGCTTTGTAACACACCTTCTACAATAAGACGTGCTCAGACTTTGCTACTGTTGGAACAGACAGTGTTTTAATGAGTCATCATATCAGGCAGTCTTAATATAGGTATAACTAAACGTTAGGAAAACGTCTGACAGTAATTTTCTTAAGAATTTACAAAACATTTAACAGGAAAATTTAAGTCTTTACAGGATTCTTTACAGAGTAAGGAGTCAGTGTGTTAAATCATTAAAATGTGAGTTTTTCTCTGTATGTTGTGTGATTTCCTTGTATGGTGTATTTAATTAAAAGTAGAAGGTGAAATGTCAATCATCCACAGGCAGCTTTTGTTTGTGTTTGTAGGGTGTGGTTGAGAATATCAATGGGTGTGTGTCTCTTTACCTTTTTATATTGATCACTGTAGTGTCACTAGCAGTGGGGCACATAGCACATTAAAATGTTCTTTAGTGACACTTCTTTAGTGTTGCTGCCACACAAACATCTGTAGGATTCAAGTTACACTCCGCATGTCACATTTTATTGAATGAGAGAATAGCAGAGTTGATACTATTTGCTATATGAAGCGTCTCTGTTTTTATTTATCAGACACAACTACATTGCTACGTCTAAAATACAATTACTACTGCACTATTATAAGGGCTGGTCCGCTACCAAATGTGACCAGATGCAGTCGGACATCCGGGTGTATTTGACATATTGACATACTATGTACTGGGACATGCTGAATATTTTTCTGGAGTACTAAATGGTATGGTAGTATGGGTATTGGAACGCACCCCTATTCCATACTAAATATCTTTACTATAGATAGTGTCTGTTGTTGAACACCCCTGTCCTGTCTCCTCTCTCCAGTTCTTTCCCTACATTTTGTTGCTGGTGGCGGTGATGATGTACACCCCCGCGTTGTTCTGGAGATTTTCTGCGGCGCCCCTCATGCAGTCGGACCTCAGCTTCATCATGGAGGAGTTGGACCGGTGTTACAACCGTGCTGTCACTCTGGCCAAACGCATGGCCACCTCAGGACTGCCCACCTCTGACAGGTACAGCAGGACCCCTGACATCAACACAGAAAAAGAGTTATCTCTAAATCAACTCAGGGCTCACTCCAACCTGTTGAGAGGTGCACTCTCATACCTCTTAAAACATCCTGCGTATTTAATGGAAACAGTTGGCACAGCCTGAATAGCTTTAGTCTATTATTATTATTATTATTATTATTATTATTATTATTATTTTGTGTTTTAAAAAAAACAGCACTACCCTTACCCCCACCAGCATATAAAAAAAAAAAATGTGAATTTTTAATTTTTTTTTAGAAAAAAAAAAAATAAAAAAAAATAAATTTAAAAATTTATTTTTTTTTTTTTGAAAAAAAAAACACACCACCCCTTTTTAATAAAAAATATTTTTTTTTTTTTTTAACATTTTTCAAACAACAAAATCTTTTTTTTTTTGAAGGGGGGGGGGGGGGGGGGGGAGGAGGGGTACAAAAAAAAACAAAAAAAACAAAAAAAAAAAAAAAAAAAAAAAAAAAAATAATAAATTATTCTGTAATAAGATACTTTGGAGGGCACTAATCACGCTTCATTAAACTTAAAGACACAGTGACATTTACACTTCCTGGGACAATAAAATAATTCACATCAAATAGTAATTAAAAATGTTACCAATGACATTATCAATTAGTATCATTGGTAACACCTGTGTTTATCCTACTGCTTTAATGTCAAAATGGCTGCTGTGAAAAAGGTTGACCTAATCCTGCACTAGTAAGTGTAGACATAAAATCGAACAAATAAATCCATCACAGATTTGTAATAATTGGATCTCTGCCCGTAATGACACAGATCACACCAGTAGTAGGAGAGTTCTACCTGAACATTTGATTTATTATTATATTTATTTATGTCACATGCAAAATGGATTGAACTGATTAGAATAACAAAATTATTAATCTCACATTTTAGCATTCAAAATCACACTGCAAGAGGGAACCGAAGTTAGACTTTAAGACAAGGTGATAAATGTGTTAATGATTTACAGGGACTTCTGAAGAAGATGATACATGTAGATAATTTTTTTTTTTATTTGCCCTATATGAGAACACCTCTTCTGATCTCCTTTACTTTCAATTTCGACTGGTTTTATTTGAACCCATTTTCTTTTATCTTGCACTTGCACTTCCTGTGTATATATGTGTGTGTGTGTGTGTGTGTGTGTGTGTGTGTATATATATATATATATATACACACACACACACACACATATATATAAAGCTTTTTCCTACTGTATTCCTACTGAATACCAGGTGATCACTTTGATGTTGCCATAGTTCTTTATCTCATCAATGAATTCACTGTTCTTTCTTTCTCTGCTCCTGTATTCTCTCGTCCAGCGACCCGACCGAGGGCTGTTTCAATTACCCGCTGGTGGAGAAGTTTCTGATGACTAAGCGTTGCTCGCGGGTGCTGCTGTTTTACTACCTGCTGTGTCGCGGCCTCACTCTGATCACCCTGGTGTGTGCCTGCGTCTACTTGGGCTACTACCTCCGCCTGGCCTCTGTCACAGACGAGTTTGGCTGCTCGCTGCGTGTCGGCCTGCTCGCCTCCGACCCGAGCGTCCCCGACAAGGTGCAGTGCAAGCTCATCGCTGTGGGAGTCTTCTCTCTGCTGAGGTATTTGTCTGTGCAGCACACCGTTTGGTTATGATAGAAACTGACTGAGCTTAATGTGCAGTTCATCCAGTATAGGTTGGGAGGGTCAGTCTGTTTGTTTTACTGTTTCCAGCCTTGTGAACTTGGTCGTGTTCATCTCACTGGTTCCTGTGGTGATCTACGCCAGCCTCCGTCCCCTCTTGTGCCATGGATACGCCCACTTCCTGGAAACCTACCAATCACTGCCCACCGTGGGTGTCCTGCCCTCCCCCGCCGGCAAATGGGATGATCTCTCTCTGTATCTGCTCTTCCTGGAGGAGAACGTCAGCGAACTGAAGTCCTACAAATACATCAAGGTGTGTTTGTGTGCCACTCTTACTACATGAACTATATTTACTGTTCTCCAGTTTGTTTGAGTGTGAAACTGCTGCTCTATAAAGTGTCGTCACAATAAGTAGTGTCCTTGATGCAGTGCAGTATGACAGAGTTATAGAGGGAGTAGTGAATGTGGGAACGAGGGACTGATTTCTAACAGATATTTTTCTGTCTCTAGTTTATTTTACTGCTGAGTTGATAAACCATAAAAGTGATTAAAGCACAATAACAATGTACATTTAGAAACTAAACCAGATTATATGTTTTTATTTCTGATGTTAGGTGTTGGAGTGGTTGAGGAAACGAGGCGACTGCTCCGGAGAAAACTTTGACGCCATAGGTCTGCTGCAGACTCTCTGTCTGGTGAAGATGGACAGTGTTGACGGGAATAAACTTGCCGGTGCCGCAGGGAAACAAGATCAAGTAAAAACGAATGCAGCTGACTCGGCCGGCAGCCCCACGGTGACCAACGCTGGAGCAAATAACAGCTGCAACCGTCCAAACTCAGCAGCTGATAACGGCAGCAAGATGGAGACCGAGATGAAAGGTGAGTAGAGAGAGGGACTCACTATATTCTGTTTAAAATTTAAATTAGGAAATTCATTACTATAGTTTAGCATTGTTCTGTCTTTATGTATTATCCTTTTACACATTATATAAAGTAATTTAAGTTTCTCTGAGAATGAGACAGGACACAAACATACAAATGGACACTCATCCACATCCTTCTCAGCGCAGAGTGATCATCTACATTCAGTTTAACCACCTTTAGTTTTTTATAAAGTATAAAGTTTTAACTATATTGTATATACTTGTTATATTCCAGATTTCTATTATATTTATGTCTTATATTTTATTTTATTATAGTACTTGCTGTTTGCTCTACATTCCTCTGTGCTGCTGTGCCTAACTTTGATTTCTGCTACGGGGGATCAATAAAGGAACATCTTATCTTATCTTATCTTATCTTATCTTATCTTATCTTATCTTAAGCAGGGCTGCCCAAAGTGGGGCCCGCAGGCCAAAGTTGGACTACCATAGGGTTCAGTTTAGCCCCCCCAGATGTTTCTAGTGAAAAACTATTTTAAAATAATTTAGAAAAGTATAATATACACTTGTGTGTCAGTATTATTTGACCTTGTTGTTTTAATGAAATATGGAAGGAAGTATGAGCAATGACAGGAAACAGAGAGTTAGAGGTCGAGGTTTGTAGGCCACCAAAGAGCGATAGTGACAATTAACTCAAGCCCACAAAACCTGCTGTGGGCTGGAGTTGCTGAGAATGCATTTGAGTTTCACTTTCTGATTTACTTCTTGTTTTTACTCTGAGAATGGGCATTATCTAATATCCTAAATACAATGAAATATCCTTTACACAGGCTGGTAGGTGGATGTTGTCGCCAGTGGACAGAGCCAGACTAGCTGTTCCCCTTGTACTTTCGATACAATCGAATAATAGTAATAGTCAAATCTAAATTTAGGTTCTGCCCAGTTACTTCTGGGAAATTATGTCATCAGACTACCTAAAGAAAAGTTGTGAGTGTCGGCATGTGATACATATTTACATCTTTATGCCATTATCAGTCATGTTTGATTATCTGTGACTATTTAAAGTAAAAGCAGTACAGAGTATGCAGTAGGTGTTGTTGCAGTACAAGAAGTTGTTTACTGCCTAAACCAGTGGGATATTTAAGGTTTGGGTGCCACGGGAGGTTAGAGCTTAACAGGTTTTCTTTTAGTCCACCCCTCATTTAAAAAGCATCCACCGTAGATTACGATACAGAAAAGTCTCAGTGACATAAAGAAGATCAGTGGATTTTCTTCCCCATTGTTTCATCTGTGCAGTCTTGGGTTGAAAGTCTGATTGTAAATCTGTTTTTTTTTTTATAGCTTCTGTACTTTCGATACAATCGAATAATAGTATTGTATCATTTTAAACACTTGCTATTGGAGAAGTATCAATACTTTTGACAACCTTAAAATATACTTGAATTGACTTGGTGCAGTAGTTAGGGGTCACTGAGTGGGTTGTAGGGGGTCCCCAGCAAAAGGAGGACTATACTATTATTATCACATTTTTTATCACAAGGGAAGAAATTGTTTTGGCAATTTTGATTGATTGATATAGTGATCCTAGTTTGATCATTGATTGGATATGAAGACTTTATTAAATAGACAAAAATCCTGTCAAATCTAAAAGAAAAAAACCCCAATAATAATTCAGTAACATGTAAAATGTTGTATTTATTTTCAGAGCTCACTCCCTTGCTGCCAGGAAACAGCGACACGACAGAAGGTAAAAATAGCGAAGGAGGGACTGTCCGGCAGCGGGCAATGTGATTGGCTCCTGGCACGCCTATGGAGACCTGGACAGAGCAGTTATTGTGTGTGTGTGTGTGTGTGTGTGTGGGGGGGGGGATAACTTCACTACACCCACAACTCATGACCTTCCTGTCCTGATGGAGGGATAAAAGGTGTAGCACCATCGCGGGTGTCATCAAAGTTCAAACTTCTCTGCATCGACGTGGGATTCACAAATTAAAGGTTGTTGATGCCGTACTTTGAATTATATCACTGGAAGGTGTCTGTAGAGTAAAAGTCCTGCTGGTACAGATTTCAGTAAATGATTGAATTGGTTGAACCATTAAAGTCGAATCTAAATTTAGGTTCTGCCCAGTGACTTCTGGGAAATTATGTCATTAGACTACCTAAAGAAAAGTTGTGAGTGTCGGCATGTGATACATATTTACATCTTTATGCCATTATCAGTCATGATTGATTATCTGTGACTATTTAAAGTAAAAGCAGTACAGAGTATGCAGTAGGTGTTGTTGCAGTACAAGAAGTTGTTTACTGCCTAAACCAGTGGGATATTTAAGGTTTGGGTGCCGCGGGAGGTTAGAGCTTAACAGGTTTTCTTTTAGTCCACCCCTCATTTAAAAAGCATCCACCGTAGATTACGACCGCTTCAACTTTAAATTTAAATTAGAGGATGAAATTGTCAAAATTGCAGCTGTGGTTTTCATTAAAGCTGCTGTAGGTAATTTATATGAAAATAATTAGTTGACATTTTTGCTGAAACTTTCACTTTATCCTGACAGAAGTACATGAGAGAAAAATCTGGTTCCTCTGGTTCCTCTGAATGCAAGAATCCACCGGGTAAATGAACGAAAACAACCAATCAGAGCAGAGAAAGACTGTTGATTGTTGAGTCAGCCCCGTGGATTCTTCAAATGCCATTAGGAGCTTTAGATCGAGCCAGAGGAACCTGATAGTGAACATTTCAGCCATAATGACAAAAAGTTATTCTTATAAAAGTGAGCTTTAAAGAGGAGGAGAGGTTTTTATTTGCACTGTCATTGTGGGAGAATGTAACTTTTATGAGATTGTCAATCACATTTCAAGACAACTTCAAGGTTGTAAAGGCGAATACTACTCAATGAGGAGTTAATTCTTCATTATTCTCTTGTTTTTTTAGTCTAGGAAGTGATTTGACAGGGCAGCTAAAACATTAACCTATTGGTCAAAGATGTCACAGCACAGTTTTAGGTGTTAAACTCTGGTCTTTTTCAGTGGAGGGTTCTCAGTTGTTGCAGCCATTGATGGGATTATACAGAAAATATGTGAATTCCTAAATTGTTTTGGCATTCGCCCGTAAGACCTGGATGTGTCTCATTCATGTGGACTGGAGAGTTCTTTCATGTGTTCATTTATAGGTTTTACACATCAGGTTGCAGCCAACAGTTCAGTACAACAGTCGTTCATTTAAAGCAGTGGTTCTCAAATGGGGGTACGCGTAACCCTGGGGGCACGTGAAGGCACTCCAGAGGGTATGTGAGACTTTAAAATATACATATATTTTAAAAAGTAGCATCCATGCAAAAATCCTTTAAAAATAATTATTTAAGTTCATAAAATGAATTTTATATTATTAAGTATTTGCAATAAATTTAGTCATGGATAATTAACATTTAAAATGTTTGAAATAGTTTTTCGTTCAAATGTTTGAATTTTGTATGTGTTTATCAGCTCCAAAGTTTAATAAATCAGACACTGATGGCACAGTGCTCTGTTTTTTAAGTTTTTTTTTTCAACCAAAAATGCTTTGCGCTGGTGAGGGGGTACTTGGCTGAAAAAATATTTCACAGGGGTTACATCACTGAAAAAAGGTTGAGAACCACTGATTTAAAGGACCAGTGTGTAGGAATTACAGATTACCTCCCCTTCCAAGGAGGAGAAACATACACTGGCCAGGAAACTGGGAAGAGCCTCTCTATAGCCATTATTAAGGTAACAAAACCACGATTCTTATTGTCAGGTGATTGTACACCAATGGAAACATACCTATGGATATTATAATCCTGAATCTTACACACTGGACCTTTTTTTTATGACATCTGTCTATTTTTCAACAAAAACGGTACAAGGCGTTCACTGCTTAATGTTTAATAAATGCATAATTTCTCCAAAATGTCAGTAATTTATAGTTTGTATAAAGGTTTTTTCAGATGTTTGGATGTCTCCGCCTGGAATTAAACGTGCTATGCTTGCTTGGGAATCTCAGGGATAAAATCATCTCACTACATTATTGATTATCAGTGTTTACTTCAGACCTGCCACTGCCTGTATGTGTAATGCACTGAGTTGAACATTTGAATTTATTGTCATGGAACTGCTGTGGTAAAATCTCTGTACTCTACTTTAGTGTTGTGTGAAGTTTTCTGCTGCTGTGCATGTGATGACTAAATGTTATTGGTGCCCCATTTCTGTGCAATGAGGAACTTTTATCAACGTAAAGTTTGGAAAACAAACAGCTTGTTGTCTTGTTGTGATAAGAACAAACGTTTCTAGTGTTTTTTAAATTTCTCAACTGACATTTTGATGCTTAAAACTGCCATTTATCATGTTTTTGATATGTTGTTGTTAATTATTTCCCAAAAATAAATGTAGTAAACATTACCACTGAGTTTGATGATGTCTGATTATTGTATGTGGGGTAAAGGTTTATAGTTTTACTGTCGGGTGGGTCTTTATGCGGGAGGAAGAAGATATTAAAGTATTTGATCAAGATGTATTAAAAACAGCACATATAACACTGTAACAGATTACACACAGAAATATATAACATGAATAAAATAAAAATCATCAAGGATGAAAAACATAAAGCCAGCAAGCTTCTTTCCACTGTGGTCCTCTAACACTTAACATAAGATGGAAGAACAACAGGACAGCGAGCAAACATAATCAACATAAATATCAGATGCCGCGGTAACTACAGTATGTAAACATGCTCCTCTCCCAGTTTCCCTCCTCCACTCTGGACTCTCTGAGGCAGAAAGGGGTGCAGGTCAGAGTCCTGCAGGTCAGAGTCCTGCAAGCAGAGAAGGCGGTGGCTGAATACAACAATCTGGTTGTGCAGGCCGGGCGCCAAGGTGGGCCGGGCCTTCCACGGTACCTGCAGATGATGTGATCATTTGTTTTGTTTTCCACAGGAAGACGGTGGAAGGGGCTCCTATTTATAATATAGATACAAGTGCAGGCAAAATACAAACAACTTGGATCAAGACACATTTTAAGATTGATTGATTGTTTTTCAGCTTCTTAAATGTGAATATTTTCTGAATTCTTTAGTCCTCTACAGTTTACAGTGATCGTTACTCAAAATAAATAGTTTATTATTATTTTCAAAAGTAATTTTATTACTTTACTTATTCTTCCCTGCCTACAGTAATTAGTTACACTACTAGTTATTTTACTATTCTGCTCCCACAAAATTGGCCCCTTTCTCAACAAAATTCAGACTTAAGACAATTAAAATCCAGTTTAGTTTGTTAAAAATCAAAGTAATGTTAATGTTTACATCTTCCAAGCTAGTTTCCTCCACAATTACCAAAATAAATCCAAGGATGTGATTTGATTGTTGGATTTAAAATCAGTAAGGAGTGCCAACAAAAGTAATGTTGTAACTAATTATTGTTTGTGGTAATTGTAATATTACTGAAATGTATTAGTAATAAGTTACACTACTAGTTACTGGGGAAAGTAATGTTATTACTAGTAATACCTCACTGCGCAACACTAGTCCTCTATGACCATAAAGTAAATAGTTTTGGGTTGTGGACAAAAGTCAATTAATCAATTATTTGTCAACTATTACATTCAACAGGAACCAGTTCGATAATTGATTAATAGTTTTGATTTAGTTTTTATGTCCAAATTCTCTCACTTCAGTTAATGAGAGTAAAATAAATATCTTTAAATTTCGGACAAAACAAGACATTTGTGGACATATAAAGGATATTTTATGGATCAAACACCTAATCAATTAAATGAGAAAATGATCAGATTAATCAATAATAATAATAATAATCATTAGCAGTATCCAGTATTTTAATTTTAATAGATTTATTTTAGGGGTATTTTGTTTCAAGATACATTACGTAACCTCTGCACACGACCCTGAGCTACCTGGCGGTCTCACTGAGGGCCGTGTGCAGCTCATTTGCATAACACCACCTGGACGTCACGATGATGGACTAACAAGGACCTGGAGATGTACTTTTATCTGGATTTAAAGAAGTGTTTTGGGCGTCAGGACGTCTTCAGGGTATGTTGATATATTTTTTGGTCATGTTATGTGTCTCGTGTCAACAGAACAGAGCCTCTGCAGGAGTTTGGCGGTAGTTTGGTGGTGGTGACCCACTTGTTTTTAGCCTCAGGTGTTCATTTGGTTCAATTGGAAGTGGAAGAGCTTGTGCAAATGCAGTTAAATGATTAATGCGCACTTTATTATCGAGTATTTTAAGTGTTTTGGCTCAGTTGCATTTTAATTACAGATGAAAGCTCAATGGGGCCGCATCCCGTTTGGTTTTTTCTAGTAGTTAATGTCGCATTAAGGGCCTGGCTGCACTTTTACCTGGTTAGGAAAACTTAATACTTAATCGTATATGTCGTATACGGACAATAATGATGTATTTCAAGAGAATTTGAGTACTTTTAATAAAGCTTTTTAGTTAATTGGACGGGAAATATGCTTCACAGAGCTGCTGTTATCTGTACAACCCAATGGGGGGCGCTGCAGTCCAGCGGGTCGTCATTAAAACAACTGACGGAGATTAAAAACACATTATTTAGTTGTGTAAATTACATTGCACAGATTACACATAATATTAACGTAGCTGGAGAATTATTTTGGAGTTGGAGTCAACCAGAAATGTTTTAAATTGACCAATAAAAGCTGAGAAAATGCAGTTTAATACAACAATACTGTACTAAAAACCGGCTGGATGAAGGTTATAATGTTCGGTTAGTGTTGAAACAGTTTTAGAGAGGTGATTATTCAACTGTATGATCATTTTAGAGGCTGCAGTTTGTGTTGCTGTTGAACTTTATTGTGAAAATCCTGATTCACTCCAGACCAGCAGGTGGCAGTAACAGGACGGCCCCGTTGCCCGGGAGACAAAGAAACAGGAAGTGGTTGTAAAGTGTGGGAGAAAAAGTGTTTTTAGTGTTTTTAGTTGTTTTTTTCTGGATTGTAAATGTGGATCAAACAGCCTCTGATTGCAGTTTGATTCAGCTTTGTCTCACTTGAACTTGTTGTTGGACTGTTGTTCATTTGTTGGAGGTAAAATAGAAACAAACTGCTGATTTCAGGTTAGCTGTTGATGTGGGGATACAGCATTGCATTGTGGGAAATATAAACCCATTATATATCAAGTAAAATCTAAATAATCTTTATCAGCTTTAGTTGAAAACTGTATCTTCTGTATTATGTTCTGCAGTTTCACTCACCTTCTACATCCTCTGGTTTCAGTAATATATCGATTATTAAGCACCATCAGTTAACACGGTGTGTCTGTGAGAGAGCTCCCTGTCTCTGAGCTGGACAACTCATACTTACCTGGCAGGGGAGATACCATGATCAAGAAGGTGGTTCACCTTGGGCGAGGCCTGACCATTGCACTCCGGTTGGGTTGACCTCAACGAATTCCCCAAATGTGGGAATCTCGACTGCATAATTTGTGGTAGTGGGGGACTGCGTTCGCGCTGACCCCTGATATACATGTTCAATAATAAACTCTGGAGGAGAGAAGTTCCTTTAATAGTGTTGTAACCGTTAGGAACAGGAAGGAAGCTCCGTTTGTAAACTAACGTTACATGATGTTATTGTGGAGTCGTTGTATCCGGACAAAGAGTCAGCAGTTGATGATGATGATGATGAAGATGTGGACGATATTCAGCCGCAGGGTGCAGTTCTCTCTGTTCTCCATTAGAGGGAGTTAACAGATCAGACATTGTGTTTTACTCTCAGAGAGGACTTTTATAGGATTTAAACTTTATTTTATCGCTGTATGATTCATATGATGTTAGTTTGATTTAAAATAGAAGTTACAGCTCTCTTTCTGACAATAACACAGCGGAACGTTTCCACTTCCTATTGGACCACATTGTGTCACATGACCCGGAAGCGCTGTGAATCGCGGTTGCTCCGACAACCGTATTTTGTTAAACTTCCACATTTGACGCTGATTTGTCCCCTTTTACTGATTGACTGTGTGTTCTATATCTATATTAATATCTCTATCTAACACACAGTGAATCATATATCTATCTGTTAGTGAAGCATTCATTAACACCGTCAGTGAGGGTCCCGGTGCGGAGAAAGAGCTCCGTACCTCCGACTGTAGTTCAGTATCGCTTCTCGGCCTTTTGGCTAAGATCAAGTGTAGTATCTGTTCTTATCAGTTTAATATCTGATACGTCCCCTACCCGGGGACCATATATTAAATTGATTTTTGGAACTGGGAGATGGAATAGGGGCTTGCTCCGTCCACTCCACGCATCGACCTGGTATTGCAGTACTTCCAGGACCGGTGCACCCCCCCTCTGATTGTCTAACATCAATAATCGATATTATAAAGGTTGTAGTGAGTTAATAGTAGAGTAGTATCTTGTACAGACTCTGTATGTTGTTGTTAGATTAAACGTTTTAAGAGCATGAGGCTGCAGAGTGGAGACATATTGTTTGCAACTGTTCAGTTAAATGAACAATAAACTTTTGAGTGAGACAAAGAGATTGTAAATGTAAATGTGTTGTGTTCACTGTCCTTTACACATTGAACAGAAATGTTCAAATATACATTTATTAAGTCCTCATACCGACTGACTGCATTCACTTTAGTTTACAGAGGTTGGCTTGTTTCAATTCATTTATTGAAATGTTATTGAAATAGTTTAGTTTTTATTAGTTTCAGTATTAGCTTTAGTTTTTTAAACTATAATATAAGTTAGAATATATTACAATACAAACACAACACTTTGTGAACACAGTCATGTAGACATCCCATTATCAATAAACAGGCACCAACGCCTCTTTATGCTCGTTGTGTTGTCAAATTTGACCAAATTGAGACAAAAAAATGAAAACATTTCCTACTTTTCTTTCAGATTTTGTAAGTACAAAAGGTTTTTTCAGTTCAAGTCTGATTTTATTTGAACTAACATATTGTTTCACAACTGGTTTTACTCTTAGTTTGATATAGATGTACAATAATTGGCGACATTATCAGGTCAACAGTCTTGCAATAAATCCTCCCTGGACGAAGGTTATAATAAGATAAGTGACATTTACCTTTATTGATCCCCCGTAGGAGAAATGGAAATTACCCACAGCAGCATTGGGGAATGTAGTGCAAAGATTACTGAAGTGGAAGTACAATAGGATCACAAAATGAGAATATTACAAAATATATAATAAAATATATTGACTATTAAAGAAAGGTATATACAGTCAGGGACGGCTGGTATATATGGGCTAACAGGGCTAAGCCCCCCCCCATCATTTACAGTAAAGATGAAAAACTGTTATTAAAAACCTTAGAACATATCGTTTTGAATAGAATAGAAGAACAGAATAGACCTTTATTGTCATTGTCACAGGTATAACGAAATTTAAAGTG